GTGCGTCGCGACTTGGAGCCCAACAATATCGGAACACCGACCAGAGGCAACACGGCGTTTATTGTCAATGAAGAGCTCGGGTTGTGTCCAGTTGGAACAATCGGACAGTTGGCGATCGGAGGAGTTCAGCTTTCTCGTGGATATCTCAATCGCCCCGAAGCAAACCGTGCCTTCGTGGATCACCCTCTCTTGGGACGTGTTTATCTAACCGGTATGTATCTCCTCTATATTCCAGCCTGCATTAACTTGACAAGTGCTAGGCGACTACGCTATCAGAAATCACGATCAATCTATCACCTACCTGGGCCGCATGGATACTCAGACCAAAATCCATGGCCAGCGCGTCGAGCTCGAGGAGATTTCCAACACTGCTCTCTCAAATCCTGCGATGCATAATGCACTTGCGATGGTTGTCACCCGCGGCAACACAAGCCATCTGGCACTTCTATTCGAACCCAGTGGACATGGGTCTGCCGTGAGACAGACTGACATGCAAGCTCTCGATGCTAGGGACTTCCAGAGCACTGTCTCGGAAGTTCACTCGAAGCTCCTCTCCACCCTGCCCCGCTACGCTGTGCCAAGCCTGTGCATTCCCGTCTCATTCTTGGCCATGAATGTAAACGGGAAGACGGACAGAAAGCAGGCCACTGTTCTTGTAGCCGACCTAAGTGATACTCAACTGTTGTCGTACAGTATTGAAGCCCATGAGCAAGGAGCAAATCTGCCGCTGGAGACCGAGCAGGAGTTCCTGATTGCTGACGCGATGCGTCAGATCTTGAAAGCCCGGGATATTTTTGCGAACAGCAACTTCTTTGCCATGGGCGGCACTTCCATCTCTGCCATTCGTCTTTGCTCAATTCTAAGACGATCTGGGTTCACCCTCATTGTCAACCACGTCTACGCGCATCCGACAGTAACCGAGCTTGCCGCCAACGTCAGGTACAAGTCTCCTGTGACCATGGTTTCAGACAACAAACTCACCAGCTGGGGTAACATCCATCCGATTCCGATCATGGACTGGTACATCGATCAGCAGAAGGTCAATCCCAACTGGAACAATCAGGCTCACCTGCTCCGAATGGCTCGCTCGGTAACTTTCACTGACACGGTGAAAGCGTGGCAAGGCATCACCGAGATTCATCCTTCTCTGCGCATTCGATGTAATTCCACTCTGGCGCCGCCCAGGCTATACATTCCCATCCATCCATCGTCCCGGGATTATGCCGTGATCCGTCACTCCGTGCCCTCAGAGGAAGCGATGGAATCGATTATCCGACAAGCACAGGCTTCACTGGACATTACCAAGGGACCCGTTTCTGCTTTGGCATGGATCGAGACGCCATCAGCAACCTACTGTCTCATTGTAATCCACCATCTCGCTGTCGACATTGTCTCATGGCAGATCATATTCGACGACCTCGAACAAATTCTCTCTGGAGAATCGATCTTGCCCGAAGGCGATTCATTCCGTCGCTGGTCTCTGCAAGTACGCGAGAGACAGAAGGGGGCTCTCCCCCGGGCCTTAGATACTGCCAAGTGTGAAGAGTCACAACATGAGAACCATCTCATCGTACCCGCCTTTGCCTCACGGCGCCACCGGAACATCCAATCCACTGTTGCGATCGTCGAAACAAGTCTCGCCGCGGATCTGACCCAGCTCTGCCTAACTGATGCCAACAAGATGCACAGGACCGAGCCGGTTGAGCTCCTCCTCGCGGGACTGGCCCTCGCCCTCTACCGCTGGCGACAGATCAGCCGGTTCGAGCTGACGCTCGAATCGCACGGCCGCGAGCTCCAAAACGAGGCGCTCGACCTGTCGCGAACCGTGGGATGGTTCACATATCTCTACAACGCGGTTTTCGCAATCCCTCCAAGCAGCGAGACCGACGGCGGTAGTGACAGCGAGGGCACGCACGGCAGCGACACTCACAGTGACAGCGACAGCAACAGTGGGCGCAGCAGTAGCAGTACCCGCGACAAGGCAGGCCTTATTCCTGCTCTAGTGTCGGGCACCAAGGCGACGCGTCGCACGGCCTCCCAGGGCACAGACTTTGCCGTCTCGACCGATTCGAGCGCGGCCGATACCCCAATCCTCATGTTTAATTACGCCGGCGCGTACCACACAGGTAACACGGGTGGGCTTTTTGACGCGGTCAACCTGCTAGCGGTGGAGACGTCTATGGAGGACCCCCGGAACATCCGGCCGTCGGTGCTGGACTTCAACTGCGGTGCGAAGGACGGCGTGATGGATTTGAGTATCTTGTACAGTCAGGCAATGCACGCTGAGGAGGATGTGCACGCGTTGTTGATGATGTGGAGAGAGGCTGTAGAGGAAATTGTTGAGGAGTGTACTAGTTACTGAGAGGAAAGGTGGTCTTGATGAAGGTCAGGTTGGGAGTACTGCTCCATTTTACTTTGATTCATGTCGAGGAAAATCTATCCTATTTCAATCAGTAAGGAAAGCTGATGTGTAGTGCGTTTAGTCACTTTGTTTTGTTGACAATATTTTCATCTCTATGCTTCCTTCTTACTTCCTGTTTTCGAATATTGTAACGAGATACCATGAACTCAGGTAAACGGAGACTGCTGATGATAGCAGGACGTACGTGTGAAGAAATGCAGACGGGAGAGAAAAAAGACGAATGGGGAGTCTCATATTCTCTTTCATAAAAGCGGTCCCTAGAGATGCACGTAGGCTTCTATTCGGTAGCCCTCCACGGATGGGTAATTGGCACTTGAAGGATCATGTCGGGATCCGGGAGATACTGCATGAAGTGCCTGTAGAGTAGAAGGAGATGCCTTGAAGGACAATGAAGGGTACTTAATTAATAAGCAGCTTCGGTGAGCGGAGACAAAGAGCCTCTCCAAGGCTGGCATGATTAATTGCCCAACCTGCGTTACCTGACTGCTTGATACGAACAGTCGAATTTGTTTGACTTTTCCCGGAGGCCATCGAAGTATTATAGTCTACTATAATAAGAACAATTCTAATCATAATTCTATCGCATTTCCGGCTTTTTAATAAACAGCAAGACTATCAGTCCGTATACAATTTAAGGTCTTGGGGATGGGCTGTTCTAAATATTTTTTTATATTATTGGTAGTTGGATTGTCTGAGTTCTCAAGGTGGGCAACGCGCTTGGTCAATCGCCTCGGATTACATGGGCTGGATTACTCAGAAACGCCGACAGTAACTAGTTAACTAGTTAAATTTCCAAAAAAAAAAAATGAATCATAGATGAATATCATTAACTTCTTTCTATAACTAAAAATGTGCTTTTTTTGTATGGAGTACAGAGGTGCCGGTTCGCTTCGTTTACCGATACGTTAATACAAATCAGTAGACGCGGTCTTGAGGGTGCTGTTGTATATATCATTAATTCTCTCCACCGGCTACAGAAACAAGAGGGGGTTTCCTCTCTAGACATGCGAAGCAGCTATTCTTCTGTTCTTTCTTACCTCTCGAAAACCATACTTGCCTTCTTTCATCTCCCTCACCGCCTGTGCAGCCTTCGGATCCTTCTTTTGCAAGAACTTCTCAAACGAGTCTATCATCGCGTCCTGAAGCGCATTCTGCTCCCGTCACTCTTGTATCTGACTTGGCACTGTGTGAATAGATTCGCTGTAACTTTCATATATCTTTATATAGAAACTGCTGATACCCCGCATCATATTAATCTCGGCAGTAAACTAGATTTCATATATAGTTCGCTGTCAGTATTAGCTTTTCTCTTTAGATAGTTCTTTATTTCCGAGACTAAGCAGTTAGAAATTAAGAACCTTAATAAGCAGTTCGCTATTTTCGAGCTGCCGGATGTTAAGAACCCGACGAAGGGGGCCCCGGCCGTGATCACTGAACTTTCCCGAAGAGAGGGACATGCACAGGCGTAAAGAATACGAATTTTAGGCTGCCAACTCTCGACCAAAATCTTGTTGCTGATAGTCCTGGCTTATTGCGTCTACGAATCAGATCAAGTGTGGCCGTGTCCAGGTCCATGTCATTCCCTTGTATAGACCCGCGGAAAACAAATGCCACCGACGGCATCTGCCAGGTTCGAAATATGAATATGTCGGATGTGTCAAGCTTTCAACCCTCTCAGAGTCCTGATCGCTACAATTAGTATCTCCTTATTCACTACTACTTTCCACGGCATCCAGGCGACTCATTGCTTAAGACGCGACCGTGAGAGCTTCTTGGCCCTGATTTCGCTTGTATATGTATAAGTATCAGACACATGTGGATGCGATCGGGTAGAATCAACCTGTGAAGAGCTTTGTATTCAACAAACTTTGCTGCACTGGGCTATTGATCACTGTTATGAGATACAATCCATGATCCATCGAGATATTCTCCCTTTGCGCCTCAGGCACCACCGTCCCAGCTCCATGTTCAGATCACGTGCTGTGTCATCTCCCGCCCGCCTTCAAGAACAAGTTCCCGAAAAGGTAACACTCCCCCCCCCATACCACAATCAACCGTACAACCCCTACTTCGACCACCACAAACATAAGAAGTACAAAGAGAAGAATAAACATAGGATTTTAACCCGCTCACCTTGACACCCGCGACAGCCAACTCCTGTACCATCACTTTCTGCCTACGCGGGAAACCAAGCCACTGAACGGTCATGTGACCAGCCCCTTCAGCCAGAGAGCAAGTTGTTATGTCGTGAGCTCGAAATTCCTGTCTGCGAATAAGAAAGGCAGGAAGCAAGTGGCACTAACTATATTCAGAGGCACAAGGAGAACTAGTTTTCCATTCGAATGTCTCCCCACGAGAAGCAAGCTCTGAGATTGAGGCCCGCATTATAAGGTCGATTGAGAAAGACGAACCTCGAACGCTAAAAGTGTTGCTTCGAGAAAACCACCCTATCTTCAAAGCTATATGAAAATACCAATTTCTAAGATTGGGGCAGGATGAAGTTTCGGAGAGCGTGACGCCTTTGATGGTTGCATCTGGCCACGGTCACTACACAATTGTGAAGCTAATCTTGAGTTGAATGGCTCGTGTTTCATCGCAGAATGAGCCCGCGGCAGACCTCGCTGCTGTTACGAGCAGTGGCAACACAGCATTACACTTTGCTTCCATGTGGGGAAATCGTGCAGTTATCGAACTTCTTCTGGAGGCAGACAGTACCCTCTGCCAAGCAAAGAACAATAGTGGAGAAACGCCTTTACTTGTGGCTTGCATGAAAGGCAATTCGGCTGCTGTGCAGATACTGCTGGACTCGGGCTCTGATCCCACAATTGTCGATTATAAAGGTCATATGGCGATCCACCGTGCAACATGGCAGGGTAACCTTGACAATGTTAAGGCTCTCGTGAAAACGAATCCCCATCAACTGGAAGAAAGAAATATCTTCGGTCAGACTGCTTTGATCAATGCATGTCAAGCAGGCCACCTATCTCTTGTCCAATATTTTTGGATGAAACCAATGCCAGCCCCACTGCTCGTAACAACGCGGGTGGAACGGCACTTTATCTAGCTTCATGGGGTGGCAACGTCCAGATTGTCGAATTACTTCCAGAAAAAGGGTCACAAGACCTAGAAACACCCAATGATCAGGGAAAGACACCGCTTCTTATTGCCTCTCCACGTGGTCATTTTCACGTTTCTCAGCTCCTCAGTGGAAAAAATGCCAATTGTCATGTTGTGGAAACTGGGAATAACGATACTGCACTTCATCTAGCTGTGTGGGGCGGCAATCTTCAGATTGTTCAGATCCTTCTAAAAAAAGGGGTAGACCATGAAAGAAGGAACGGCCATGGAAAAACACATCTTCTGATTGCTTCTCGTGGTGGTTATTTTCCTATTGTTGCGTATTTACTTAACGAAGGTGCCAATTCTGAGGTTGCGGATACCGAGAATGGCGATACTGCACTCCATTTAGCTGCATGGGGCGGCAGCCTTGAGGTCGTTCAGATCCTTCTCAGAAAATGTTCAAAAGACCTTGACAAGCAGAAAAACGGGGGAGCAACGCCCCTTCTCAATGCCTGTGCATGTGGCCATTCTCTCATTGTTAGTTTCTTACTTGGAGAAAGTGCGAACTCAAGTGTTGTTGACGATCAAGGGGACACCGCTCTTCATCTTGCTGCCGCAAGCGGAGTTATTGAAAGCGTTGAAATTCTCGTCAATAACAACAAAGAATCAATCAATAAGCAAAATAAGGATGGTGGAACTCCTCTTCTTGTGGCCGGCTCTTCTGGGTCGTTTAAAGTAATTAGATATCTACGCAATCACAACCAGAATATACATGTCACCGATCTTTGGGAGAGAACATTATACACAAGATCATCAATGACTCTCAATGCGATCTGCTGAAGTGATTTCTGGATCAAAAAGTAGCCATTAAGTAGAACAATGATGGAAGAACACCATTTCATTTGGCATGCTACAGCAACAAGATCGAAGCTGTTGACATACTCCTCGACTCCTTTGTGGGGAACCCAAAGAAGCGAACAGAAATCATCAACGCAAAAGATGATTGGGGGGATACCGCCCTGGCCGATGCTGCCAGCGATAAGATATTTTCTATTGTCCTTCAATTGCTGAGGGATGACGGATACTTTCCCCAGGCTCCGTCTTCCTGTCCTGTGGAAGAGGTATATTTTTCCGATGCGGATGAGCGCGAAACAGTCGGCGACTTGCTCCTTTCGGAGATGGAAACAATGAAAGAGAGACACGATAACAATCCCAAACTTAGTGAAGCTTCTGATGGTAAAGTCGATATTGACAGATATTTGACGGCTGTCTGCTATTGGGCGTTGTTGAATGGATGCTCAAAATTAGTCAAAGCTTGTGTGGAGAGAGCAAGTAAGAGAGGTGATGACTTCAGGCTCGACAGGGGAGGTACCACATGGTCACACGTCGCTGCTATGAGCCGTTTATCTTTGGACCGAAGCGTCATTCTCTTCGATCTAATGTCGCCCTCTCTTGGAGAAGCGGAGAAGGCTCTATGCTCGGACAAGCAAGGCATCACTCCACTGCATGTGGCAGTTACGCACGCGAACTACGAATTGGTGGAGAAATTTTTCGAATAACTGAGATCGAAGGGGCAACCTTGTCTTTTCAATGCTATTTTCCAGCAGACAACGGATAACGCGCGTGATACGCCCATTTCGCTGGCGGCAATGGGCAAAACCACAAAGCACCGAGACATCCAGAATTCGCTGTGGGGGAAAATCGAAGAAGAGGCCGAAAGGTGTCGAATTTTCTCCACGCCCGACTTGAACAGTAATGCAGAGCTTCTTCTCGAGCTAGCAGCGCGCTTTAATACCAAAAATAATGAGAGACTATTGAAGAGGCTTTTGCAAATGAAATTGGGTGCACCGGAGAAAGACAATGTCCTTGAATTGGCCATTCAGCTCCAGTACCCCAAGGTTGTTTGGTGGCTCCTCTCAAATGGCGCCTACCTCAATGAACGAGACATCAAGAAGGGCTTTTCGATTTTTGACTCTAGGAATTGGAACGACAAGAAAGATCACCAGACTAGAATGCTTTTGGAAAACCCCCCTCCCTTCACAAAAGGTAAGCCTGTTCTTTCCATTTTCATATACGACAATCCTCCGCTCTCTGAATGCTGATTTCTTCCGAAGTTTTGGTCTCTCTTGGCACATCCGGATTCTTCTCTTTGATTGCGTTCAACCCTAAGTGGTTCAAGTACAACAAGTCCACGTGGGGTACGAGCGCAGCGAACAACAAAGGGGGGCAGGAGGGTGATGACGGAAAGAATGTTCCGGACAAAGGGCAAGTGGAAGCTCCTCAAAGAGCACCCATAAAGGAGGATACTGGGCGGCGCAGCCTTCAGAAGCGTACGAGGAGAGGGGGACATAGTTCTGAAGACATTGCGAATATGGCATAGAGACGATGCTCATCTCAAATGTGTCCGGCAGTGTTTGACCAATGAGATTCGGCCGTCTTAGTTGACTCAGCTGTCTATTAAAGCTGTTGGATGGTACGATAATCCAGACTGCCTCAGAACGATACCTGAACAGGAAGCGGTAGATGGTTGGCGACAGCAGTTAGAATAGTGGGATCAGAACCACTTGTAACTGAAGGCACCTGACTATGTACTATGTAGATGCAGACAAAATGAGGTAAATTGTGACAAGGGTAATAGAAGAGGGGTAAAGACAGACAGCAACCACATTCCTAGCTATGGCTAAAAAAGACAAAACATACAACAGAAGGGATTCGCTGGTGGTCACCCACCCAACTACTAACCTCCCGGCGTGTGGCTTGAGTACGGCTGAGCGGACGGGAAGCCCTATTTTCCACACCCTGTGGTCGTATGTGCTCAGAGTCACTTTACTTGCGTTTATATAGAGCATACAATTTGGAAGTTTATCAGTTCGCATCTCATGAACCTGCCTGCTATTGTAAGCAATCATCATTTGGCAGACAACAGAAACTCTGAATCCTCGCCGAGAGTCAGTCGCGCCTGGGATTACTAGTCGTCATCGCAATTTACAGGATATATTTGTGGCGCAAAGCAGCAGACGCGGCCTCGGAGCTGCAGAAGTATATGTAATGGACCTTCTCCACAGGCCATAGGAACGTGGGAGGGGGTCCCTAAAGACGTGCGAAAGCAGCCAACCTACTGCTTTTCTCTTACCTCTCAAAAACCATACTTCCCTTGTTTCATCTCCCTCACCGCCCGCGCAGCCTTGGGATCTTTCTCCTGCAACAACTTTTCAAAGGAGTCAATCATCGAGTCCTTGAGCATGTTCTGCTTCCGCCACTCTTGGATTTGACTGGGCACCACAGCCCCCGTATACACTTTTTGGAGTTCTCCGTTGCCAGCGGCCACAGGTCCCACAGCTGCGCCGACTGCATCACCGACATCGCATACTGTTCACTCCAGACCAGGTTCCCGAGAATTGGCATCTGCCCGGTATAGCCAGGTGACACTGCCTCGGGAATGAGTGACGGCACGAACTCTGCGTCGACGGCGAGGAGATGGGGGCGGAAGTCCGTGAGGATTGTATCCTGGTCTTTTCTGATGTAGGAGCTCGCACTCCATGGGTCGAGCATAAGAAAGCTTGGTTAGTTTAGCAGCGGGTGTTGTGCCAAGGTTACGAAAGTGGTTGCGTGATGCCCGTGGTTCGGGTCAATAGGCTTTCCTTAGGATCGATCGAAAGACATGAGTAGGGAACAAATTAGAAGTGGGACAAACCTTCGTACAGCCTCATCCTTAGGATCGATGCTCAATTCTTTGCAATCGAACCATTGGAGTTTCAATAGGGGCTTCACATCCTCCAAGCCCAGATCGCCGGTTCCCCACGCGGCCACTTGCTCGTCCACCCTTGCTTTTAACAACCTCTCAGTCCTCGTCGGAGATATTACGATAAACGGCGAAGTCAATGGTCTGCGCTCCCGTATCTGCTGGCAAACCGGACATTGTCTCCACGCAAACTCGGAGGGCCCTCTGAATCCACGGCGCTGGAGGCAGCTCCGTCAGCGGGGGCGACAACGACCCGCGCAGTTCCACGCGAAGTTGGTCCTCCGCCACCGTAACTGTTGACATCAATCTCCGGAGGCGGAGAAGTGAGTTCGAAAGCTTGTTCCCTTCACTTTCCTTGCCGGTTGACGAGGTCTGCAACTCGGGCACCGCCTGGGCCCGTGCAGTCAGCACTTCGTGGAGCCGCCGTGGATACGCCTCCGCCGACTCATTGAGTCGCGGATGATGCAAACCCGCGACTATGCTGGTGGGGGACTTAATACCCCTTGTACCCATCTAAGGGCATCCAGAAGCCGGCGTCCGCTAGAGACCTGATGTCCGCGAGGAGACGCCACCGCACGTAGAACCTCGCCAGCCGGATCTCGAGGTCCGTCTGATCGCCAGCCAGCGTGTCGGATAATTCATCATTCAGCATCCGCTGCTTCAACCTCGCCAGGTGGGCTAGCACCCATGCGTGCGCGGTGCGGGTCATCACCTCATACACGGTTTTAAGCTAGTCAAATAGCTAGAAACCTGTGAGAAAGCAATGAAACGGCCTCCTACCCCACGCTAACTTGCAATCTTACTTAGCCAGCCGCCCGCTGCGGGGCCAACCACACCAGTACGTACGATCCTCAAACCACCTGAAGCACCATAATCACTATAGAGCCAACCCTACAAACCAACTACTCACCCCTATGTATTTGTTGTCTTCTAAACCTCATCTTCAACGGCTTCCACCGTCACCCCCGGAATTAACGGCTGACACCCTGGCGAAACACAGCTGAAAACAACTCGATATCAAACAATATACCCCGCCATTGCCAACTCCTGAACACGCATCGAGTCCCGATTGCGCGATCTGCACAGGCTATTCCATACAGAGTATCTGCAATTCCTCCCCAGCAAGGGCGTCGATAGAACTGACCGGCCGTAGGCGGGGATCCATCCTTGCGGGAAAGAGTAGGGGGATTAGGTTTGTAGGATGTTTAGAATTTTGGCTTGGGAGGTAGGTTTGTTCGTTAAACATCTGAAGCAGTACTGGGAGGCGGTGGGAGGGGTGATAAGAAGGGGAAGGCGGAGGAGATGTCGACGACCGGGTTGGGAATTCGCTTTAGTATACAGAGGGAAATTTGTGGGGGTGTTAGTAGGAATTCTGAGGTTATTATTAATAGAGATAGGAGGATACATGAGTATGAGGTTGGAATTGAATTTCGCGAAGCTGTTGGGTATTCATTCCATTCTATCTTCGTATTCGTACGTCTTGACTAAGTGAGCAACTGTTGTTACTTGGAGAGTTTGTTTTGTTGGCTCCAAGTGGTTTCTATCTTCGCTTGTATCGCTAGTTGAATTGTTGAGCTTTCTAGCTGATCCTTTTAGACAGATGCCTGAATACACTATATATTAGGCTGAGTTGGGATTCAGAGTCATTCTCAGCTCACCTAGGCTAAGTTGAGCCTTCTGAGTGCGCAGGAATAGTAGCGCCTAAAAGAACAGAGGTGTCTTAGAGTCGATATACCGAAAAGCAGGTATATTCAGGTTAGCGAACTACCCTTCAGCAAAACGAAGCTTCAAAATTGCCGGAGAAGCTCGCGGAGTCTGCCTTGATAGTGACACTGAGGGAACTCAGCCATTCAGGAACCTGGGAGTTCGTTGTTCGAACTGGGTTCACATATCCTGCATCTCTTGTGAGCTTAGTGGGTCATACCTAGTGACCCCAGTTACTTCTTGTAAAGCCCTACGTCATTTCAAGGCGTCAACAAAAGTGGATATGGACTGGGAGATCCACAAGCGGGCTTTATCACGGTTTTTAGGGCAAGAGAACTGCAATTTCTGAACCAGCTGCTATTGTGATTGGCCAGATAAAGAATCGTTGATAAGCGCGGCTCTTGGTTAGTTGAGAAAGGTATAGCGCTGATCCATACCCACGGCCTGGCTCTTTCACTAAGTCTTCATAGTCATAGTGCTTTGCTTTTATCAACTTCTCGGCTTGTCGAGCGTTTGGCGCGGTTGTCGCAAAATTCGTCCGATCTGAAGGTTTTTAGCCAGACAAGTACACGTTGATGTCGGAGTGAGACTGTGACCGAGATCCGATCGCATCTTTGAGGATATAATTGTACACAATGCCAAAGTATCGTAGACGATCGTCTCGTCATGTTCTCGTATGAAATTTCCCACACAGATTTGTTCTACTGATATACAAAATCCGTTTGGGAGGAACACAGTGTCTACTCGCCTAATCGTGTAGAACGTTCTCAGATGGACAACGCAGTCGAACTTCAACCTTGGCCCACCGCGCAACCGCCGGATACGTCCGACGGGACCTGCAGGCAACGCAACAGGGATGGGTTACCAGGGGTGTGCGCTATGCAGGACGAAGGCGCAACACCTGCATTGGAAAAATGGAATGCATCATCCCGCAATATCACGCGGGTTGTTGCGGTGTGCTGGTCCTTTCTCATTGTCGGCATGAGCGACGGCGCCGTGGGTGTAAGTACTGTACACTTCATCGGAACTGATTATCCTGTGGTTACTAATCGATATTAAGGCATTAATTCCCTATGTAAGCTTTCTTTTATGGGTCACATATGTATTCCTTCAAACTTGCTGAAACACGAGGTCACCCAGTTGAAAACATACTATCGCCTCTCCGAGACAATCGTATCTTTGATCTTCCTGTCTCCGGTGGTCGGATACGTGCTCGCCGCCCTTGCGAGCCACAACCTACACACTCGGTTTGGGCAGAGGGGCACCGCGTTTCTCGCCCCGGTATGTCATATTGCTTCGTACGTGGTCAACTGCCTGCACCCCCCCTTCCCCGTGGTCGTCGTCGCCTTCATCTTTACCGGGGTCGGAAACGGACTGGAGGAATCGGCGTGGAATGCCTGGCTAGGCAATATGGCGAAGGCCAACGAGTTGCTGGGTATATTGCATGGGGTGTACGGAGCTGGGGCCTTGATGGGCCCGCTCATTGCGACCTCGTTGATCACGAAGGCTCACTTCTTGTGGTGGGAATATTACTATATCATGGTGCGAGTCGCCTTCAATACGCAGTCTCCTTATTACTGCCTCGATGCATTTGACTGAATCTGGCTCAGATCGGATTGGCCGCGACCGAGTTCGCTGCCTGCATGGCAGCTTTCTGGGGGGCTGATGGCTCCCAATTCCGGGCCGCCACTTTCCAATCGAGAGAATCCGACACCAACACGCGAACCGACCTCAGAATAGCACTCAGTCGGCGGCCCTACGCGCGAATCACCTGGCTCTGTGCCATCTTCCTCCTCGGATATGTCGGGATCGAAGTCTCCCTGGGTGGCTGGATTGTGACCTTCATGGCGCAGGTTCGGCACGGAAGCGCCTTCGCCAGTGGACTGACGGCGACAGGCTTCTGGCTGGGGATCACGCTGGGGCGACTGCTGCTTGGATTCATCACCCCGAGAATCGGAGAGGCACTGGCCATCATGGTCTGTGTGACCCGTCCTTCTTTCCCGCAAGCGCGGATCTGGAAATGACGACCCGGGTTCTAATGGCTACGTGTAGATCTATGTCAGTTTGACCATCGTCTTCTGTCTGGTGTTCTGGCTGGTGCCCAATTTCTATGCCTCCGCCGTCGCGGTGGCCGTCCAGGGCTTCTTCCTGGGACCATTGTTCCCGGCCGCGGTGGTGACATTGACCCGAGTCCTCCCGCGGAAATTGCATCTCATCGGGATTGGCTTTGCGGCTGCAGTGGGCAGCGGGGGAGCAGCGATTTTGCCCTTTGTGTTTGGGGTGGTGGCTCAGTCGGCCGGGGTTCAGGTCCTTGAGCCCTTCATTCTGGTTCTCTCGGTGGCGATTCTTTTGCTGTGGATTGGACTGCCGGGGATCTTCAAGAAGCATCGCGAATGATGGGGAATCTAGAGGAGAGGAGGACATCTGGTACAAGGGTTGATATGAAGTGTCATTGGTATTGCATCTCTGTAGGTCGTGATTCAATGATCAGTAGTCTCCACCTGCTTGATGACTCGAGCCGGAGAGCACACGGCCACACTGAACGGGGGAATATCCTTCGTGACAACCGACCCAGCACCGATCGTGCATCCTTTCCCAATGGTTATGCCCGGTAGCATCATGACCCCAGCGCCAATCCAGCAGTCATCCCCAATCCGGACCTCTCTGGCAAATTCCACCCCGTTCCGGCGGGACTGCACGCTGGTCTCGTGGGTGGCACCTATGATATTGACGTTCGGTCCGAAAGCCACGCGATCCCCAATCACGACCAACGAGCAATCCAGGATAGTAAGACTAGACGAGACAATTTAGAGCTACAATAATCAGCGCAGACACGGACAGGGACCGACACACTTGAAATTGGAGTAAAACCCGCCCCCGATAACAATATTGCATCCGTAATCCACCTGCAGTGGGGGCTCGACAAAGGCGCCCTTTCCCACAGCACCGAAGATCTGTCGCAGCAACTGCTCGCGCTGTTCAGTGAGCGCCTCGCATGTGATCTGGTCCGAGATGGGGGCATTGTATTTCGACATCAGCTGGCGGGCACGGAAGCGACTCGCCATCAGCTCGGGGGCCAGTGGATCGTACCTAGAGACCAAGTTCAGTTGAACGGCAGATGCGTAGCCTGTGGTTCGTGCCATACTCACAGCATTCCGGACACCATTCGCTCATACTGCTCGCACCAGGGAACATGTGCTAATGACCTAGCTGTGGCGATTGCTGTAGGATTCTTTTCACACGATGCTGGCATTGTACTGTAGGTTCTTAGAGGGTGGATACTACTGGGAAGAGGGAAATCGATAATCTCGCAGTCTGTGGTTCGTGAGTTGGTGCAAGTGGATGATCAGATCTGGATTGAAGACGATTGTTTGGTTTGGTGAGAGGATTGTAGCATCCCTCATACCTAGTTATATCCTTGGCCAGTATTCGGACAGCAGGAAAACCTCCCTAGGAAGTAAGTACTATGGGCTCGGGAAGTTCCATCGGCTACGTCACCCAAACCCTGAAACGGGTGATAATTGGTCTGATAAGGGCTTTACGATAAGCGCGGCTGTAAGTTGTATGAAAAGGGAATAGACTCGTTTCAAGTTGTTTCTTCTAATGTGGTCTCTAGTCAATCAATTTTGACTGGTAGGCTGCTGATTTCTGTTTCCTTACGGTAGAGATAATGAAGCCATCCAAAGACTACCCTAGAGAGAGTCACGCCTCAGCTTTACTCCCCGCCCATTTTTCTAATCAGTATTATGATTCTATACATCCTACTAATACTGCCTCTAAGCCTACGACCACATTGTCACGTTGTTTGATATTCATCACAAGACAGTTTCAATGCTTGTTCATATATTATGACCATTGCCAGCTCTCACCAATTTAACAGCAAAATATCTAACACCACCAATCACAGCGTCAAAAGTGGCTGGAATCGCGTAACAACGGGCAACAACGGGCAACAACGGGCTGTGTTCCGAGCTTGCTTCGACCAGCCGATGCAGGGATGACGCACGATGATTCTGCGCGATTGCCGGATCCTGATGGAGAACAAGCCGACCATGCTAGAGTTGAAGCAACCCGCGAAGACAAATCTCAGACAGAACCCCAAGATGTGGCACTGATAGTCACTGTGGAGAAAAGAAAAAAAAATACTATCTGCGATGGATGATGAGGGTTAGTTAATGAGATCGTAATTAGGTAATGGGATGAATAGATATGTGGCAACTTTCAAGAGACCTCAAGCTCTGTGTGTTGGTTATCAATTGGCCGGATGGTGTAGTTGGTTATCACGTATCGTTAACACCGATAAGGTCCTGGGATCGAGCCCCAGTCTGGTCATTTGTTTTTGCTCTTTTTTGGGTTATGCTTTGTTAAATCTTGAGCCAAATACCATCAAATCAGGACGAATTGGTTTACTCTCATTACCACAGGCCTCGGGTCGAGGAAAACGTGGACAGCTAGTAGGAATTTCACATGCATAGAAAGCCGTAGCCACCCAGGGCAGCCGGGGGCGACCCGGGATGAGCGTCGCGGAGAGCACTGTAGTATTTGTGACAAGGCTCAAGTCAATCAATATATATAGGTATCGTAGTTCAACCAGGGCTATGACATGCTTCGAGTGACAAGATCAAATTCTGAAACTACTTGGCAGGCTTGGAGCATCTAGTAGTCGAGAAGTTTGGATGGAATTTTTATCCTGCGAGAAACTGCCAGACCCTGTCTTTTCTTCTTTTTTTTCTTTTTTTTTCTTTGTTTTTCTTTCCTCGTGGGCGGAGGAAGAGGGCTCCAAACGACGCGCTTGAGAAATCCAAAGATTGTGATTCACAAAAGTCTGCCGAAGGTCTAATGACTGCCATCGATGCGGGATATGGCAGGCCATTCCCAGTGGAGACCAGATTGGACCATATGCGCATCGGGCCAGTTTCTAAGCACAAGCAATCGAAGGCGACCGTAGCCTTAATCCTGCGAATGGTTGTGAGTACATCTGACTTTTAATATCAGCAAATCGACTATATATTCATGCAAATCTTGAGTTTCACTCTTATGCATGAGCATAACGCAAGACAGCAGCCAATCAGACAAACGGTTTGCTCGAGTCAGCCAGCCACGGTAATAGAGGCCAGAACTACGGAGTAGCGAGCGGTACGATACATGCATTAGTATCTCGGAGGATTGGTTGTTGACGTGGCGCGACTCAGATCAGGCAGAATTGGATCTTAAATGAAAAGGCGTCCAATAGGATGACGCGTCATTAGCGCCCGCAACCCTACAGACATGCAACAACTGATAGCTTGGGAGATTTGGCGGGGATATATAAGCAATCTTCGAAGCTTCCCGTCTCCCTCTGACGATCTGTAGTGTCTGAGCGATTTGTTACACGCAACGAGGGTCAAGCTCGACTTTGAGAGAATGGTGGATCCGAGTGAAGTTGACGACATGGCAGAGGCTTTGAGAGCGTGTGAGCAAGACATGAATTTCCAATACTCGCAAGTTGCTGTAGCGTTTGGGGACAGCTATACTGACAGTTCAGTAGTGGCTGAGCGGGAGTGCTTGAGAGCGGCCCTAAGAGAAGGAAGCCGCCTCGCCTCTGGAGGCTTTGTAGAAAAGTACGGCAGCATTGCAGCTCAAGGAACATGTCACTGGATCTACCTCACCAATGAATTCCGCAACTGGATCCGGCAGAGACAAAGCGTACTGTGCATTACGGGGTCATTTGGGTCCGGTAAGTCATGCCTACTCGCCTCGATGGCGATGAATCCCTGGAGGTTACAGTCAGAAGTGAATCCGCAGCCGCAGCCTCTCATCATCAAACTCTTCTATGATTCTCTTCAGATCCCAGATCTATTTCAGATGCTGCAGGCTTTACTGGTTCAGACAACTCCAGAAGAGGGCTTGACGCACTTAATTCACACGAATCGTGCGGGCCAACTGGACATGAGTGTCGAGGACTTGCAGGATGCTTTCATCCAGTCCCTAATCTATGCGGGTCAGGAGAAGTCGATATTTATGTTTTTCGATGATCTAACCACCCTTGAGCTTGATGTCAGTAGGGGCTTGGTTTTATTTCTCGGTCGATTGGTAGACCACGCTTGTTCCACCGACATTGCGTTGCATATTTGCTACTCCAAATGGGATTATCCTATTTTGGATACGGTAATCGCGACATTTCCCACCCAGCTTCAACTTCGGATCGATGCGTTCAATCAACAAGACATCCAGACGTGCGTTTACTATTCCTTGGAATTGGCGCTTCGTCAGAGAAGGTTGGAGTCGAATGACCAGATCAAAAGAGTAGCGAGCAAGATCCTTGAAGAGGCGGGTACAGGCTTTGCAGCTGCGTCGATTTATCTGCGCTATTTGGAGAATTACGTGCCATTTGAGAAGGTAGATGGGTGGCTTGATGTGCTTCCCAAACCGCTTGAAGAGATGTGGTTGAAGCTGTTGCAAGGTCTGCTGGCACCCAGCAACCCCCACCGGACAAGGGCAATGAATATGATACGATGTGTGCTAGCGGCCCAAGGACCGTTGAGTCCTCAGGAACTCTACTACGTATGCGACATACCCAGTGAAATGGCCGATCCGAATGTGCGATCCGCATTAGTGACGGACTCTCTGGGCTTACTCACCCTTTTACCGGATACAACGGACACCATTGAGCCTGAAAAGCAAAGATTTATAGTGTCCTTTGTCCAGCCAGCATTGAAGGTGTTCTTAACATCAAACGCAGCGGATGCCCTCTTCACAGAAACACTGCAGATACACCACACCGACTTTGTTGCTGGGGACCACGGCCGCTTCGTGCGAGCGGGGATCAAATGCTTGAGGGAATTTCTTCCCGACTACCGTGATCAGTGGAAGGACTCGCTCCCGCCCTTCGTCGGTGGGAAGCTATCTCAGGAGCCCAGACCCAGAACCACCCAGGTGGACTACAATCAGATCTTCGAGGGGTATCCATTGCTCGAGTATACCGTTCGCTATTTGTTCGAGCATGCTCAGAAAGCTCAACATACTGATGACCTCCACGATCTCGCAGAATTGCATGAGGAGACATCTCAGGACGGCTGCACGCTTCTTGCCGTGTGGGGCCATCTGCAAAACTGCTTGCAGGAGAGCGAGATCTACGGGCCCTCGGTCACGTTGCAGCATGTCCTTGCACAATACAACATATCGGAATATCTGGCGTGGGGACTGAACAGGAACTGGGACCTCAAGGTCAAGACCGAGAGAGGTCAGACGATTCTCCATTGGGCTGCGTTCTACGAAAGTGAAGAGGTTGTGAGCCTGGTGATCAATCGTAGTCTCGACACGCAATTCTCGGACTTGTTCAAGAGCGCAGAGGAGAAGACACACCTGACTGGCACCCTCTACTTTGCCTGTCGCGAATATAAAGACCACATGAGCGCGCTGGACATCGCTGTACAGAAGGAACATGTGAACATCGTCAACCTGTTACTGTCTTTCCGTGACAGGCTAGATAAGGAAATAGAGGAAATGGTCCGGTTGCGGCTGCGGGCGCTCGGGCAGAAGGGGAATATTCCGAGCCACCTATCATGGACGCAACGTGAGCTCTATGCTGCTTGGGAGACACATCTGGATGACAATACGCAGGGTAGGATCCCTGCTCTTCATCGGGCAGTCAAAAAACGACATCCTGTTATCGTGAAGAAACTGTTAAAACACGGGGCCGATTGGCGGGTGCAAAGTGAGAGCTTAACACCTTTACAGTTGGCGCTGAGACTGGCTCAGGATGAAAATCCGTTGAAACCGGATACTAAAGCCGTCGTGCGAATACTAAAGGCAGCAGCCTTCGCAGTCCTCGACAATGCGACCCGCCTGGATCAAGACATGCAACCAGTTGACCGGCTTTATGAAGCAACCGTAAACCAGATCGATGGGCGGAATATGCTCGGGAGCCAGATTACCATTCCGGAACTCTTGAACGGGAATGGCGTGAACCAGACTAACTCGCGATGTACTTGGATCCATCTTCCCGCCAATAATGTGAGTCTCCTCTCAACAAAGTATCGCCACGCGGTAGCTAACAGCCCTGCAGATGAAGTGGGCAGAGGTACTTGAAAACGTTGGACCGACCCGATCTTGTAAACTGACCGCTCTGACTTCAAACAGATCCTCATCTTGCAAGTGTTAGGGCAGCAGAGACGGGACAGGATGCTGCGCCACGAGCTGTGGACAAGCCGTCAGATACGTGGCTCTGAAAGATCTTATATCTCTTTCATGAGACCTGGTTGCGAGGAAATTGGGGAATCCAACGGGTTTGTTATATTCGTGAGTCAGATGAGTCCAGACCGGCATTGAGAAGATGGCCGTGGAGAACTGAGCTTCTCTACTTCGCACAGATGCCCTACCTCCACTGGGAGACCCAGAGAAAGCAACGGCAATTGGAGGCCTTCAGCCTCTGCAAATTTCTGCTGGAATCAGAGGCAGACAGACTTCCTTCCCTTGTGAAGCAGCTATCCACCGAGAATAATGACATCCTCAACACTTTTGCGGAAACCGAGTCCAATGATCCTAAAATTGCAGCGCTCGGTCAGGAGCTCCTGCAATTTCTGACGACCGTAGAAAGTTCAAAAGCAAATAAAGTGTCTGCACAGGCACAGCTCAAACAGGCCCTACAGGCCTATAGGGAGGATGCCTGCGCGTCAGATCGGGATTTGCGTCTCTTCAACTCGTACGCGACTCGGCACAATGTCAAACATCCTCTTCATATCCGCAGAACGCTTGATCAATCGTTCTACTATACGTTAGATAACACATCTACGCGCAACAAAGATCAAGTGGTAGCACGTTATGGTCGAAAAGAAGGGAGAAAGGAACCTATTGTCATGATGGTAGACCAGCTGTGGCTCTGGTGCTCAGGGGGTAAGTGGACCCTGTTTCCACAGCGGACCGTACCCTTTGACTGTGCTAACGCACTCTCCAGGGACTTTGATTACTTGCTTTCCACAAAGACGCGAATGCAATCCTGATGACCCAGACCGGTTCGAGATGACTGATATACTGGAAAATATCCTGCATTCAATCTCTCCAGGTGTCAAGAGGAAAGCAGGCTTGGAAGGACCACTATGGCTGATCCAAGGCATTATCAATGAATGCGCTGGGGCATTTTTTGATCCGATGAAAAACGTGGATGACGACTTTAAGTTTTTGGATATGTTCAGTAATTCAATCAGCAGAATAGTAGGTCGTCTTCCTCTTCAGAGATGTCTCGATTGTCAACTGACTCCTCCACGTAGGCTGACGGAGAAGTTGCCTGCTACGAGCGCTTCGTCAAGATGCTACACATATCCAATCAGCAGAACCTTATGGATATAGACACCGAGTCCGACCTTTTGCGAGAGATTAAGGATATTCTCGATGAACTCCGGATGATAAGGGTAGTTATGGAAGATCAACTAAAAGTCATTGTGGCCATCGGAAAGGTACAAGATTCTCGAGTCTTGGGTGGTGTACGGGAATCGGTCGAACGCTACCTTGACAAAGTTCAGTCCATGCAGAACGAGGGACAAGCGACGGTAAATTCGGTAAGGATGAGGGCTTCACCTTGGAAGTATTATACCGCCTACTAACGGACTCACTCTTAGCTGAATGCCTTGATGGACCTGCGGCAGCGACACGCGACCCTCTGGGAGGCCAAATCCACCGGGATGCAAGGGAATACCATTATGGTTTTTACTGTGGTCACCATTCTCTTTGTGGGTTCGAAGTCTTCTGTTTGTTAGAAACCCAGCTGAACGGATGTAGTTACCTGCCTCATTCATGGCCTCCTTCTTTGCGTTGCCCATCATGCAGTTCTCCAAAGCCGAGAGCTCGGACAGTCTCGACCTGTCATATGTGGTGAAATGGCTAGGTAAGTCGCACATCTCCCGAACACCAGAGGCCATCTCCTCGGTTATGGACAGATACCTCAGCGACTAACGCTGACTGCAACTCAGTGGCTTTTACCGTGCCGGTCGCCTTCTTCTTCATTTCGATTGCCTTCTACATCAATGACATTCTGAAGTTCCTGTCCCGGATTACTGGACATGAAAGACGAGTTACTAGATTGTCCGCCGAGACTTGGAAACAACAAATCGGGCAGGGCATCATTGCACCTGGGTCAGATGGCCGGCAAGTTCGTGACGGTTTCGAGAAGGCAAATGGAGATGCAGTTTCACAGCACAGTCAAGACAAGCTGAATGCTCAATCGGCGGCTCGGCGGAGAAAGCTGTTCCGATTCCATAATCGGGATATGGATAGTCCAGCTTAAGGCTGAGGTAGGCAAGGAGACCAATCGGATATAATTCGAGAAAACCCTTCTTCCCAGTGGGGAAACTCCCGACTGTCGCCGCTGTCATTGGAGACGGTCTTAGTCAAGACTTCTTGGTCCTCTTCTACTGTGAGCATAGAGAATGCATGTAGTCCGCTTATGCTGTAAGTCGTTCATTGGACAATATATATTCCGTTTTGTCGAGTATTCTTTGGAAACACAACCTTATCTGCTACTTGATCTACTATCTAGCTCCAGCGACATTTAAGCCTTGTATTAGAAGACGGGAATGTGCATCATTGACCAGCAGTGACCTGTTGTAGTTTTACACACCATAGTCTCTTTCTAAATTCGTTTTTCTGACATGATTGCGGTGCAAGTGAGGGATCCGAAGAGCAGTACAGTACAGTACACAGAGAACTCGGCAGATGCTGGGTAAGATGGTGGTAATTCACGGTATATGACGATAGCCGAACTACCAAGTCGTCCAGCATGTAACAGCCACGGTCGGCTGCCATTGAGACATTGTCCACTATCAAACACTGAATCCCAGGGAAAAATATGAATATGCTCGCACCGCAGCCGTGCAGAGGATTGGATGCACTCGGAGTGCCGCGACTTAGGGGCTAAACGACTCGTGTATGATGACAGGTCGAGTTGAAGCGGCTGCTATTTTTGCAGCACAATGACTCGCCAAGAAGCTAAGTTAGCCCTCTGGGGCCAAAGATCCAACAGCACAGCCTTCTCATCATGCTTACATACTTCAACGCGACAGACGTTTCTGGGGGCGTAAGAAAATGGGTTGCAGCTCAGACGCAGGTGGTGAGTTCTTTGTATATAGGTATAGGAAGCCTGCCGGCCAAACCACCAAGAAACGACCCTTTCGAGCAACAACTTTGCCTCTGTGTTTTCGTCGTCGATCTCGCTCACGTGATTAGGGCTCGTCGCTCATGCTTACTTGCACTCATCGCCCCCAGTGTAGCCCGTGTGGGTCCATAAGCTACTCGAGTATACGGTCGGATTTCTCTAACTTATAATAAGTGGGCCGCATCGCCTCATCATGACTGCACTTTATGCTCCCGCTTCAACTACTACAGACGCATAGTGATGAGCAGGTACGATCAGGGGGATGTCAGGGTGAGGGCACGGGGTCAACTGGCCAGATCGCAAGTGTACTGTACTCCGTACGGCCCCGTTACTCTTTCAGCACGGCTATTCTGCCGCAGCAGCCCTGTATCAAAAGGAGGGGGCTAAAAACAATCCTTCCCCACTCGGTCGTGGCTTGGCCTAAATAGGAGTCTGTGCCCTGTCAGATCGCCCCTCTTTCTCTCATCTCGCTGATCATGTTCCCACTTATAAGATCAGTTGTCGCACTGACCGACTGTGTCTCAACCAAACCCATCACTTAGCCACCCACCTTGGTGCAATGTTCCCATTATCGCATTTCCGCCAATACCGGCGACGAGGCACAATTGTCTCCCGAGCCCTGATCCTCGTTGTGCTGATTGTCTATTGCTGCAAGGCCACTCTCCGCACACGACAATTCCACCCGGTGGAACAGGACGCGCAATCCATCCAGAAAAGACTGGAACCCAGCCTTGCCATCCCTGAGACAGCTCCGTTACAACAGCCAGTCGGCCTGCCAGACCCTCCGCCAACCGTACCCCCGGTGCCCCCGGTACCCACCGTACACCCCCAAGCGGCTGCAGACACCCACAACCTCACCCAGCACCTCGCGAACCTCTTCGCCGTCCTCCCCGACGAATTGCATGCCCACACCCTCACCAGCCCGTTAACAGCGACAGGGGAAGAGAGACTACGCGACCTGGGGTTCCGGACGCGCGCCTTCGACGCCCTGTTCCGCGCCTGGGAAGCCATCCACCTAGTCCCCACCGAGACAAACCAGATGCTCATCCGCGACGACATCGTGCGGGTCCTGCGCGACCACCCAGAACTCTCCGCAGACCTCGAGCTCACCCCAGCCAGCGCGATCCACGCCTACGAAACAACGCGCAGCTTCCTGACCCAACTAGCCAAACGCCTCTTCCCATGGATCACCCCCTACTCCGCCGACCACATGACCCTGCACGCGCAATTCCACAACGGAGGCCGCGGCCTCGTCTTCACAGCCGGCAACGACCAAGCACCCTACCTCGCGACCTCGATCCGCACCCTCCGCGCCCACGGCTGCACCCTCCCGATCGAGATCCTCTACCTGGGCGACGAGGACCTCGACGAGGAGATCCGCGACGAGCTAGAAGCCCTGCCCGGCTCCGTCGTCACCCGGGACCTGAGTGTAATGGTCGACGACGCCGGCTGGACCCTCCGCGGCTGGGCCGCGAAGCCCTTCGCGATCCTGCTGTCCAGCTTCCGGGAGGCAATCTTCATCGACGCGGACGCGCTCTTCCTGGCGGACCCTGCGGCGCTGTTCGACGACCCACTCTACAAATCCACGGGCGCCTTGTTCTTCAAGGACCGGCTGTTCATGCCCGGAAACGAGAAGCGGACGTGGCTGCGGCGTGTCCTCCCCGCGCCGGTGTCCCCGCGGGTCCGCCAGAGTCGGATGTGGACTGGCCAGAGCATCCACATGCAGGAGTCCGGGGTTGTAGTTGTGGACAAGTGGCGCCATTTTGTGGCGTTGTTGATGGTCACCCGCATGAACGGGCCGGATCGTGATGGCGATGAGAGTAAGGGGTTGGTGGGGGTTTATGATATGGTTTATGGTGAGTTAGTCTACTTGTATGCTTTCAAGGGTTGTGTTGGCTGACGAGAGATGCTCTGTGTTGTGTAGGGGATAAGGAGACGTTCTGGTTGGGATGGGAGCTGGTCGGGGATACCAAGTATGCCTTCCATGAGGGCGCGGCGGCGGTCATGGGAAAGCCCCAGGCGAACCGTGACAACACCACCACTACAGAGAGTAAGGAGCACGACTTGAAGTATACCGTGTGCGCCCCGCAGTTGCTGCATTTGGGGACTGACGGCAGACCCCTGTGGTTCAATGGGTGGCTGCTGCCGGATAAGTTCTCGGACGAGGAGCGCCAGCCGACGAACTTCGAGGCTTTCATCCCCGAACCCCCCAGTGCAGAGGACAGCGGCTCGTGGCAGTTGCATGACAGCAACGTCTGCTGTTTGTCAGCCGACCAGGTGGTCTACTTCGACGCAGCGGAGAAGGAGGCCTTGGATGGGCTGATCGAGATAGCTCGGGATGTGGGGGCGATCGGTCGGTCACAGTAAGACGGAATCGATAAAACGAACAGAGCGCATGGCATCAATGGTCTAGAAACAACATTCTGAGTAGGCCGTGCCCGGACAGTGCATGACGAGTATTATCCGAACCAGTGTCAGAGAATCAGTTACAGGGAAGAGCTTCTTATTCTTGTGACATCTGCGGCCCGGGAAACAGTCGAACTAGATATTCTGACAAAGGAGAAACTCAGAGCACTCATGGGGTCTTGTGTTATTCAACAGAACTCAGTCCCTGGACGTCACCTGGGATCAATCACGGGGACCTAGCTACATTTGGGAGATTTGCTCCAGTTGCATCATCAGACTTCCCATGACTCGTGCTCCGGGCTAGAAAGGGATGATATATCTCGATTGAATCATATCGATCTTGACAGCGCTGTTCGGTCGGTGCCGCACTCACCAGTGCCGGCGCACATGTCTGGCTCTTTTTGTCAGGTTTTGAGCAAAAGAATGTTGAGGGATTGACCACCAAACCCATTCTGAGCCGGAGACCATTACGCACTTTGCTCTGGCAGGTACTTGGAAGTATACTTGTAAGACTCCCAGGCTGTTTCATCATGAATAGGGAAGCTGCAAAGATAATTCTATCTTTACTCAACCAAACAGATTTTTGATAAGTCTAATATGATTGACCCACCTTACTAAGAAGAAATTAGAAGAAAGAAGTCACCAAATGGACAGTGGGAGATAGATTGTAAATTACAAGAAAAGACTGTTTGAAAGTTACTGCAGACGTATATTAACTCTAGGGAATCTAGGGAATAATACTATATATAATGTCCAATACAACCCCTGAACCTACCATGACTGTAATAGCGATAATGTACTTAAGTATCTGATATTAGTATGGAGCCGTGTCCCAAAGGTTATTAGATTACGCTAATTGTACCAGTGTATGCCAGGTATAACAACTACCAAGGTAATATATCTATAATCTAAAGTAGTAAGTCTGAAGGCCAGATATAGAGAAGTTACTTAAAAGGATATAGTCTATGAAATTTAATATAGTAACTATCAACATATTAGATCTATTTTAGAATCTATTGGAAGACTTTTATTCAATTAGTATTAGTTTCGCCAAACCATACTTAGATAGTAAGGCTTGTGATATATCACATTGACAAGTAAATACATTGATTTCAGCTTGGAAAATTACGGCAGTTCAATAACTTTTGGTACACGGCTCAGTAGTTAAAAAAACAATCAGCTAAGGTCAAGATGTAGATCAATAAAACTTAAATTAAATTGAATCAAATAAGCTGACAGGCCAATTACAGGAGGCCTCGTTCTCTGTGAGATGCAACTGGGGCAGAGTGGGATTAAAAAGTATCTGCCTCTTCAGGACCAGACAACTCCTGTGATGGGCGCCATTGTATCATCCTTTCGCGTACAACGGCCAATGTCAGACCTTCCTGAGCCTCGGTGTAGGAGGTCCTATTGCTTGAAGGGCGGAAGCGTGCTGATACCGCTTGAATATGCTTGGTTAATTGATTTTTCAGCCGCAATGCACGATCTCTTCCCTTAGTTCCGAGGAAAGAGTATAAGCGAGGCGGAGCAAGATGACTATGAGTCGGATTTCCTTCGGGCCGCAGCGCCCTCGCCATGCTCCAGGCTCTACGCACTCCCTCATGACGGTCTGGAGGGAAAATGCAGCACGCGAGCTGGAGGACTTCATCCAAGGGGCCGGGGATGGAATCATAAAGGCGCCGATGAAGCTCCTTTCTGGCTTGGCTCAAATCATCGAAATCCACTAGCTGCACTTCCAGCTGTGTAGGGCAGTCAACCAGCTGCCAGAGACCTAACTTACTATGTTGATCCGCTCGCTGGGGTACGAAGAAGCGGTTGTATGCCGGAGTTCTACTCGGTGGATTGACCGACGGTCCTGTCAAGCGGTCCCAGAGGTGGATGTTGAAGTTAACCTTGTCGCCTTCATGGGTTAAATAGAAATTTATAAAGTCAATGACGCCGTAAAGCTCGCTTGCATCGAAAGGACGGTCGATTCCATGACTCGATAAGTCGCCGAGTGGCAGCATCTGACTAATCACGTCGGGAACCATGATGTAGCGACAACCTGTAGAGCCAGCGATGCACACTATCACATTCATTCTCGGCAGCATCCTCGCTACGTGCAGTGCATCCATGATTTTGTCCGATGTGGAAAGAGGCCAATAAGCGGAGTCAAGGATGGCACGGCAGAACTCCGCTATCGTTTCTGCACTTTCTGCGCTTGTGTATTGTGGCGAGTCTGGGTGTAAAATATCAAGAAAGGACACAAGCGAAGGCGGCGGGCGCTGGACATTGATGTTGAGGAACGCCTCGCCCACGCCGAGATATATAGCCCAATTCAGACTGTGTACAAGGCGAATCGCCCAAAGCCTGGCGTTCTGAGCTAATACCATGACGGTAAAGCCATCAATTGTGGGCCACTCGAGCCGGTATAACGGCGACCTCCGGCATAGTGCCCTGAGCATGGCTGTGGGCAGCGTTTGGCGGGTGTGTTTATGCTGACTCGCGATTGCCTCGAGAAGTTCCGTCACCTGGGAGTGCTTGTGCTTACCCATGGCCTTCAGGATGGCATAAAGCCGGTCTAATAACCGCCACTCACCACCGAAGATCGGCATTCCCAGTAACTGACAGTCTTTCTCGATCCATGTGCCGAGTTCGAAGTAGCTGCTCGCCATCGTATCCGTGTTCGCGGCGCGCCGATTCAGTCGTTTGGCTGTGCTGGCCTCCAACTGCTGCAGCGCGGCCTCTCCGGTCAATACAATGCCATTGATAAGATCCAGCAGACGCTCCTCATCGTCAGATATTCCTTCTCCCTGCGACTCAACCGGCTTATAGATCATGTCATGTTCAATCTCTGACCACACATGCATCACGAGCGTTCCCACCTGGATCTCGACCACAATGTCCTTCCATGCATATCTCCGATCGTCGGGTATATCTTCCTCGCGCAGCTTGACAATAAAGTGGGTCGCTTTGTAGCCCGAGAAGGTCCTCGCAAACCCTCGTTGCAATGGGTCGTTGACCTGAGTAGGCCGATGGACATGATTGTTCACAGACTCTGGGGTTTGGAGGTAGTCGATGAGCTGTTGCAGTCGCCTTGATCTCTCACCGGAGCCTTGACGCTTGTTTGTCACTTTGACGACCTGGACACGGCCTTGCAAGATGGAAGCGACCCGCTCCACGTCTCCCGGGAAGTAAAGAGAGACCCGCAACCCGCCGAAGTCCTGCAGTGCGGCGAACATGTCGGCGGGCGTCTGCAGAGCCATCATCTCGTTCTGTGCCGTCTGCAGGCCTATCTCTCGACAGTATTCTTCCCACCGACGGCCCTTGGCTTCGACGGCGGCGCGCAGACGCCGCCATAAGACCAACTCTTGGTACTGTCGGCGGATACTACCCTTGGCCGACTCCCAAGACTTGATCCGCTTCGTGATCGGTGTGTGACGGACGTTGGACGCAGCGAGGGAGGCGGCACACACTTCCAGAACTTCATCAGTGTAGCGCATCAATGTGTCCACCTTGGCCTGAAACGCATCGTACATATAACTCAATCTTTCCTCAAAGCCATCCTCTTGGCCTTCGCAATTTTGGGAGCCTTGGTTGCGAGCTTCGTTCGGAGGCAGAAGCAGCGCCATGGCAGCAACAAACTGGGCGACAAGTAATCCTTTGCGGTCGGATCTACACCTGGAAGCGGATAGACCCAGACTAAACCCGCCCTAAGATCAGTCAGTGTTTACTGAATCCGAAAAGACACAGGCAGATGGGGGGTGAAAAGGAGATACACAAGTCGTCAACAGTTTCACTGTCTCTACAGAGAGAGACGGTGTCCGCGCGCGCCCGTATGAAGAAGAGCAAAATTGAGTGAGCGTTGGGGCGAGTAGTTGGATACCTCAAGGCACCTGAGCAGGGAAGAGATCATAGTTACTTTGAGAATAAAACAGGAGATAAAGGTTAAAAGAGGGGTAGAGGGTGCAGTAAGCGACTTGGTGCAGGGGGCTTCTACCAATGCAGACCTGTGTACGGAGTGCCCAATAGCTTATTGCGGTGCCTGCGTGACCTAACTTACTGCTTCTGGTCGAGGTGTGCCCAAGTAGTGGTCATTGGGCGGCTGCGGCGGGCACTTGTTTTGCTGACATGGACTCACGTAAAGGGGAAGGGGAGCCCAGGTATTCAGCGTGTGGCTGAGGGTGGCTCAGAAAAACATTCGGTGAGATTCTAGACGAAGGACCCGGAAGAATTATCTGGGATTATCCCTGTCAATGGCATCCGACTAAAACCCGACATGCAAAAGGTGTCCCCGAGTTCATATTATACCGTAGCACTTTAGGATACTTGTATTACCTGCCAAGTAACAGACGAAGCGTTAGGAAAGAACGCAATCGGTTTATAGGACAGTCAGCAAGACAATGGAAAAGTTGAAAAGAGAGTAAAGAGTACTGTACAAGACAAGTTACCAAGACAAGGCAGCAGCAGCCGGATGACACTAAAATCTAGTAACGGAACTAATGTAGTCAGCCACACTTGTTGCCTATCATCATCAGGCTTCAGGACACAGCCCCATTGGCTATGCCCAAGAAACAGCCTCAGAGCCTGCTGCAGCACGTCTGACGTAACGGGGCTGATTTGGCTTTCGCCCTTGAGCTGTTCATGTTCGACCGATAATGAACATCGTGACCGGACCGGCGAGGGGTAGGGAGTTATCAATGTCTGATGTCCCCAATTATCATGGAGACTCGTCTGTGGAACCCACGATGGATTCGACGGCATCCTCGTACAGCGGCTATGTAACCTACATGGCCGCTCGTAACCCAAGTATGGGGGTCCTGTCTAATTTCCTCCTTCGCCCACCCCCAGCTTTCTTTCGTAGTACAGTCAGTTACATCAAGATCATCTCAGAAAGAGTTGTGGCAGACGCAGGTCCCCCCAACCAGCTCACGTGCACCGATCTTGTTCAGAAAGTATCAGAACTTGGGGCGACCAGCGGCCTCGTCGCGGTTATCGAGAACCTCCGACCCGAGGATGTGGAGACCTTGGGGTCGGCCTGGGACATCGATCCCTTTTTCTTTTGCGGCCACATCGCGTCCTCCTATCAGCTTGTCGAAGAAGGGCCGCCTCCGCCCTTGATGGCCCTGCCGCCGTCTCGGATCGTATCGCAGGAATATTTCAATCTCCACTATCAGAAGGTTCTAGACCTGGGTGATGAGTCTATTCTGGCCCACCTGCCGTACAAGCTCGGTCTCCCTGCGAATATTCCCCGAATTGTGCGACGTCTACCCGGGCTTTCGGGAAGGGCGATCGGCCTCGTGCGCAGTTGCTGCTCGGTTTTGAAGAAACGAATGCCAGATGGCAAATGGATATGTAAATACTCCCGTCGCAGTTCTCTTCTTTCTTCCGGGTTCCCCTCCCCCCCCCACCTTTTTTTTTCGAAAAAGGATTTCTGTTCCTTTGAGATCTGTGAGCAAGCACTAAGATTCAGGTCAGGCTTGATCCTAGTGGACCCCACAATAGCGGATTTTGTCGCACAGAAACCACGGACTGACACCCCGTTCGAGGACGTTAGGGTTAGGATCCCCCAAGCCCCACGCCGGATCAATGTCGAAGATTTCTGCGACCTGCCCACTTATTCCACGTTTCGCTCCTCTGGGAGCGCAAAGGCAGACCCGCGAGACCCAAACATGCGAGAGGACCTGCTGCGGCTCCTGCAGGTTCCGCCTCCGGACTGGAACGCAGACGACCCCGACATCCTGTCGCTGGTCTACTATCCGGTCAAGATCGTGGTGGCGGAGTGGATGCTGTACGGCCTGGTGATGGGCCGGTACGTCAAGTTCTACGAGTACTCGCTCCAGGCGGCGCGTCCTTGGGCAAGCCAGTTCGAGCAAGCGGACGTGCTGGAACTCCACCGGTGGCGGCGCCGGAGTCAGCAGAGCCTGCACAAGATCCGAATGATGCGGCGGTTTGTGGAGCACTGGGGGGAGCGACACCCGCCTTCACCGCCGAGAACCTGGCATCATATGCTGGTGGGTGATTTCCGACACCTAGAGGAGCAGATCGAGCTGCATGCTCGCGCTTTCGAAATCTTAAACCCCATCAATACCGCATTGGTGCAGCTTCTCGACTCGCGCAAGTCCATTTCCCAGGCTGAGGACGTCAAGCGCCTTAGCCTCGTTGCCCTGGTCTTCATCCCGCTTTCCTACGTTACGGGCATATTCAGCATGGCCGACCGGTATGCTCCGGGGAGTGAACGCTTCTGGGTATACTGGGCGACCGCGGTGCCCATCGCCGTGGTCGTGCTGTGCTTCACGTTTTTGACGGGGCGCATCCCGGAGCTTGTCCGGTGGGTTCACGGTTGGCGTGAAGTTGCGTTCAAGGCTCGATGAATTCATTAGAGCGACTCTATTTACCTCTATTGTTGTGGATTTTGAAATTTTTGCAGTGCGAGGTTTGTGGGATTTATCTATCGAAACCATACACAACTACGAGTTCAGTCATCCTCGGTTTCGTACAGTCTATACAATTATACAATATATCTTTTCGCAAGTCAAAATGAGGATTCAATACACGAATTTGCTTCGCCCCGGATACAATAAAAGGAAGAGCTTGAATATCCGGGTTCAGGCTATCGGGGAGGGACTAATTCCCTAGTAATACTGTAGGCGCGACGACCCGACCGGAGCCGGCGTGAGCTGATCAGTCAACCAGAGGGAGACACCATCGCTATAAGTATTACACATTCATTTGTGGTAATTCAAAAGGCTCCTTGATCCCCATATTCATGTATATATATCACTGCTAGACCGGCTCTACCGCGCCATCAGATGTGGAAGTTTCTGTATTTTTTCAAACTTTCTATACCGGGAATATAACAAGCGGGTTAGCCTTTCAAGTTCTCATGTTTGAATATCCAACCAACTGACACCACAGTGGCCAAGCAAGTACGATTCATCTCGTCGCACTCGACGCTGCAATTAGCTACAGAGGATAAATCATCATTATTATGATCGTGCGTTGACCACAACATCATGCAACTAGCTTTCCGATCGCTGGTGGGCTTCTAGTATATGGCCAGTGCTTTCACTATCCCGCCTCCCCCGCAGCGCAGACTACAACCTCATGAATCCATTCCGAATAAAGAGCCTCATATGCTGTGATCCGGCGTTCAGGCTTTGGATTGAGCATGGCGTAGATCACATTGCAGCAGCGATCCTGGTATCCTTAGCAAACTAACCTTCCGTTTCTCAAGGCCGATCAGAAAACTTACACTTCCAAACTCCTCAATAGTAGTAAACCCTTCTACATCCTCTCGTGTCCGTAAATACCACTGAAAATTCCGATCCTCGTCGCTAGCCACCTTCCACAAGAGCATGCCCAGCCGCATAAACGCATAGATCAAGCCCACGGCCCAGACATCGGTGGCCCGAGGATCGTGCTCGCAACCACGCAGCACCTCCGGCGCGGTAAACGGAACCTGCTCTAACGGGGGTTGCGCTTTTGACAACGGTCGCGAGTCCTTCGGCAACCATTCGGCACTATCGAAATGTGCCACCTTCACCGCCCCATTCACAGTTAGGAGCACATTTTCCGCCCGCAGTCGTCGGTGCACGATCCCCTCGTCATGGAGGAACGAAACCCCGCGCAGCAGCTGCTTGAAGAAGCAATCCGCTTCCACGGCAGAGAGCTTCACCGTTCGCTGAAGGAGAGTCTGCAGACTGCCGCCGCCGCAGTATTCCATGACGGAGTGCAGATCCCCTTTGTCATTGTAGCAGTGCTCGATGGTGCGCACGATGTTCGGATGTTGAACGACCGAGGAGATGCCCATCGCTGCGCGGCGATACTCGTCTAAGAGTCTTCCGGGGGAGCGGTGACGGACTTTGACGGCGTACAGTTGTTCTTTTCCCGAGTGCTTCGATGCTTTCTTGGCGTACAGGCCCACAAAGGTCGACGAACCGTAGTGCAGGACCTTGATGCATTTCCCATATCGGTGGGAGAATGGTACCGGCTTGTCATTCCCCTCAGAAGTTCCGGATCGTGAGATTACTGGATCGCTCGGAGTTTGGCGAGAGGTGTGGTGGGTGAATGTGTTGCATAACTTTTCGAAGAGACCAGCGGGCTTCTCGGGTTCGATGAGATGACGATGGTTGCCATCCTCTAGGATCTCGATGTGGTGCGGTCTTCTCCCCTTGGTGGACATGGCGAAGCCTGCCCGGTCCTGCGAGGACGTTTCTTTGTATAGATGTGCGTGTTGAGCTTGCTATGATCTAAACGACTTTATCCCGAACACATGCACCTTTGGATTCAGTCAGGCGACCTGTCAACTCAACCAACCCTTCGACCTGCAATACTAGAATGACTAGTGGGAGTGACACCAGATAATAAAGCCATCTGAACAAGAAAGCTAGAGGAGAGGGTGGGGTGACTCTTGGAGGAATACAATGATGTCGGCGTCGGCTGGAATGTGACGAAGCCCCGACCCGCCCCGCCCCCGGATCACATGCCCACGCTAACCTAAAATGGTATCAGAGAACCCGTCACTTCGTCGCGTGTCGCAAACAAACAGTGCAAACCCCTAGTATTCCCTCTCCGCTCGAGTTGAACTGGAAACATTTTCCCCGCATCCAGCAAAGCTTAGCCAAGCTTGGTTTCGCACGGCGGGCATCTCTTGTTCTGGAAGTTCTCTTATGAGTGCGTCACGTCATGGTCCAGCCACGCTTCCCCGTTCCTGACGCGATGAAGATTTCTTGCCGCTGATGCAGCCGGTCGGAAACACTTCCAAAGAAAAAGCGGTCACCACACGGGATCAATTATACATACACAGCTAGGACATATATAGACCTAAAACGTGCTTTGCACACTTTGAAAAGGATAGGCCTATTTGAGTATATCCAGTGCTATGTGATATACCTTATCTTCGAGGACGGGCAAAATGGGATATGGTACCGTTAACATAGATTACATACCTCCGAAGTCAAAATACCTCCCTGGTACATTTAGCGATAAAACTCCTGGCTTCGAATTGCAGTAGAAAATCATCTTTCTTGACGAGCGGGAATGTATAGTAATTTGCAGAGTGATTCCTCCCTCTTACGGAGGTAAGAAGTCTACGATGACTTTATAGCACCCCTCAAGATGCGAACCAGTAGTCCAACTGACCAGGAACGAATTATGCAAGGTTTTTCACCTTTCCCGCCAGCCCCCAGTGGTCGTTGGAACGCCGGACCTGCCGCCAGAACCACGCCACATGCGCCTCCTGTTCGCGGGCCTTGTCCGGAGAGCGGGAGCCCGCCCCCTCCTTCGGCGCCGTGATAGCCGCCAGTTCCTCCCGCAGCTGCTCTTCCAGCCGGGCTTCCTCGTCGTGCCCATCGCCGCACTCAGCATCTGGGCGGAGCAAACTACCCCCCAGTTGAGAAAGCCGTCTCTCCGCGGTGCGGCGCCGCAGGGAGGCCCTCAGCTCCCGTATCATCCGGTCCTCCAGCAACGCCGCTACCGCGACCGAGTGAAACGGCCCCTCCTGATGCGGCCAGTCGCGCAGCGCCTGCATAGCCTCCCACCGCAGCCGGAAATCCTGGCAGCCGTCGGCCACGATGAAGAGTAGCGGGACGACCCCCAGATCGACGGTTACCGTGGGCCGGCCGGGAAAGTCGGCAATAAATTGCTGGATCCGGCGCAGCACCGCGCGGTACTGGGGGGTGAACCGCCGCAGCTGTTCGGGGTCGTGGTGAACAGGCCCGGTCTGGACCACGAGCGAGATCGTGATCACCAAGAGCTCGAGGAGCTCGACTCCGTGCCGGGATTTCGGGCTGAGATCATCGCGTTGGTGGAGGGTCTGGAGCAGCTGCATCGCGGGCCGTAGCTGCGCGGCCATGGCGAGTTGCTCCGCCGACAGTGTGGTGCGGGCGGCCTGGAGCTCGGCCGGGGACATGCGCCAGCACCCCCGCACGAATTTGAAGAGGCGGTTATGGAGGGGTTCTAAGGCTTGGCGCGCGCTGTAGAGGGGGTCGTTGTGGGGTTCAAGCCATTTGTCGTCCTGCTGCTGCTGCTGGGGCTGCGGCCACCATGGATCAGGAGCAGGCTGGATCAACGTCCCGGCCTCGTCTTCCTCTCCCCAGCGCCACAAGCCCGGCCCATCCATCCCAATCTGCGTGTCCAGGTGTCGAAACACAGCGACCCATCGTCTGGATGTGGGACTCCGCGACGACGGCTCGCTTTCGCGGAGGATCCGCAGTCCGGCCCGCAAATGTTGCAGCGCCGCACAGTAATCCTGCCAGATGATGGACACCACGGTGAACAGCAGACAGCAGAGCAGGGTCACGTCGCGGACCTGCGGGTCGTGCGGGTTGCGCTGCCGCAGACAGGCGAAGGCTCGCGCCGACTGCGCGACGGCTACCCAGTACCAGAACTGCGAAGCACGCCCGATCACACCCCCGGCTTCGACCTGTTGGTGCACTGCGCCCAAGGCCACCACGGCATGCCAGACAGCAGGCTCCCGAGGCACCATCTGCAGCAGGAACTGCTGCCAGACGGCCGAGTCAAAGAAGCTGAGCGCGTCTGGGAGGGTCCGGGCTTGGACGAAGCTGAAGCAGCGGCGCTCGTCGGAGGTGCTGGCCCACGGCACCGCCACCGTGACCGGGCCGGCCACAACTGGCAGGGGGTCCCGGCGGTAATTGAGCTTTTCGCCATTGGTCGAGAGGAATAGTTGTTGGTAGGAATCATACCCATCGCATCGGCGGCCAGTGGAGGTGCAGTTGCGGCAGCTGCCGGGGGTTTCGTCACACTTGATGCGTCGGGTTCTGCCGTGGATGATGTTCTTTCTAGTCGCCTTCTCCTGCAAGGTGTGGTGTATAGCTCGGGTTCACATACCGGCAAGTGCGACAGCCCGTTCTCGATCTTGTAAATCCGGCCCGGCGGGGCTTGGCAGAGAGTGGTTTCATGGTGAGGCCACGAATCGCAGCAGGCGTCGAGGGGATGTGGTGAATGGGAAGTTGAGGTGAAGAAGTTGTGAAGTTGTGCGGGGAGACACTAGAGGAACTAGCTCCCTGCTAGACAGGGATTCTCAGTCCAGCTATACCATTTTCGTACTAGATAGTGGCATTGAAGGAATCCAGACTGTGACCATTTTTGGGATCGTAGAGTGGCCTTCCGTAGACTGAGATAACGTCCTTTCCTCCGAGCGTAAGTGGAATTTCATCGAGAAAAGAAATGGCAAGCACTAACTAGTGCTTCCAGATATATATGGCAGAGATTGTCTGACCCGATATCCCATTCCCACTCGGGTAAGGTCAGCTTTATGATTTTGATCAGCCTACGATTTCATAATTTATTAGATCTTTGAACTTACAATTCATCCCGCTTCCCTAATGACCATGATTCCCGATCAACCGTGGGGAAGGGCACCGCTGCCAGGACTCCACATAGGGAAGGGAACACTTAGGCCCTGAGGTCTTGTCATCGGTAGCTCGGTAACGACCACGTTACTGGATACCTAATAGATGTATGCCCATTGATATAAGGTACTTATCTTTCCAGCACTGGTTCTCATTCTGCAATGTCTTGGGTATGCGCTACACTTTCACATCATCTCTCATGTGCCGCCTCTACAAGGATGGTCTCGCGTCTTGCATTGCTGTAAGATAGGGTTGGCGGGCGGGCGGACCGAGGCTAAGCCGGCGATGATTAGTGAACATGCGTGCGCAAAATACAAGGTGGCAAGGAGGCAGCGTATCGTCATTCTGTCTGCAATGGAGCCTAAACTTCCGCTGATGAACTACTACCTTCCGGTTTGGCCTCTGATGGTGAAGTATTACGCATGCTATTCCGCTATGACTATCCTGTTTCCCTTGATTCCACCAATTGATCCTAACATATGATACTAGGTAGCATATAGGATTACCGTACTGTACCGTACCCTGAGTATACATCACATCGAGATTAGAACCCTAACCCTCACATTATCTGGTGCTGATAACGCGTCAATAATCTACAGGGAAACTGCCGAGGTTGAAATGCTTGCACTTGTGCTGACAAGATGACGTGACCGGCAGTTGTTTGATTTAGTGAGGTGCCTCTCCTGGCTTCGGAATAACAAAACTGCTGCATTATTTCCTCTGACAACGAATCTTTGGGATCATTGACATCTTTGCACTGTGCCGTTTACTGCAATTCGGCCTTTGTTATCCTTAATCGAGAACAATGGTAGAACCCGCGCACTCCTCACTCTTTGAAAAAGCGATCATCGTGACCCCGATCGGTCCGAGTACCTACGCCGCGTGTCTTGACCCGGCATGGTGTATCGGGAAAGGTAAGAGGACAAGGATTCTCTACCCCTCACCTGCAATATCCAGAGTCTGCAGAGGCTAACCAGAACTGCTGGAAATTGCACCAGTACCACATGGTGGCTACACCATGAGCATCTTCTATCGAACCGCGGCTGTTCATTTCGCTCGCAAACAAAGCGAGTCCGAGCCGAAGACAACCAAGACACCCAAACTGCCCTCCCCGGAACCAGTCGGTCTGCAACTGTCGTTCCTGCGACGGACACTCGCTGGTCCCGCTGTCTTGACCGTCCAGGAAGTCAAGATCGGGACTAGAATAAGCACGATCCACGTATCCCTATCGCAACCCCGCAACAACCCCGGTCCGTCGGCAGCAACCACACCTGCGGTGCAGGACAAGAAGGACCATGAGCGTGAGCTCGAGGTGAAAGTGGTCGGGTACATCACCGTGAGTCCACCAGCGTACGAAGTGGGTCCGGCCGTGACAGGCCCGTGGCAGGCTACTCTCTCTCCGCCCGTGGTCGACTTTCGTGCCTTAGCGGAGAAAGGAGGCGACGGTGCATGGGTGCGCAACCAGTCCCCTCCACCCGGTCTATTTGCAGCAGGACATGCGGAGCTCTTCTTCCCAGTATCTACCCTTGCGTCAGCCAAGACACTGAAGGATCAGGTGAAGGGGGTTGTAGAGCAATGGGCGTGCTTCACGCCGGGAGGGCACCCCGCGCGGTGGTCGAATGAAGCCGTGCTGTACTTGGCGGATATGTTCCCTCCTGCATTGAACCGGTTGGGTGCGATGGAGATACAGAGGCTAAAGCAGGTCGGTGCGATTTCCGCAGAAGCTAAGGCCGGGCCGTTCTGGTATCCCTCCGTCACCTTGAATGTGGATTTGAAGACCCGGCTTCCGGCAGAGGGGGTCGAGTGGTTGCATTCGCACGTCGTGACGCGGATGCTCCGTGGAAGCCGGGCGGACCTGGAGGTGGTTATCCACAATGGACAGGGGGAGCTGGTGGCGACGAGTACGCAGGTGGCTTTGGTGGTTGATGCGGCGAGAAATCTTAAGGGCAGGGAAGCGTCTGAGAGATTATAGTTGTGGTAGCAGTATTTATCTGGTACCTAGGGATGAAGAATCAGTTAAGCATAAAGTACGCGTACATTAGCCGAACGGAAGGATCAGTAGAGTGTCGTAAAAAAGAGGGCGTAAGCGTTCGACAATACGTTCTCTGCACTGTGTCGACACTAACTCTAATGCTGTGTCTGCCTACAATAATGTCATTCGCCCCAACTCTCAATTCCTCGGCATTTGATCTAATCAGTAATCACACCGAGGTACGCGAACAATAGGGAGATTGGGGGGAGTGTGCCGAGCAAGAAGACCCATCCCCGAGTCAAGACCCGGGATTCACTATATATTCTCTCAATCTCGGCCATTCCCCTTAAATACTTCGTCAGGCAAGCACCCATCTATCCACCGGACTTTCACATTCGACCCCAAACCACACAAACAATAGAGCAGAACAATGGCTCTAAGCACCACCTACCAATACCACCCCATCATAACCGCCGAGGCAGACCTCCCCACCGCCCGCAAGCGCCGCGCGATCTACCTGCGCCCCTTCCTCCTCTTCTACCTCAGCTCCCTCGCCGCAGAGACCATCTTCCTCGCGGTCGGCGTCTTCATCATGACCGGCACCCGCGACCTCTACTACAAGGTCCTGTGGACGCTCGTCTTCTGCCCGCTGGGCATGGGCGGCGCCATGGGCGGGCTGATCAATTTGTTCATCGTCGACCACCACTACGGCGAGAGGGCGGCGCACTTCACGGGGATCCTCTCGTTGCTGGTGCTCAGCAGCTGCAACTATCTGTGCTACAATCTGGACCGGCATTTTGGGTGGTTCGGGGCCACTGACCACCCAATGTGGTTCCAATGGCGGTATCCGATGATTTGGGCAATGGGGTATGTGAATGGGTTGCTGTTGTTTACGGATGAAGGGCAGACGAGGTTGGCGCGGTGGGGGCTGTAGATTGCTTCAGGTTCCTGTCGGGACTGGACTTCACTGGACGCTGTGGAGGCAATAAGGGGCTAATTTGGGTCTTTCTGGAAATATGCCACAGTTTTCGGGTAGTTGTGGATAACTACCATCTTTAGTGCACCCTATACTATATACAATGTGGAGAGAAGAAACAAGTCTTTGCTGAAAATATGAAGAAAAGCACGTCCTGATAAGACATCCTGGTTGTAACAACTTTGGCTTGGGCTTTTGCAACAAATGACGGTTGTGTGCTGAGGGCTTTCCCCTAAGTATAATTGTAAGATTTGTCCTGTTAAACCAAGATACTATCATTCAACTGTAGCAATATCAGCAGATTGATAGCGGGGTCAATGGCTATAATACAGTTGATTATACGCGGGCTCCCCGCAATGGTGCACTGGTGTGGAGACCCGGGAACGGACTCAGACCTCGTCGGAATACTAATCAAGATCTATACCGGTAGTCTGAGCTCTACGAATAGTTGGAAGCATCGTCACAGAAAGAAAGAAGAAAGACGCTGGTCTCTTCGGTGCTCATGGTAGGGAAAGAAAAGAGGATCTTCGAGCAACAAGTTAGGCCCTTGCTCCCACCAGAGGGAAAGGTAGGTATCTGGGTAGTTCTGTTCTCGGTCGGTATGTACCGCACAGTATGGAAGTTCTGGAGCTGGGGGGTGGGGAGGGGGCTTGGCTTCAGCGACGGATTGCGCTTTTTCTGTGGCCTTGACTTCTTTGGTCATTGCAAGACCCAGCAGGGTGGTGCGTTGAAGGGCTGGTTAGGTGATTGGAAACGCTGAATGAATTAGACACACATCAGAGAAGCTGAGAGTGCATTGCGGAGGGGGTGTCAATACTTGTTTGAGACATTGAGACAAGAAGGGCTTGGTTTCAGAAGCTCGACCCGGAAACCGTATTATCTCGGAAATACTTTCCTGTTTCGATGATTGGGTCCGAGGGTGAGGTTCGGTCTGCCGGAAGGGGTGACGAGGCCAGGATCCACATGTTGAAAAGTGGAGCACCACTCATTCAATAATATTATCTATGTCTAGTATAGGACAAAATGGATGCACAATAACATCAAAGAAGTGAAATCCCATCGAAACGGATATGCTCGCCAAGGAAAGTGGCCAAGTAACGCTCAACAGTGAAATTAGTGGAAAACCCCCCTAAACCCCAATGGTTAGACGGGGCTATACGCGATTGAGATGGTGTGTCTAGTAGACAGGCAGCTTGAAGGCAGGGAAAGTGTAGTAGAAAGTATCGGCTCCCTCGTCATCGCTCTCGCACTTCCACGCATCCTTCTTCCAGACGGGCCGCTTGGGGAACTGGCACAGCTGCTGCACCTCTCCGTCGTACGCACCCGCATCGACCGTAGCGTTGAGACCGGTAGGCTGGACACCGCTCTCAACCCACTTGATCATGGTGGCCATGTTGTCCTCGGGGAAGGGGCCGTTGGGCTGCAAGCTGTTGCGGGCGCAGTGGGCAGCACCGGGCACCAAGTACAGCTGGTACCACTCCTTCATCTGCTCGATCGCCTTGGAGGAACCCAGGCTGGGGTACATAATCTTCATCACCGACTGCCAGTAGTGGACGGACGACGCGGTGGGGACACTGGGGTCGGATTCGCCGTGGTAGTGGATGATCTTGCCGCCGGAGGACTGGAAGTTGGTGAGATCGGGCAGGGTGGTCTGCAGAGTATCCATGTAGAGAACCATCGCCTCGTTCATCCACGAAACCAGGGTATCGTAGGTGACGTTGTTCAGGTTATCAAGGTTATCGACGTCAAGCAGCTCAATGAAGCGACCGACGAATTCTCCGCCGGTGGAGGGAATGTCCAAACCCCAGGACTTGGTGGAGTTATCGTACTCGGTTTCGGCATCGGTGAACTCGGCACCAATACGGTAGGAGAGGTAAGCCCGCTCGCCCTGGGAGTTGAACAGTCCGTCGTAGATGGCCTGCGCGACGGCCACACCTTCCGCGGTCACATTACCGCGCTGCGCCGGAGTAGTAGTCGTCTGGGTGCCGTCGTTACGCTTACCAAAGTTGAAACCGAGAGAGGTACTGGTGGTCGCGGCGCAGTAGTAGGACTCGCCGATCACGGAGGTCAGGTTGAACTCCAACTGGCACAGATCGGAGCGGGAGATGACTCCATCCGTGCGTCCATCGAGAGGATCGCAGGCGCTGATGGTCGCGTTCACAATCTTCTCCAGCTCACAGGGAGGGGGGAAGTAGTCGAGCGTCTGCTCGACGACAGCGGAGAAAAGGTGGTTCACCTGCTGCTGGCCGTAACGGAAGGCCGGGGCTCCGATGACGGCGCCGTCGTACAGGTCTCCGTAGCGCTGGACCTGGCTCATACCTGGGAGAAAACGAGAGGATCAGTATGTGCCAGCGTTCAGTTGCATCGGTAAGACTCACCTTGTCTGCCGCCATCCGAGCACCCCTCGAAGTAGGTGTACACCTTGGCCTCATCGTCTAGGTTGTAGAACGCCCGAGTCAAAGGCTTTCCGATTGTAGTCATGTCACCCAAGCCCTTGTAGGCAAACATGAAGATCGGGTCCCAGTTGATGGTGCCGTTGCCGAGGATGTTGACTTCGTCGACGGTGGTACCGGTGAGGGCGCCGTAGCCAGCATCGGTGGCAGCACCCACAGCTCCATACTCCAGCCCACCAGTGACGCTGGTGCCGAGGGAGTAGCCGAAGCCACCAGCCACGTAGAAGCGGTTGGCAAAGATTTCGGGGCTGGGGAAGCCGTAGTTAAGGACGACCTCATCGCTGCTGCCGGTGTGGACATAGGAAACGGAGACGTCGCAGTATTCGTAGCCGGAGCTGGTGGCAGTCTTGGCCGTGACGGAGGAGGGGATCATGTCGATGCCGAGAAGGGTGCCGTTCGCAGGCAGGGCCGACTGGACATGAGCGACGGTGCAGAGAGTGGCAAGCGACGAGGAGTTGGTGGCGCGGGCAGTTGCTGCCAGAGCAACGGCGGCCGCGGCGGCACGCGAGTATTGACGCATGGTGGGAAGCCTTGAGAATGAGGGGGAAAAAAATGAGGGAAAGAGTGAAAGAATGAAGAGAGTGAGCGAAGGAATGGTTGGATGATCAAGTCACCGTGAAATGGAGGAATGGAGCCTTTCTTATAGGAGTGTACTGTACTGGTAGTTGGAGTACTACTCGGAGACACACGTGTAGGTGGAATTAGGAGATTAGATGGTAGATCAGCGGTCAGCCACTGCCAAGCTACCTCGGTAGTAGGAACGCGCGTCCAGAACTGGTCTGGAACTTCAGATAAGGTGGTAAAGACCCATAACGACCCACTGTTTGACCCAGGTGGTTAATTAAGCTTCGTCAGGTGTCTCACGATGAAGACTAGCCTAGACAATTAAGCTTAAATTCTTTTCCAGGCCGTCGTCCTGTGGCCAGCTCTAGTTACCTTCTTGGCTATGCAAGTTGACTGGCATAGTGGCCCCCAGGGCATATTCAGTGTTTCTGCGGCCAGTCATAATGTCAACTGACTCGTTTAACTTCAGCATTCAACAATAAGATCAGAGTTTGGAGGGTTTAGGGTTCCATTTGCAGCGAAACCCTAAATTCAAGAAAGTGTAAGCCGGTGGATCTTAGGGCTCACTCGCCACTGGTGACCGAGAAAGTATTTATCCGGATGATGCTTCAGGCTCCAGGCTGCAGCCAATCCCTTCCGGATCAGGTTCGGCTCCCGGTCGGATATTCATCGGCGATTCTTTTTCATTCCGCTAAGAGGCTTAGCAGAAACTAAGCTTGTATCAAATTTCAAGGACTTGCCTTGTTCGGGCCGATGGCCGAATCTTCATCGTCATGCGGATGGATGTGCCGAAACGGCTTGTGCTGCATATCCCCCCATTCATCTCGCTTTCGGCACCTAAAGTATCTGGTACATACCTCCCAGTGGGCCTGTGTAGGAGTGGAAGACGAGCTTTCTCCAATTCAAAATTGGCATTCGCCCTATATTTCCCATATACTCACAACCTTCACGGAAGCCTTAACCGGGCTGGCGCCGCCCAATCACGGCTGGGTCTCAATCTAGCTGCTTAAGTATCTATAGGCACGTCATAAGTCATAGCGGGTACTCATGTTCGAACAAACCGTAACAGAAAGGTGTAGATGCATGGTTCAACTGTAGACATGGAAGAAAGTTAGAACATCCTTCAAATATCTTAAGGTCTATGCTATCTCGTGACCAACAGAATGGCAAGACAGTAACAGGTTACAGCAAACCACTGGTCCTAAATTGCATATAAATAGTTTCCCTTGCCCGGCGGTGAACTACTGCATCCGTTTTAAGACGAGGATATATTTAGCAGGCTGCATGGGAAAGTCTTGTCTTTCGATACTTCGCCTTGAGTGTAGTAGTCAGTGGCCTAACAGAGAGTAGAATTGAGAAGCCTACGACAATAGGTAAACAAAGCAGTGATTCTTGATAGCTATTGCTTACGGAGTGTGGTAATCACAACGATCGTGGTAACCCCTCGGACGCTTCATCGAAGCTGGGAAGCGCGACATATACTCTTTTGGGAAATTTTCCATGTACCAGTCCAAACATTACATTCTCTTCCCTGGATCTTCAGACGGTGTACAAGAATTATCCTAGCGTCATCGGATAGATGATGAGGGAGTCGAGAGAATTGCTCTTTGCGAGAAAGCTGGGACCTCCGGCGCCGGTGACTCTATACCTCGAGATGACGTTGACGTTTGGCCCGCCGCTCATAGATACCCACTGTTGAATCCTCCTGTTCCGGGCAGGCTCGCTTTTGTTTCCAGATAGCTGCTCAAGTCTCTGTCTATTTTTCTGTTCCTTGTTCTTTCGCACGGGCGACTATCTTCTTTCGAGGTGATGTGGTAGGGCTCTACAAACCTCTTCATGCATCTATGGATGTATCTTATTATATATATCAGACATGCCATTTCCGAAAATTTATGCTGCTGGGCCAGTTTAAAATAGACATGAGCCTGTCTTCACATCTAAGGTCAGCAATTAGAGGCACTCAAATCACGTTCTTCAGCACAACCGACTGTGTCTACGATGGGATGCTCCCGCTTGGCCGCTCACCTCTAGGAATATCTGTACCATACTTGGTATCTAGGTGTTGTTTTACATAGTGCTAGTACATACGACCACAGGGTGTGGAAAACAGGGCTTCCCGTCCGCTCAGCCGTACTTAAGCCACACGCCGGGAGGTTAGTAGTTGGGTGGGTGACCACCAGCGAATCCCTTCTGTTGTATGTTTTTGTCTTCTTGTTTGTTATTTTCCAATGCCTAATAATGTTACCATCTATAAAAGCTTTGTTTGTTGGGCCTTGTATCCTTTAGCTCACCTCATCCCGGTCACAGACCCACTTTATCTTCGCAACCCTAAAACCCCAGCCTCCGCGTCAGTCTTCAAGGAACCCCACATCCGACGCGACCGCGACTCCCTTCCCTTTGAAACCTTTTGTCTTGCCATCCGTGCAGGGAGCATAAGCATCTCGTTCCGCTCCGGCGGGCGCAGCCCGGTATCCGTCGAGAAGGTCAGATAGGGTTGGTCCTGGGGACCCGACACGACGACCCCGAGGCTCACGGGAAAGAGATGGGCATCAACGTCATCCGCGGGCCGTCCAGAGCACAGCGCTTCGATGTGAGCACTGCTCGCGCCCCAGGCAGGGAACCCCGCTGGTACATCATGATGGCGTCGCACCAGGGAATGCACCAGCACGCCCGCTACCATCACGACCCCGCAGAGGGTTGCCAGGACAATGGGCGAAAGGGCGTACCCGACTGCCGAACCGGAGAAGTGCGGGAAGTTGACCTTCTCGCCGTTCGTGTCGAAGCCGATGGTCTGCACCACGAAGAGACTCTGTGAGACGAGCCAGTGTAGCAGGATCATGGCGATGGTCAGGGTGAGTGAGTAGGTGAGGGGCAGGGAAAGCAGATAGGACGAGCGCTGCATGCCCCGCGAGGTTGACACGCGCAGCGCCTTCTTCCCGTCCGGCCGGAGGAAGCGCACCCACTGGTCGGCGACGAGCTGGTGCGTCAGGATGTTGTTGTAGAAGAGATAGAGGAAGCTGACCGAGGAGCTGAATGATGTTGGTCAGGAAGACGCACTCCATCAGGCTGTAGTTGCTGGTTTCGCTGTTCATGCCGAGGAAGCCTGGGTTGAGGCCGAAGCCGAGTTGCACGATGGATGGGAGGCTCATATCCAGGCCCCGGCCTTTCCAGAAGACTACCGAGTCGACCAGTATGGCTAATGGAGCGGCTATACCTAGCATGAATCTGTTGATTATCGGTTAGCACTGCACTGTACACCGGTTCGGCCTCTGGGTGCGGGAGGGAAACTCACAAAGTGAAGGATATTGCCCAAACCTTGCGATGGATGGTATTGAACCATGATACACTCTTCTGAGGGCGCCACACCTGCGGATATACTCGGACCACTTGCGAATTTGACATATCCCCGGGATACTCCAGGTATTCTGCAACCGCATCGCCCATTAGAACCATAGTCTTCTCTGTGGGGCGCCGAGCGGATTTTGTGCGGTAAGACCACCACGCCCTCAAGATAAAGCCGCATTGAAGTAGTGTGCACGCACTCACAACCGCAAAGATCTGCGTTCCATAGTGCAGCCCGCACCTCTGGGTGATATCGCTCTCCGCACCGACAAGGCAATAATCGACCTTGACCCAGAATGGCCATCCCGGCTGGCCTTTTTCCTGGTGAGCCCACGCAACAACCGCCCAGTCATCGATAAAAGTACTGGCCCACTCGCGTGTGCACAGGCGGTTGTAATCTGGAAGGTTGTACGCCCCGCAGATCCACCAGGGGGCATGGCTCCAGACATCCCATCCGGTAACCCAGCCGTCGAGCAGGGTGTGGTTGTAGTTCTGCGCCGCGGTGATGTTGGCTGCGACGACTACCAAGGGTCCTTTGGTCGTAAGACCGTCGATGTACGCATCGATGCACTCTTGTTTGTCAAGACGGGTGAAGTTGGCCATCTCGGTGTAGAGGTCGTGCACCGCAGACCAGTTCTTGCCGGATAGTGTCGGCGGGATGGGATCCAAGGCCCAATCCCGCCCTACCGTCTGAAAGTCAATCGTCACTGTGGCTGTTGCATAGCTCACGACTGGGGTAGACGTGAAGGTGAGCGAGTTCCAGCTAGAACAGCGCAGACGCTGGTTATCAGCATTCACCCTATCATAAGAACAGCAGCCGTAAGAACCCACAATAGATGCAAACAAATCGACAACACCCCAAGCCCTAACCACTGGAATAATCTCCCAGCCTTGATCCAGCGCAAATTGCGAACACTCTGAACCCCGATGTCGAGCGATACCCCACGAGCATGTGCCCAGTCCATCTCCCGCCGAGACGGGGCAACCAGAATCTGCATACAGTAGCTCCCCGCCCCAAGGAAAAGCGATGACAGCACGTTGAGAGCCACGTGGGCGGCGCTATTGATGCTCGTCATCTCCGCGCAGTCACCCATGCGGATGGTCCCGATGCCTCGTTCATCCGGGGGGAAGAAAACCCAAAAGCAGATCAGTGTCACCACATTCGCCAGACAGATGACGGCCGCGGTGATGAACTGGTTGCGCAGCATGGTTGACTGCTTGGATGCGGCGCTCTTGCGCGTAGTGGATCGCACATGGTGCTCGTTGATTTCGGGGATATACTGCCCGAGCAGCCTTTTGCTGGCGTATCTGGGATACGTGGTATCTAGCGTGTTTTGGGCCTCATCGTCGCTGGAATCACTCTTTCTGTTCTCCGCTTCACTCTCGTCCTCATTTGTGATGGAGATCCCTGGCGTCAAAATAGCGGGGTATCTCGCCGCTGAGGTTGGTGAAAGGAGAGGCTCGTCTTCGTGTGCCGGCCCCGGGTCGGGCAGGCATATCAGTTCAACGCTGTGCCTGGAATCCATCGCCATTCATCAGAGCACTCACTCGTGCAGCGATGACAGTAAGTCATGGCGTTGCGTGAAGTTTCAACGTTCCCAGCCACCGTCATGGCGAAACCACATCACGCCTGTGTGCCAAGACCCCGGCGCTATAGCAATGCGGTGCTAAGGGTTCGGCCACTCCCCGTAGCCTTAACCACCTGATCATTCGCGTGATAGCTAACCTAATGCATATCTTGGCACACTGAGCTATCTATGCTTGCCAATCACACAGTGCACACACGGTGACGGCCCGGAGCTCGCGCTTGGCGGCGGCCCAAGCACTGAATGCCAAGAGCGAACGTCAGCGAACATCGAAACACAGTGCACATATAATCATTGGCTTACATGCAGACGCTATAGATACTCGGATTCCATGAGTTCCAGATAAGCGGAATGCCCTTACATTAATTGGAAATCAGAGGCAACCACCCGTCAGCGAAGCATAGCACTTACTAGAGTAGAGCATGCTCATTAGCCTTGCCGACATTGCCTAAACGTGAACAGACAAAACCAGAAAAAGAGAGGGTAATGGTGATGATTGCAGCTTATTCGCGTTTCTGCCTGCAGTCTTCTTGATACTGGCTGCAAAACTGCGAAGTTAAAGTAAGCCTTCGCGCCGAGGGCGTTAGAGTTTGGGAGCGGCTAGAGCAGGCTCAGGGTGACAATCTCTGAGATCGAGTTAATGTACAAGCACAACGTTTCCGCTCCAGAAAGCTGACTTAAGTCACAGCCATGCTGTTCACTAGATCAGTCCTGCTTGCGGGTGACTGGAGTGAGACCGAATCATTTGACCGTCACACCATTTTCGCAAGCTATCAAGCTCCGCACGAGCCTCGGTGTCGAGCAGGGCGGACGATTACAGCCGTAAAGTTGGGTGATTTGTTTCTGATGTACAAATGAAGTGTGAAGTGCCTCTCTCTATATGTAGACTTCATCATATATGTCACTGTACTATTTATTTTGGGTTTTGTATGCATGTAGGAGACAGCATGCATGTTTATACGCGTGGAACAGAACAGGTCAAAGCGAAAAAGTATCGATAGTAACTATTCAAAAGCTAGAGGTAACAGTAACCAACGAGAGAGAAAAACCAGATGAAGAGAAACTATATATGCAACAGGCAAAATTAGTTCCCAATTCGATGTACTGTAGTCATAACCGATATTGCAGCCATCAGATACATTTGCAGGCCGCCATACGAGGTTTACCTCAGAATCAAACTGTTCATCACGATTCCAGGTACCAGGTTGGGCTTGCTCGCGGGTAAGCAAGTTCAATGGTGATGGGAGGTCCCGCTTCTTCTATGTCGCTCGAGGTGGTTCCGAGCCCCTCTGCCCGTCTCGATCGGTTGTGAGGGAACTACCACCTTCCTAGAGTCGGTTCGCGAGCCTGGTGTCGCTTCCAGCGGAGTTGTAAGCACGACCGGGGCGCTGGAGGTTGTATCACTTGCATCACGATCATGGCCATGATCGCGAAGCAGTCCCATCTCCTTCAGCTCCTTCTCACAGTCCGTGGACTCGCATCTGATGAGACCCATGTCTTCAAACACTTCTTCCGGGGTCGCTTGACGAGACGAGTTACCTTCATCCACTACCCAGAAGTCAGAGCTCTCCCGTTTTGCGATATTGCGTCCGATTCGAGGCGCAGTCTTTCCCTGGGTCAGCGCAGCCACTGGCGGTAATGCGTAGGCGGCCGAATTATGCTGCTGCTGGACCGCCACGTACCAAGGGTCGTTGGTGAATAGAGCAAATCCTGGATCGTCGGTGATAACTACCGGCAGGCAGGGATTGTCGCTCATGGAATAGCCCTGCACATTGGTGAACTCCATGACCAGCCCGTTCAGAGTGTATATTGTTGAGACAATCTCGGTGCACGTGCTGCTGGTGATCGGCCCGCCCTGGGTGGTGGTCGTCTTGCGGGACTGCGCACAGCCCCCATTTCAAAGCTTTCCGACGCCGCGATTCTCGCTTGAGGGCAGGAGGCGGATCCATTGAGTGTATGGTGATCCGGTTCTTTCCACATACGCAAAGGGCGGATATTCGTGGCGATCACAGTGGTTCCAGTTGTAGCGGGCGGGGAGATTAGGGACCCATGACCGCCATGCATTTACATGCTGCTCGTTCCAGGTGGATGTGGCTGTGCGACTGACCAACTTATTGACGGGGCAAATCAGCGTGGAATACTGGTGTAAGTCGATCACCGAGCTGTAGTGTGCGCATGCCTGAGGGTATCTGTTGCCATCACAAGTGACGGTTTTCGGGCTCGAGGTGAGGGTGGTTATGGTGGTGTGAGATGTGGTAGTCGTGGTGCATGCTTGGGATGTCACTGATGCTGGATAAATCCGGTTGTGCTGGGGTTGAAACTGCCCGTTAGCGTTCCAGTGACCGGGAATGTTGTTCACGAGGTAATTCCCCGCGGCGACTAGAGAAAGAAAGCCCACTATGGCCCAAAAACATTCTTGGAATGTGCTCAGATCGGGGGCATCTTTCAGGAGTCGGACAGACGTTGCATCTTTACGAACAACGCCCAGTCCGCCTGTAAGGGCATTGTTGACATTGGTCTGTGGACAAACCGCGAGGGAATTGGTGTAAATCTCTTCACAGCAGTAGCTGGAGAAGTGCCCGGTTTTACAGCCAGTGCTTGCGCCACTAATGTGTGTATTCTGGGCGAGTAGAATGGTACCTGCAGGGCACGTTTGGGAACAGCCTTTAGCCTTTCCGTACCACTGGCAATTGACTGCCTGAACATCGGATTCCACGCAAAGGCCGCGATTGAATCCTTTCCCTCCACCGTGACACCCATCGCCAGTATAGACACCTTTGTCGGCATCGTACACCTTTCCATGGCCCGTTGTCCACAGCGTAAATCCTGCGTTACACTGAGGCTCAGCAGCACAGTCAGTCCAGTAGGAAATCAGGTTGACAGCATTCTGGGAGCTCGTTGCCGACAGCTTTCTGACTGCAAAAGCAGGGTTTGCAGAAACGTCGTCCCCTATCAGCTCTAGTCCAGCTGCATTCAAATTCACTGATGCTTGCTTGTGTCGTCCATGTCGACTGACCAGACCATGCGTCCGCCTAGGCATTTCTCGTTCGCAAATGTCCTCTTAAGGTCAAGCGTCTCCGAATCGTCATATGATACCCTGTAAATCAAGTGGCTCAGCGCTCGGTTTTGATCAGAAAGTGTTATGTCCCTTGATTTACCATTGGTTTTCATTCCAGACAATGTACTTGATCCCGGCTGCTTCATTAAAGGTTGGCGTGAGGCCATGCTCGGAAATCACCCCCTGAATCTCCGCATCTGATAGAATGCCGGATGTGGCTGTGCATTCCCCAGGATCACCACCACTACTGAATGGACATCCAGGGGCGGTGCAGGTTGTATCAGACAGGGTGAAAGACCGGCCGTAGAATGCTTCTCCGAGCACTACCTTCTGAGGATCGATTTTATTGCGCCAGAGTAGATCGAGCCCATCCTTTATCTCTAACGTCCCTAGAGTCAGCATCGAAGTATTCTACGGTATGAGAAGGACGATACACACCGGTCAGATTTGTGTGTGGCTGCACGACAGACTTTGTATAAGGACTATTGCCATCCCACGTGCCATGGATATCAAGTGAAACCAGTCAACATAGGGTTCCATTCCCGACACGTCAAAACCTTGAAGATACCCTATGGTGCAAAGTCAGAAGTGAGAACGAGCATGTAGGTAACAGATAACAAACAATATGAGGAGGGCAAGGTGACCGTAACCGTATATCTATTCCCGCAAGCTGCCTTCAGCTCTTTGACAAGAGCGACATAATTTTCTGTGTCAGCGGCAAGACCACCTCTATCCGATGCGGCTGGATATTCCCAGTCTAGATCAATCCCATCAAAGCCGTAGCTCGCCATGAAAGAAATAACCGAATCAATAAAGGTTGATCTTGTCACCGAGGTGCTGACCATATCCGAAAATATCGTTCCGCCGGCATCCCAACCCCCCACCGAGATCAGGGTGCTCAGACCCGCACGGGACTGCTTAAGCCCGGTGAATCTGGGATATAGTTCGGTGTCGAACGAATTCCCCTGCGCAATTTGATAGTCGGAGCCAATGAGCGCAAATGCATAGATAAGATGTGTCCAAAGTCCCGGGTCGATGTTCTCCGGGCTCCAGGAGTTGCACGTGCGCGTGTAAGCCGAGCTTGAGTAGTATCCAATTATTCGCGTATCGCTACTGGAGCCGGAGCAAGACCTGCCAGGAGAGAATTGAATGCATAAGAATCTAGTTCAGTTCGATGAAAGAAGAACACAGATGGTTATAGGTCCGACTCACGGTTCATCCACCTCATTGCATCCTGTAATGTACCCTGCTCCACAGAACTCATCTGTTGTTCCGCAGAAGCCATACTGCGAGCAGCACACCTGCAAGGGACAATCATAGCCATTGGTATCGGCGTACGCTATGCCAGGTCAATACAGCACATACGAGAAATTAGTTCTGATAAGCTGTTCACTCACGACCACATTCCGCCTTTGCATCGCAGGAACTGGTACAGTTCCCCTCGCCACAGAAGGTAGGTCCGAATCCACAGAACCCACTGGTGCTACAACATCCCGAAGTACAGTCTTCGGTGGACGAGCAGCTTCCACTGGGATTGTTGGCAATGCCCAGTTGACTGAGCCCCAGAAGGCTAACGAAGAGCAATAAAAGACGCATCCTGTTGCTTCGGAAAGGCATAGAGATGCACATGGCTTGCAAGGCCAGTCAAGATTATATCTCTTCTTCTATCTACGCCATTACCTTGCTCTTCAATCTGGCATTGGTTTATTACCACTTTCCCAATTCTTACATTCCACCGAGCCTAGTCCAGGGTCCGTCAATAGCTGCTCATCAGACGGACAGAGATATTCCAATCGGGCCGCTTGCTCATCTCGCTTCCACAGTATCAGAACAGGGGGTAAGTAATGAATAGATCAGAACTGAGATCATAAGATTGAATGATACCTAGGAGTCATACTCAATCGTTGGCTTTCAAGCTCACGCCACCGGGTCTTTGATCCTGTCCGTCCTTTGGTTTGGTTACTAGTTTAGGGCTTGTCGGCTTTCCTGCTAAAATTGGAATCGGCATGTCTAAATATGGTAAGGCTTTTATCGCTTAATATCGTCGTTTGTTGACCATTGTAGTTTAGTGCAGAGAAGACCCTAAAAGACCCTGGTTCATGGCTAGTGCTTACATGGCTGATTTGGTAAGTTTGCTTCGAGTGGGTCAAAACGACGTCCTGGGCATCTGATTGACGAGATCACTATGACATTCACTTAGCCTCGCTCCTGCAATCTCAACCCACTCAACGTGATTACTATCGGGTTGACTTGGTGTATCTTCGGATTGAGTAGGTAATTTACTTGTTGGCTCCCGTCGATTGCGTAACGGCCGAAAAAGACTAATAATACTGTTAATACAGCTTATAAAACAGACACAAGTGATGAAGCAACCTTGGGTTTTTAGTACTTGAAGTGTCTCCCCATCTCGTTTTTCTTCTCGTACATCTCGCATAGCTTGCAGCAATGAACTCACTCTTGTCATGTTTCGCCCTAATTGGCTTCGGGCAGCTGTCCTTGGCCACGACGCTATATAACGGCGCGCAAAAACAGCTTTTCTCGTCTAATATCACCGATGCCTGCGACGCTGCGTCCAATACCACCATCGACTGCCCAGAGAATGTTATCCAATATGTGACATACCCTATTCAGTCCGTCAGTCAGTGTTTCAAGCGCATTAATCTGAAAACCTTTCCCTTTTATTGATATTAGTAGATTGGAACTCCTCGTGGATGAACGACTTGTGTACAAGCGAATGCAAGTCATCTTTGGCAGCATTAGCCACAGCTGTAGACACCAATTGCAAAGACACCTTCATTGTGGATAACCAAGATTGGACCTTTCCATACTTCATGAGTCATTTTGAATACAAATACGATCTCATCTGCTTGGCCGATGAGAGCACAAACGAGTTTTGCCTGGACGTGGAAGCCAGGTAAGCTTTGAGTGGCGCATTTTCGCGCACAGGCAAACTAACGAATGTCATGGCGGATTAGTTGGAATATCACTGCGATGATGCTCCTGGATGAAGCCAGCTGGCCTACTTACACAAACAAGTGCTATTATGATGCTTCAGAGGGTTACTGGGAATACGTGGTGGACGTAGATGGCACGTGTCTCAGCCCCTTCGACTTTACATTCGAGAACGCGAGCAGTATGGCTGGGCTAGGGAAGATGGAAGCCCTGGACTACTACGTTACCAGACCTGATCCTATTGATGACGACAACTACGGTTGGTATGAGCCCTTGGAATATGATGAATATCCATTGGAAATTCAATGCTCTTCTTGTTTTTTGTAGGTCTTCTCGATCCTTCATCTTTGCGGTCTTGCGACTAAATGATCTACAGGCAGAAATTTAGATACGGGTTGGAGTCCCCTTGGGGAGATGTCTGGGAGTATGGTCATCATTCTTTGCCATTTGCGACCTCGACTGACATTATCAACAGTAACCTCACTGCACAGATTTGGACTAATATGCAGGCGAACTGTGGGTGGAGCAACATGACCATAAGCCCTGCCAATGATTACTCTGCCTATGAAACTGCGTACGTCTGAAATATGAAGTACAAACGTGCGAATTCCTAGCTGACATATACCAGTGATATCATATTGGACACCGATCCTGGCCCAGTCACCGATGTCTGTCCTCAGACATTGAACATCACCGGATCCATGAACATGACATGTCAAGAAGCCACCGTGTACTTCCAAGTACCTTCGGCCGGACTGATGAACCTCAACAATGATTTGAACTGCATGACACTGATCAACCGCACAATATGCGCGCCCTTGTCTTGCCCAATTAGTACAGTTGAAATTGACAACAACATCATTACTGTTGCTGAGTGGGTTGCGCGGTATGCGAATTTTACTCTTACGCAGTTTCTGACCTGGAACCCATACATTGGACTGAGCATTATGGCGAACGGAGATACGGTGTGCTCTGGGTGAGTCCGAGATATCTTTCGTTGAATATTATAGCTAACTCCCATCATAGTCCTCCTGGTGGTGCTTATGTTGTGCCCTCCGCTACTGCTTCGGTGCAAACGATATATACCACAGCAGCAACCCCGACAAGTCCTGTTCCTTCTGGTACCACTGCTGAATGCGGCCTATACTATACGGTCACAAGTGGTGATGACTGTGCTTTAATCTGCGAAGCATACAGTCTAACACTAGACCAATTCAAGTGTATGTTGGAGACCTCCAAGATCTGAAGACTAGACACTCATTCCAGCGAACAGTATTAAACCCTTCGATTAATGCCACTTGCGGCAATCTGCTAGCAGGTGATGATTATTGGTAGGTGGACTTCCTTCTTCCCATCCCCCAAAGCACTAAATCCTCATCTTCTTTGGGAGAACTTACTCATCAATGTGCCCCTCTCCCAGTGTTGCGCCTGTTAATGGAACCTATGTCACAACGACGACACCAACAGCTACCATTTCCACCACCGCAAGTTTTGTCACTCCTCCGAGCGCGACCGTCACCGGCACCACCTCCGAGTGCTACCAATATTACGAAGCGCAGGCCGGCGACGGCTGCGACAGTATCGAGTCCAAGTACGGGCTCACTCAGGCCGAATTCATCGCTCTGAACACATACATCGATTCTTCTTGCAGTAATCTATGGCCGGGCTATAGCTACTGTGTAGCGGGAATTCCCCTTGCTAACATTAGCAGTAGCATAACAGCTACCGCCACGACGACGACAACGACGACGACCGGTGAGGTTACCACCCCAACACCAACTCAAACGGGCATGGTCACCGGTTGTACCAGTTTCTATAAGGCGCAGTCCGGGGATGGATGCTGGGCGATTGCGGTGGATCATGGAATCACACAGGCTGAGTTTATTGAATGGAACCCGGATGTAGGATCGGACTGTAGTGGTCTCTGGCCGGACTACTACTACTGTGTTGCTGTTTAGATGGGAAATGTGGAGGAAATTATCTACTTGCGAGATTTTACTATACAATACTGTAACTGTACTGTCTTGTATCAGTTCAATGAGGGGAACCGAATAACTAATAAGTTACTTAGCGGTACTGTGATTACATGAAGCCAATCGACTGACCCCCTCACACACGGTCCCTCTCACACGGACCGGACCTTCCGGCACTAATTCATGTTCTCTACCCTACAATCCTCAATCTAATTACACCAAGATATACGCTAAATAAGTGCAAAAATCCCTCTGTGCCCCTGAGCAGAACCGGAAGACCCTCTTTCCGCGTCTTCTGACACTTCCAAGAATCCCGATTTTCTGAAAACCCGTCGAGCAAATTGCTCCTTCCACGGTCGATACCTACTGACGTCAGTTCCAATGCGCTTCTGTTCAATAGTCTGTGCTGCCTCAGTTGGCACTTGCATGCAAATATTCGTCTCTGTCTTCATCATAACCCTCATCTCATTCCTCTGGAGCCGCCGTCATCACCCTACAGCCTCGAGGACAGAGATCACCAGCCTTCCCAGACCAGTCCCTCCCGAGATGTCTTCTTTCCCAAGCCTCCCGGGGCAGCCGGGCCAAGAGAAGGTAGTCGAGGAGGAATACCCGATTGCACGACTTCCATACAACGAGGACACAATTGTTACCCTGGTCGGCGATATCTACCGTATCTTCGTCCAGCTTGGCTACATGAACAACCGCGCCCATGGCGAGGAGGAACTTGTCTGGCCCCCACCAGAAGGCCATTCCATCAATGAAGCTATGTGCGAAGAGCTCAGTCTCAGTCCGAAGGTGATCTCCTTGATGCGACGTCTTCCATATCCGGTCTCTTCCAATATCGCGGCCGATCTTCCCTTCAAGCCGTGGTCCACGGCATTCGCATATATCGAAGACCGTCAAATTCGAGACGGTCGCGATCCGGGTCGCTGGATCTTCGACGACCCGCGAACCGATTTCCTTCTCCCGCACGAGATCGCTCTCGCGGGCGCGGATGATGAAGGGATTCACCTTATTCTTAATACAGAAGAAAGTATGTTTCATCGTTAGCTTCCTCGGTCCGATGCTTGCTTTCAAACAACCGCATCTCAGAGCATGAGTACCTGCTCACCAATTTAGATACTATCCGAGCACCAGATTGGGAAGAACTCGAGCTAGAAGATGAGCAGGGCAATTCCCTTTTCCGAAGCCTCCCTTCCCACCATGCACCAACGTTTTTGGCGGATTATGTGAACAAGCTCAGGTCTCTGGAGATCATCCCGGGTGGTCAAGAGAGCTGTGGCTGCTTCTATGATGAGCATTGTGGGAAAGTGGTGCGTATCCCTTCTCTATTCCTCGAGAGAGCCTTTTTGCTAATCCGGATCTGTGCAGTACCCGATGATTTAAAAAGGTCCTACAGGAGCAGTATGGCTGGCCGTATGATTTCCGAGAGACGGAATGGAAGGCTGCGGCAAGAGACACTTTAAAGCGCCTGGAGCAGTTGTACCCATAGCTTATGGTTAGGACAAAGTGGAAATAGATGGTAGTGAAAGCAAACTGACAGTAAGAGATCCTTGGAGGAACAATCACTATTGCAAGTCAAAACGAAAACTCCTCCACATCTATAGCCCTAGCCCACCGTATCCCCAACTCATCTGCACTGCACAAGTCTGATAAGTCGCCTGCACCACCGATGACCTCTCCACATCCGCCACTAGATTCGATCCATTGGAGTAACTACCCGCACGTCTGGCCAGATACAGTATGGCACCAGCCATCTCCTCATCCCCACCGAACCGTCGCGCCGGGATGAATCGCTGTTCCTGGAAGGGCTCCTCCTCAGGCTTGCGGGTGTTGATCAGCCCCGCCGCCAACTCGGAGGAATGAACTGGCATCCATAATTAGCACCCAGCACCTCAACGCGCGCAAACGTACCCTCAAACAAGATAATCCCCCATAAGAAAGAAAACGAACAGTGGAAAAGACCTACTCCCCGGCGCAAGCACATCAACCCTAAACCCAAACCTTCAAAGCTCTATATCTCGATCATGCGGTCTGAATCAGCCAAGCGAATGATGGTATTTCGCAAATTCTAGATGCCGACTCTGCATGTTCATCTACTAGGTACTGAAGACACAGTACATACCTACAGTACTATTAGAGCCCACAACCCTGATTTGGACGCGGTAGACGTTGCGGTGGGCAAATGCTTCTTGTTTCTGCCGGTTCAAACCGTGGACATGAATGAATGACCGGAAGTGTCCTAGTTACGCCATTCAACACCAAGGACAAAGGAACCACACACAAGGACTGGACCGGACTGCTCACCGCCAGCCACTCATGGGTCAGTGTTGTTGACTAGTACTACCTAGGGGAAGAGATCTCGGGAGTGGAAAGGACTAAGAAACGGGAAAGACTTGGTCCCGGCGAAGCGGGAAAGCTTCGGGCTATCCAGTGGGCTTCTCCAGAGTCCAATATTACTACCACATCCGCCGGTCGCAACGGAAGACCTGGTGACGACCTGTGTGAAAACGAGCTAGTATCTAACGCACATGGTATTGATTGCTCAACCCGCTCACCGTCACCTCAATCCGACTCAATTCCGACCACTTTAGAGGCGTCTGACCTCTCTACGATCTGCACAAGCGATGAACCTGGGCCCTAGACTACTATTACAAGCCCTGGGATTCTACCGATCGATCCGCACTTAATACAAGACTGTAGCTCACTGGTTCTATTAGAGCACAAGTCGGAGACTGCTAAGAACCAAGACTTCAGTAGCCCAGATCCCACCACTTCTCCAACAACTCCCATGCCGAATAATAGGAGCTCATTTCTCCGAGAGACCCTACCAGACGCAGACACGAAAACGTTACTTGCTAGTGTCGACTGGGAGACCCCATCGTTGACTACTACATCTCGGGAGGAGGCATCTGGAAATCCCGAGCGTCGTAGCATAATTAACGACGAAGTCCCTGCAACAGACCGATGTGACTAGAGCCATGGCGCGAAGACAAGCCACTGAAGCGCAACATTGCGACGTCTCATCTCCCAAGAGCAAATAATCGGCGACCCATCTTTCTAAGCTCTAGAGAGTTGAGCCGCGTAGCTCTTCATATAATTGTCTTTCGATAGGTCCCACCATATCAGACCCTCGGAGGGGGAATTGTTCCAGCCCTTGGCTTTGTAGTGGGATGCTTTGTTATCGGCTGTTTTAGCAAGGTACAGCGCGTCGTGTGGCGCAGCAGTAGGGTCCGTTGCAACAGGATAGCACGTGTCAACGAACTAAGGAATATTCACAATCAAAGTGGAGTCGATACTGTATGCACCCACATGATACTGCTTCTCAGGTGCAGTGGTCTGCTCTGTCTTCTAGCCCTTTCTGAAAGACCGATTTCTCAGCCAAACAACTGTTTGAAAAAAGTGTACTGGTCCATGAGCTCATGGGCATCGATCAGTTGTGGCTGATTTCCTTCCACAAAACTGATTTCGGCATACGCCGCATCTTCTGGCAATCATCGCTGTATTTGAAGCGAGCCGGAAAATAAAGTGCTCGTACACCCTTATTCAGATCGATCCAAAAGGTATCATTTTCTTTGAGGCTGCCTGGGATAAGCAGTGAGATATATTAAACCAATGGTTTTCCTGTTGTATCTCTAGGCGGTGGACCTTCAATATCAACGTATTGGGTCGAGGTACTACTCAAGTCTAGTACCTCAGACCTCTTGCCCCATCTATATGCCATTGTTCGGTAACAAGACCTATGCTTTGCAAAGGGATCGAAACCAGTCGGGCCCCAGGCGGTGTATTTAATCTTCTTAGGATCGTGAGTTGCGTCTATGTTTCCGAGAAGTTTCGATATAGAATCTAACATAATACAGTGATACCTATCAAGTGAATTCTGACAATGACTGTATTGTATACACGTAAGTATGATCTCGTAAAAGGTGGCCCTTCATGTCCAAATATATAACTCCTGACGTGTATCAGGGGTAGAAATTATGTGGGTGATTTCACCTATATCCATTCCCCGTCAACCGAATTACCCCTCCAAAAGATATTCGCGGTGTCGTCTGTTGATTATCTGAAATGTTAGCTGAGTATGGTCTGCAAGGAAGGCGTGGGAATTACGAAAGCCTCGGGGCGGGTTTCTCCCTCATCACGGCTTGTGCTAGGTTTTCCCCATCCTGTCATGCAAATGCAGAGGCGGTTATTTACCGTCTACATTTTTCCCTTTTCTGGAGTAGATTGACTAAGAAATATGGAATCTTATTACAAGAATCAAAAACTTCCTGTGCTTCCAGCTATTACAAGGTCACAACACCTCTCCCAACAACTGTTTCTGACTGTAGTATGACATATTATGCTGCCTTGTGCCCAGCTCTATCCGACCGGCCGATGAGAAGAAGTTCTAAGTTTAAGCTTTTTATTATATTACGTCACCTCCACCCCTGACTTATTTTTATTAACTAAGTCTGTTTATAATAAATATCTTATGATAGAATAACAGACTGAGCTCTTTAGAATAAAACCCAGTTTACTTCAAAAAATTATTATACTTATCAAAAAGCCGTCGAATACGAAAATATAAGTTTTTTTAATAAGAAAATTCCGGTTATTTTTAATAAACTCAGTAATTTAAAAAAAATTTAATAAGACTTAAATCTTTGGTTAGATAAAATATAAATGAATACTTTTTTCTATTGAATATTAGAATTATTAGATTTAGATATTAATAATCTGACCAGATAATGATAATAAATAATAATAATATCAGGGCAGTGAGCTCGTGTATAGCGTGGCCTTGGGGGGTCATATCGAGATCATCAAGCTTCTGGTCGCCGCGGGCGCAGATCCGGACATCCGCCGCGTGACTGGAGGTCGGAGGAGTCTACTGGATGTGTTTCACGCGGCTTTTGGAGAGCGTAAGGACGTGTTTGCGGACTATTCGGAAAGGTTGCAAGAGGGTTGGTTGGGATTCCCGGGTGGTTCGCCGTGTTGATGGTGAAGCATAGAGGGATATTCGACTCGGTATGTGTTACCCTCCATCTGGTCTCGCGCTCTCTATGAGACAAGCTAATGATTGAGATTTATTTTTCCGGAAATTGCGGCGTGGTTTGGGAATCAGATCTCCCCGAATGAGCATTCAGAGCCTGGAGCGTTGATGCCTGAGAGCCTGCGAACTGGTATATTCAACAAAGGTACTACCCTGTCGGGCCATCCAGAATACAACTCACGAAGCTTTTCAAGTGGTGTATAGACACCTTAGAGTATGAATTAATATGAGTAACCTTCAAAATCATACGATACTGTCTAATAAAGATAGGTGACCTATCTAATCAATTCAACGTTTTACGGACCATTTGTTAAATCTTGGACCTTTTTAAGACTCACTGCGAGTTGTAATGCATGGCCAGGAATGGCATGTAGCGACCTGCCCCGTTGTGTCAGCAGTATCCCTTCTGGTATTCTATACAGGTAGCATTTTCACTCCATATCAGACTACCACACATCCCCAACGAACGCACCAACCCATCACATACCACCCAACCTGCTAAGCAATCTCCCGCACCCCAAACGACCCACACCCCGAATTCCCCACCGTGAACCCCCCAACCCCGTCCCCCAAATCCACCGACGCCGTATCCCGATTCGACGGAGTACACGTGGCATTGTTGGCACCCCCCGGCAGCAGAAGGTAGCACCCCGCCCCCTCCGCCGACAGATACCCGGCACACGGGGTGGAGTGGTCGATGCACGCGACGCAGCAGTTATACGGCGTCGACGCTGAGGTAGTCTCGTAATTCCCCGTGACTACCACTTCGGTGATACTGCGCCCGTTGATGGTGCTGATCTGGTTGTCGGGGCCGCAGGCGGCGTATTGCGTTTGGGCAGGGGCTTGGACTGTTGCTGTGTTTGTTGTTGTCTGTTTATCTTAGTATGCAGGTATAGGTGTGGGGATATACAGTGAGCGGGAGGGAGTGGGGTTACCTCTGTGGAGGTGGTGGTGGTTACGATGGCGGTGGATTTGAGGAAGTTAGTGGTGAACGTTAGGGTTGTGGAGGCGGGGACGGGGACGAGGGTTATTGCTTTTCTGTGTCAGTATTTTTCTGCAGGACTTGGAGGGGAAGAATTGGGCTGTCTACTTGTGGTGATGCGGGCGGTTGATGTAGTCGTTTTGGCGGACGGGGTCACGACTACGGTGTGTGTCTGGGTGGCGGGTTTGTTCACAGTGCTGGTGGAGAGGATCTCGACCAGGCCTACGCAGGTCACGACGCTGGCGTAGCTGGGTTCCGCTTCCACGATTGCAGTGGATTGGGCGGCGTGGATGGTGATCGCCTGGGGGGTGGATGCGTCGTTGGCTTTGACGAGGGCGGTTTGTTTGACTCCTTGGATGGTGGCGGAGGATTGGCTTAGGGCAGAAGCAGGGGTGAATCCGGCCGGAGCGGGCACGGTGGTTGTGGGTGTTGAGGTAATCTATTGATTGTTTGGTTAGAAATATTCTAATAACTTCAAGGGTGGTTCTACTGTAGTATCACTGGTGACGGTCTCAGTGTCCGTGACGATGTCTTGGACCGTCAGGGTTATGGTTGATGTGATGGTGGTGGAGAATGTGCTTGTGCTCTGGTCGAGGATTGTGGTTGCGGAGACAGTATCGGTCACCACCGAGGTGATGGTCTTCGCGGCGGCGGTTGAGGTAACGGTCGGGGTTGACGTGGTCGTGAGGACGGCAACACTGGAGGCAGAGTAAGCTCAAGCTCAAACTCCGAATCGTCCGAGCAAAGCTTAGTATGCCTACCTTGTGGCAGTAGAGAGACTGTTAATTGTCTTGACCGTGCTGCAAGACGTGGACGCGTATTGGGTATTGCAGAGCTCGAACGAGGTTGTAGTGGTGGCTTTAGCTAGGGCTGTCGAAGCCGCCGCCAGCAGCGAGATCCAGTACATGATCGCTGCCATCGTTACCCCTCAGCGGAAGTGTATTTGCAGAACCTTCAAAAAGCTCAAGCAAATACTCTGACACTCGCCGGCAAAGCTGTAAGAACAAAAAAACTTTTTCCACACATGGAAGGGGGGCAACTCCTTGTTATACGGGCTACATTGTTCGTTCATGAGTTCGTTACTGCTTAACCTTGAAGAATGCATCTCAAGTGGGCCACAGATCCAGGCAGGAGTCTTCCGCCAATGAATTTAAGAAGGGTGCACTAGTAGCCGTTGAAAGAATGTGAATTAAAGTAGGGTGAAAGGATCTACAAGGTTCGTCGGAAGCCCACGCGAAGCGTAACCCTAACCCCTTGCTTGCCCTTGCAAAATGTACAGATCAATGGAAGTAAGAATCCGCCTCACACAATCAATTGTCTTGGATTGATTACAATGTAAAGGTAAGTATGGCTCTACAGAACTAGCCAAATCAAACTAAGCAAGCTTCCGCTTCTTCCGCTTCTGCTTCTCATCCAGCTGCTCATTCCCATCCACCGATAGGATCTCAACCTCCCTCCTCCCCTGTCTCTCAATATATGTCTGGACCGATGGACTCAGACTCACCGCACCTGTTTCATGCACCTCCTCCAAATGCATTTCCATGTCCTCCCAGGTCTCCACCCGCGGCCCACACTCCTGGAAGGGGCAGACGGCCCCTTTCCGCCCCATCGCATGCTGCTCATTCATATGACTCACCCACGTCAGCCCAGCCATGCGATTCACCCGACAGACGGGACACGGGCGCAGGCGCAGCGGCGGCGCCTTCGCCACCACCGTGCGCGTCAGATCCACCGCACAGCTCGCATTCTGGTGCCAGCGCATGTCCCGGACGCTGGGGTAGAGAGCCCCGCAGATGGTGCACCGGCTGGAGTCTACGAATTTATCGTGGGTATGCCGGTAGTGCGCCTGCAGCATGCTCAGCTCGCGGTAGGTTCGGCCGCAGCGGTTCGGATCGTTGTGCCTCCGGAAGGTGCACTCGTATCTCCCGTCGGTGGTTTCGCGGTAGGCGTGCTGGGGGGTCGCTGTGGTCCTCGCGGCGTTGGAGGCACTTTCTGTTTCTTCTGCCGGCATGTGTTGGTGCTCCTGCCCATCATCAGTGTTCGTCTGAGTGGATGCCAGTGGGCCTGGCTGGCCCTGCGGGGAATGTCCTGATTCGGCGGGGGAAGACATTGTCGCTGGTTGGTGAAGAAGTCTGGTGACGGTTAGTTTGACCAGTGAGATGAGAGACTAGGGTTATTTGTCTGATTTGAACCACAGCCACAGAGGGTAGTAGAAAGATGGGATTGATGATAGTGATGGTTTTATACATTTTATAGGCTGGCCAATCATGGTTGATGGAACCGGAGGATAACACTTTTCCTTTGAGACTGATAAAGAATCGGGCCACTCATATCCTGTGGCCTTTCCACAGAGTAGCCCCAGCTGTGGCGTTGATGATCAGAACAAGGACTGACGAGGAGACCCCCTGTAGCTATAACTTATCTGGGCATTAAGACAGCACAAGGACAAGGTCAGAGGGGTTTTCGGCTCATTGTTGTTTGCCAAAAGAGCACTGCTAGCGGATATCTTGCTGGGAAGCCAGGTTCCAGGCGGTATCTGCTTTGAGAACGGAGTGCTTTGTTTGCTCAATCCTACGCTAGTCTGCTTGACGCTGCTTGTATTAAATTATTGCGCGGGAACAGTAGGGAGCTTGACGGTTAACTATGGTATCTGTACGCTTATTGGCAAGGTGAAAGGGAAGTATCATAATCTTAATTACCTCATAGGATCCTCATTATAGAGGTACATCATCTACTCACTCTGCATAAGTCTGGGATATTTCCATCTCTGACCGATTACATGCTTTCAATAATCCATCACAGTGCAAGCTACAAAGCAGTGTCACTCAAAATCACATCCCTGATCCTCATATCCCAAACTGCATCCATATTCGTACATACCGCGATGCTACGATCGGAAATCCCACTCCCGCCAGCCGAGGATTTCCGACCCCTCGCCCTTCCCCAAGAATGAGGGGGTCAGCATTCCACGCACTGTGCCCCTTACGTATCCGCAACAACCCCCTGTCCAGAGAAACTTACAGATCTATAGATATTGTGTCTATAATCTCGCACTTTTCCCACACTATGTACAAAATCTCATACTCATATTACATTCTCCGGGTGCCATGGCCATGTATCTCATCAAAGGTCCCGATCACACAAAGAGAATAGACACATTATAATCCAACCATATTCGCTGACTGTCATCTATACCCATTATCAGAGGCATCAACAACTGCAGATTACAGGATAGTGCCAATCACCAACCCTACCGCGCATTCAACCCATCCAACTCATGCACCTCCGTCGCGCGGGGCTGCGTACTATCCAGCTCAGGGATGGGCTGCACTTTCGTCGGGGCCGACAGGCCCAGCCCGTGAGTCGGGCGGAGATGTTCCTCGCCGCGGGAGTAGATCTCGGAGACGGGGCGGCCGTCGGGGCCGATATGCGAGGCCGGCGGGGACATGGTGAAGCCGCCCGTGGAGCCGGAGGGGTATTTGCTGGCTGGGTCGGGGCTGCTCATGTGCGAATCTATTGATCGGTTAGTACCCTGCGCTGGGGGCAGAACAAGATGGTTGGGACGAACCTTGATACGGTGAGGAGTGCGGACTCTGATATCCATACTCCCCGGGGTACATGTGTTGTCGCTCCGCTTCGACGGCGGTGGCTTCCCGTCGACGGCGGCGGCGGAGGAAGAAGATGGCGAAGACGATGATGGCGACGAGTGCGGCGGCCCCGATGGCGATTCCGGCGATCGCGCCGCCCGAGAGGCTTGAGTGATGGCTTGATGAGTTTTCGGGGGAGGAGGTTTGTGTGGAGGTCGAGGTTGGGGATGCCGTTGCCGTTGCCGTTGCGCTGGCGTTATCCTGGAAGAGCTTGAGCTGGCCGGCGGAGGAGGAGCTCCAAGCCGCGGGCAAGAGGTCGTCATCCGGGCACCCGTCGCTGCAGGGGTTGCTACTGCAGCACCCCAGGAATTTCGGTGAGGTGCCGTTACATGTGTACCAGTCGGAGCTGGGGTTGTCGAGGCAGCGGTTGGGGAGGATCTCGTCGAAGATGGCGCCGTTGAAGGAGGCGGCGTACAGGCTGGGGCAGGCCGGGCTGGTGGTGTTGTTGCAGGGGTCCGAGGCACAGCAGCCCACAAAGTACGGCGCCGTGTCGCAGACGAACCACGAGCCGCCGTTGGGGCAGGTGAAGTTGCAGTCCGGCGAGGAACCGCTCTTGCAGGTGGTCATGGCTGTGATTGTGATCGATGCTGTGTGCTGTGATGTTGCAGAAGTGTGAAGAACAGTCGGGTGCAGCAGGGGTGGTGTGTTAGGGGTTCGTTTCGATCGCAAAAATGTCAACCAAGGTGTTGCGACAGCCCGCGTGGGAAAAGGGTAAATTCCTCCAGAAAAGAAAGAGCTGTCAGCCCCACTGTCAGCGAAAACGCTGCTGCCCACTTTATTTAACACGGATGACGATCACGAGCCCAGTGACCCCTAAAATCGTGGCCCGCATGGCATAGCCCTTCGTGCCCGGCGGTGATTGGCAGGATGGGTCCGGGAGTCGGTGCCCAGACTTCCACTTGCTTCGTAAGGTTGTCAGCCTCGTCCGCGTCCTCGTCCTCGACCCGGTGAGTTGAGTTTAACTTGCCAAAAATGCCAAGTGCAGGATGGGCCATCAGCCACTATTTTAGCCTGGGGGCCGCTCCGCCTGCTTTTTGTTGATGGGTGGGACGTGCCAAGGTCGTGGCTCATGCGGCTAGAAATAGGATACATGGGCGTGGTGAGGCTCAACTCGTTTCATGATTCGAGGTCAAACAGTTGCCCAGCAGAGTGAGTGTGATTCTTCAAGTCTGAAGATGCTGAGTTTGAAGTGCCCCCCTTGCACTGCACCAGAACTGCGTCAGAATACGAAGCAGGGCGGGTGTACATGAGTCAAACTCTCTAGTGTGGGCAAGGATGCTTACTTTTCCTAAGCGGGGTTAAGGTCCACGATAGCTTCTTCCTTCGGTCCCGCTCCTTTATCACCAGGATCCAGAAGCAGGGACACAGCCCCGGTGCCGCAGGATGGAGATAAAGTGGGTGAGACCCTGAGTCTAGCGGATAAAGAGATGCAGTCTTTGTGTGTTATTTTTTTTTCTCTCCCAGGTTCCTCGAAAAACCGAGTAGAATCATTCAATCATGAACACTGGAATATCCACAGAGGCAGGTAGGGTTAACCTCAGCGGGCTGGGCGTGTCCTCACTGACCCTGAGTTTCTCAGCGGTGAGCCGGGCGGTCGGTGGGGACGAAGGATGCAGGGTACCCCAACGGATGAGGTTGTTCCGACCCGGGCCCACTGTCTTATTCCCTCAGCCAACAGTGTAAACAAACTACGGAGTACCCTGTCTACTGTGGTATACTCACTTCAGCTCATCCGATTGATGTGTAGACGATGCCTACCCTGACGCAAAAACTCATAACTCTTGTTCCTGTCTTTCTTTTGCTCGATCTCACAAGATTCAGACTCTTTCAGCTAGGTTGAAACATCGAGCGGGTGCCAATTGCCCGACAGCCCCAACTCATCCGGTCTTCGGGCTGCGGCGGAACCGAATAGACTGGGTTTGACCCGCCGGGAATCCACCTTAATGGTTCTGCTATAGCTTAATACGAGACCGCCAATCAGATAGTGATAGATTTTCTTGTTGAGGTCAAAGTTTCATCTAGGTTAGTTTCAACTCCTGGGTCTAAATTCACGTGAGTTGGTCGAGAGTCAAGCAAGGAAAAAAAAAATATCGGGAGAAACATTAGGCATACAGGACAAGGGTTACAAAGAAACACTTCAAATTGGGATGAATTGGCAAGGTGTCGAACCAACAGCATTGAAGTTCAGAACACTGTCAGGACAAGATATCTATCATGATGAGTAAGATTTGTCTATACTCATAACTATATATTGATGTATATACACCTGATCGAAGACAATAGTAAGTAGACCAATATCACCTGATGTGGTTTAATCAGCCTGTTCAATCAGCCAAGCCTGACATACTTTCATCTCTCGGGTACCTGAACTCTTCTAAATATGTAGCCCCGCTGTATGTGAGAGACAGGCATACAAGACAGCTTACACTTGTACCTTTGTTGATTGGCTTGTGTTTAAATACCGGGCAGGGTACTCTTTTGGCCACCTGCATCAACAAGAGCTTGCCTGGTAACGACTGCCCGTGTTGCTTCTGAAAACATCGATTCGATTGTCAACGCCACCTGCATAGGAGGACATCAGGCGATCATATCTGATCGAACAGCGTTTATCGCGAATCATTCATGGAGGTTCCGGCGCTGCCCTGGTAGGTAGTATAACGGCTAGGATCCTTGCCCCCATTACAAGATCACCGGAAGGAAGAGCCATTCCACTCATTCTAACAGGTGATTGTGGGGCGCGAGATGAGTGGGGGGCGGGGGACACTTTTTCTGGTCCACCACCCAGCGTCAGCTCAGGGGAGAGTGGCTGGTTCCTGCCGGTTTTTAACCAGGCCCAGACCGCCAGAAGCTGTCAGGGAATGAGGGGTGAAGGATTAGGATTGAACGCGCGACCATGACGAGTCGGTGGCCGGAATGGATGATGTAGACCTTGTTCTCCGTCTTGGTGAGATGACCCATAATGTTCGGCAAGTTGCATATCACACGCATATGAGGGAAAGCGGCGTGACGAACTTGAGCGCGATGCCTTCGAAAGGATTAATGAGTATCTGCAGGTCGCGTTTGTAGACCTCCACTCATATACCTTGTGGTGAGATCATTCCTCAACCACTTGATGCGAAGCAAGGTGATCGTGCTACTTCTTGCGGGGAATCGCATTACGACGCATCAGATCATAAGCCAAGACTCATGGATCGGTCCATCCTGCACCGTCTCTGGAGTTAGAGATTCCGGACATCGAGACGAGGAGCTCCTTCGCATAAGCCGAGGCCACCGCCGCCGCGTACCCTCTCCAGCGGTCATTTTTATGCGAATCGGCATAGTCGCTCACCCCACGGATGACCAAACATGGGAAACTATCCACCAAGCCCGCTGCCTCCATCTCGAAGCAGAGGATGTCCAATTCCGCCTGCATCCGGTCGCGGGTCGGCCCATGCTTCATGACCTGGTTTCCCGAGGCGATCAGCCCGTAATGAACCACGGGTGCGGTGGTGGCGCGCGGGGCTCGGGGCACGATGCGTGCTGGGTCACAGGTTGAGCATGATCCGGCGGGACTGGGGTGGCCATAGTCCGACTGGTAGAGGTGATCATGCCCGGGGCCAGGGTGTGCGAACTCGGCCTGCAGAAGCGGGTAGCGATGGACCATGGCATCGAGGTACTGGGTCAAGCCAGGGCCGTAGAGGAGATGCTTGGATTTGAGGCTGTTGACTGCCGTGAGCAGAGCATCCGGCGGTCGATTCAGCGCCGAGACAATGTGGATCCGGCCCGCCTCGGTGCGCTTGCCAAAGTCATATTGGATTACGCCTGACTGCCCATGGTGCGGGGTCCCGACGATCACATCCCCCAGCCGAATGTCATGCGTGACGCTGGGTGCCGCGCCTCCGATGCCCAACATGAGCCCGATGCGAATGTGGGGAAACGTTTGGCACATCCGCTGAGCAATGATAGCGGCGGCCGTCGTGCCCATGATTCCATCCGGCAGACACGTGAGGACGACATTGTGCGTGCCGATGCATCCGAGGGTATAGGTGTTGTGGTCGAAGCGGTAGTCGTGCGGAAGGCTATGTTCTTCATCCAGCGTTGCTCGCGCGGTTGCCATTTCTTTGTCGAGTGCCGAGATCCACCCCACAGTATAATCGCCACACGCGAACCTTTTCGGAGATTGAGTACGTGCAATAGGAACAGATCTGCTCCGCTGGACGGGTTCGAGTGATGGATAATGGGAACCACGGGCGTCAACCTGGTTGAGCTTTGGCGGCATCGATCCGGGGATCGAAAACTCTCGCGCTGGGGTTGAGGATCGTGATCCGGCAGTGGCAACCACTGACTGGAAGAGGTCTACCTCAAACTCATTCGCGCCGGGGAGTCTGATTGTTTCCAAGCTGTTGAGATCTATCTTGGGCGCGATGTCATCCAAGTGGTCAAGAGACATATCACTGAACCCTTGCCTAAGCTCGGCCTCGAGACGCTGCACAATCTCCATATAAACAAGCCCTTTGAAGTCGTGATTTCCCAGTTCGTTGTCCTCGTCATCGATCCCGAACTGGACATCCAGACAGCGGGCCACCGCGATGCGGTAGTTATCAGAGAAACTGGGGCTACACTTTCTAAAGGCCTCTCGCGCGACATGAAAACGAGAATTCTCGTCCATCAGCTCCAAGGATTCCCAGCCGGCACCATAGGAGCGGACCAAAGAACGTATTGAGGTTGCCTGGTATATCTCAATGAGCAGGATCGCCAGCATGACGAGGCCGGGATGTGGGTGCAATGGGAGGTCATCAGGATCGCGACACTCCTCATCGTCCGACTGATCGTTACCATGAAACCGTGCCCAGACCCTGGAATGGATGAAGGGCTGCAAAGGCACGGCGGCGGAGGTGCCGAGGAAGATGATATTGGACGAATTGAATGAACCCGGTTGCAGCCAAGGGGTTCCATACAGATGCAGGACGCAGTGCCCCAGCAGGACCGCCAACACCCGTTTGATTTTATCTCCCAAGCTCTTCGGGTGGGCTTCCAGAATTTGCTCGAGACGGACTGGGATAGTTTTCAGCCGCATCTGGCTGTCTGCGGACTTGAACTTCCGGAGTTTCCCATTCTCCACTTCCATGTTAAGGCAGCGGCGGAAGTGCTGGGGGCTAACATGGTCGCATAGCTTGTTGACCAGAATGGAGGTCGGCCCCCGCCTCGTCCTCAGTGTGTTTTCCTCGACCGCAATGCGTACCTTTGGTGTCTTTTCCGGTACCGCAGCATGAATCAGCACCTCTTGCCAGTATGATTCATTCGGGCTCAACATGAGGCTAAACACACATTTCTGTTCCGTTTGCCGCCGGCTGCGGTAAGTCGCCAGCCGCAGTCGCGCGGTATAGGTGTGGCACGGCATGCAGTGGCACGTCTGAGCACTGGCTAGGAGCGCATTGAAGACCAGGTTCGCTTCCACGTGCACGGAAGAGGGTATCGAGACGTTGACCGTTGACACGGGAGGCCGCGACTCCACGATGGGATCGGGTCCGGGCGCATCAAGCGCGTCCGCGCATTCTTCCAGGAAGGAGGCTACCTCATCCCACACCTGTTTGGTCTCCCAGGCGAGGTTTGTTCTGCTGTATGCGATCTTCTCCGGCCAGGACGTCAAATGGCCCCATCCTGCCTGTACATCCGCCAGCCTCTGTAGTGCTCCGGCCGGGGATTGTAGGCTATTCTTGACCGGTGGACGAAGCAAAGAGGTGAATCGCTTGAGGAGTAGCCAGGCCAGCGGGGCCAAGACGGTTGACTTCGACGGAAAGTGTGAAGACTCGATCTGCTCGTTCAGGAGGAGAATTTGAACATGAAGGTAGCGGTAGCTTTGTCTAAGATCTCGATCTTGTTCGTAGCTCGACAGACAATCGGCGATCTCCCGGAAAAGGACGAAGGTTTCCAGGAGGAAAGAGACTCTCGACCGCGCTTGCTGTGGCATGTCCATGAGTACTGTGTAATTCATCCAGGTGTGGTGGATAAAGAGATCTTACCAAGCCAGCGAAATCGGTCTCGCCGTAAGTCGATACGGGTCCCATTTTGCATGCTCTCTGGATGATATGCCTGGCTTGAAAGGTGCACTGGTGAGCACCATTTGACTGACTGGCTCACCTGTAAGGGAGACTGCAAGCCATTCTATCTACTGAAGGTAGATTAGTATCAGTCTAGCAAACATCACAGTGATGGGGCACATCAGGTATGGTGGTGTGAAGGGGTAAGAGATGTGGATGGAAGATCGGAGAAGGAAGATGTGAACTGGCCGGGCGCTAAAGAGAGGGGTAAAACTGGGGCCATTGCCTTTCGGCCTGGCAGCCTTGCAAAGGTCATCGCCGCATATCCAGAAGGTAACAATGGGCGGTGCAACTGTATCCTACCTTTTCTTTCTCTGCAATCTCAGAGTGACCTCCCTCGGTTGATATTATGGAGAACGAGCAGTCATATGTATCCATCACCACAGCAGCAAGAATCTTCTTGGAGTCAGCACAGCAATGCATTCAGCAGCCAGTCAACCTGGGGCCCCGGGAGATCATGCTTCTTCAGGATCAGCTCGGACGATTCTCAATATGGGCTTCAGAAACGGGAGTCTTCGCCCCGCGTAGAGCCTCCTTGGACCATCGCCTTCGTTATGTCCCCGAGATTCAACGTTTGGTGCGCGGGCTACTGGAGACCTTGGACGACCATCTTCACCACTGTGAGTAGGCAGACTGCTTCTCAATCAGTATCTTGATCTTCATCCTTTAACGACGGTCTGCGCTGCCAGATGTATTACAAGAGACTGAGGAGCGCGATCTATCGGCCATAGCAAAAGACCTGACACTGCTGCATCGACTGTCAAACACGATTCGGAGAGCCAGCCGCGAAAGCCAAAACCTGCGGGCCGCAGAGCACTTTCGGATTGAGGACGAGGAGGGTACCGATGTCGGGGCAGCGTGGCGGGATACCTTTGCCGCCGAGGTGATTCGAAGGAAGTGGCCGAAGTGTGATGAGTGGCTCAGGGAGAGACTGGCAACAGCAATGTTGCTGCGTAGGAAGCGTGTGCTCTATCGACGGTTTCGTCATGGCAGGGCAAGAACGGAGCAGTCGGTGCCCGGGCAAGACGCTGAGGATCAAGGCCAGGAACCAGAGGCGGATCACGAGCATGTTGAGAGAAAAAAGAAAACATCAACTCGCAGTGCTTCGGGGTCGAGGGCCACCACCTCAGCGACTACGCTGACTCCCGAGCAATTTAGAAAGGCATCTGCTCCTTCTGTCGTGGGGATTACCAGGACCACCCGCATGAACACCCAAGAAGAGTCTCTATATCCTCCCGCGCCAAAAGGTGAGATCATCAAGCGGCTTGAGACACTAGAGAAACAGCGGAGCACATCCATCGAGGATGGCGGTCAGCACTCGAGTGGTCAGGATGCGGAGTTTGGCCGACGAGAGAAGATTGTTGCAGATAGGCAGGCGATGTTAAGGAACTCGGAGGTCGTATGTCCCTATTGCTGTTGCACCCTCTCGGGGGCGGATGTGATGGACGATAGCAAATGGAGGTGAGTAGTGTGATTAGTACTGGTGGCTGCATAGAAAACAGAACAACAAGATTAATTCTTCTCGGCCCATCAGGAACCACCTCAAACACGATCTAGAAGCATATGTCTGCCTGTTTGAAGAATGCGCCACGGAAATGGTATTGTATAGTCACAGTGAGGAATGGCTCAACCACCTGCGCGAGCACAAGGTTCGATGGCGCTGCACAGCCAAGGCTCATGGGATCCTAATCTTCGAGGACCAAGCCGACTATTTAAGCCATATCCGGAACAAGCACAAGGGATCGGAGTCTCAGCTTCGCTACCTGACCGAACGTGGCAGCCAGCCGTCTGGACCGCTCTTCATAACCTGCCCATTATGCAGCGCTGAGGCCGCCAAGTTGAACATTCCTGTTGAAGACCATATTGCAAGTCATCTCCGGTATCTAGCCCTTCAGTCGCTGCCGTTCGTGGAATATAACGCTCAAGTTTCTGGGGAGGATGGATCACTGCAATCAAGCGACGGCGAAATAGGGAGCCGCAGCACATTCGATGATGATTTCGATGGTGACCTTTCATTCGACTTGGCTGAGGAGCCCCGGAAATCACTAGATTCGGATCATGATGAAGAGCCTTCTTTTGCTCCTGATCCTCGATTAAAGCCAACTATCACATTTGTTGAGGGATACGAAGAACTCTTTGAGACAAGTCAATTGTCCTCTTCGACAAACTCTATGATCGAAACTAAAACTGAACAAGTTGACATCGACAGAACAGTTGATGCATTCGATGAAGCAGCTCAGTCATATTCATCCTCACCAACTGCAAGTCTAGATATGAGGTCCAGGGATTCCGCCAAGGATGAGGCAATTGCTCGCCTGGAAAAGTTGATGATTGAAGATAGAGCCGAAAGATTCGCGCGAGAGGAAACTAATTCAAGGCTTCGACGAGCAATAGCCGAAGGAGACACGGCTTCAGAAACCAGGAAACCCAGCGCCACCCGCTCGCAGAAAGGCGCGGGAAACGAGGCTTCAGATATCCCACACCGGAAAAGGTCGACCGTCGAGTTCAGGGATGCAGTAGGAAGGAGATTGTCGTTTCCATTTGACGCGTGTCGCACGTGGGAGGTAGAAAAATTCAATCCCATCCGTAGGTTCTTCGCTGATCGAAATCGATTCAGGGCATTGAAAGTCTCATAAGGCAGTCCTTTTTATACATGGAGGAGCTAGAGTCTCACGTCGCGGCAGGGCATTATGATTTGGTAGGTCCCAATGGGGATATCATTCTACCACAAGTTTGGGAAACTGTGATTGAACCAGGTTGGGTTATCACCATGCATATGTGGCCACTTCCAGAAAGGCCAGTCAAGCCTTCGCCCTCAGGTGAGCCCTCGGTTCCGGGCTTCGTGGCCGTAGGAGCCCGGGTACCCGCCGCAGGTCGCGTTGCCGGCGTCTTGGTAGATGCCCAGCGTGAAGTTGAGCGATGCCAGGTGCGCGGCGAGCCAGGGGATCCCCCGCGGGAATTTGGTCGTGTTCCAGGTGAGCGAGGCGTTGGGGAGCCGGGCGGTTTCCATCCAGCAGTCGTCTAGGTTTAGGCGCGTGTATCCTGCGGCTTGGAGGCCGGTGGTCTGCATGGCGGTTGCGGTGGTGACGAAGAGGGTTTCGTTGAGGTCGCACATGAAGCGCGACCAGTTGTTGAAGCCCATCGGGGGCGTGGGGAGGGTGGTCGGGTTGGTGATTGTTGCGGTTGTTAGGGGGGTGAGGAGGAGGGGGAGGCTGAGGAGGAGGGGAGCGGGGATTAGGGTTACTGGGACTGGGGGACGCATTTTGGTGGGTGTGGTGGGTGCAGTGATGGCTTGCGAGTGAATTGGGTGTCTGGGTGGTGGGTGCATCCGGTTATATGCTGGAGACCTGGTCGGGAACGCTTCCCCGCTCGCTGCGAGCTGCTGCAGCGCGATACCACCGTGCCATGTCGGCTGCAGCTAGCACCAAGCTAAGCTATCGCGGTTTGCTTCTCAGCTCGGCAGGGCAGCCGGTCGCTGACTGGGGAACAAGGTTCGGCACGGGTCGATTAATCTATTCTGCGGGGGTGAATCTTATCGCAGTCATACACACCACCACCCTGATTCGCGCTCATGCAAGGGCCCTCGACAGCAGTCAATCTAGCGAGGTCTATTTATAGTCCCAACCCTGGTGAAGTGGTAAGTCGTAACTGCAGCCTGCGTCAGGACGCTGAGTAAGGAGGGTTTCACTGCAGCTGTAATTGCGGGGTTGATTGTATCGATGCAAGGGTGTCTTCACACCCCTTTACCCGGCTAGACACCACCCCTATTCTGCAATACAAACAAACCCACTCCACGTAATACATTAAACATTATCATTTCTTGCAACCATTAAGCTATCTAGCTACAGCCCGCAACCGCGATCCCCCCTCCGTCGTCTCCAACAACACCTCCAGACTCCGCGACGCCGCCACCATCGCACTCAGATCCGGACTCCGGCGCATCTGGTGCGGCGCCTCCAGGCTCACGTCCGAGAACAGCAGCGCCAGCGGTGACGACTTCCAGATATACTGGTTGCGGGTGCGCACCACCGTCGCCACCAGGAACCCCAGCGTCATGGCCACCAGCGCAATCGGCAGCGTGAGCCACGGCCACTGCACGTGCACAAACGAATCGACCGTCCAGGTGGTGCCGCTCACCGCCGCGGCGCAGACCTCCGTGCGCGCGTGCGTCGTCAGCGCCGTCGCGAGCGAGGTGAATACTCCCGAGACGTCCGTGTAGTTGCCCTGCATTCCGTACAGGGCCTGGATGGTGTCGGAGGTCCAGCTGGGGCGGTTGCTGATGAAGAGGGAGCCACTGCCCGTGAGGAGTGGGGTGAGAGAGTTAGACAGAGCGAGGCGGCTGAGCCAGCTGACGCTGTAGGTGCAGTCGGAGGTCAGGTTGGAGGTGCAGTGGTCGGGGAAGAGGGTGAGGTCGGTCGTTATGTCCGACGCGGCGGTGGAGGAGTTGGAGGTGGTGGCGGTCGAGACCAGGGTTTCGTTGAAGACGCCCTCCTGCACCGAGGCGGAGTAGGTCTTCACGCAGAAGTAGAGGGCGCATTCGGTGGCGCTGATGGTGGGCGGCACGCCGTAGCCTGCGGCGCTGATGGCGGTGAAGTTGAGGATCAGCGGAGGAAGGGCGGAGGCGTCGAGCTTCACCAGGTTTAAACCCGTCGTCGCGTTCATCAGGTAAATCCCGCCCCAGGAGGTAGAGAAGCTGAACCCGTTGGTTAGGTTGTAGTGGTAAGTGCTCATTGTGCTGGTCGGGTTGGCGGTTGTGAGGGTTAGCTCGTCGGTGATGTTGGCGCATCGTTGGCACAGCCCGAGGGACTGGTACGGGGCAAAGGTGCAGTTGCCCGTTGGGCAGGTCATGGTCAGGGCTTGGCTGTTTGTTCCGGTGCTCTGGAAGAGCCCTGTGTAGATGGCCCCCGCCGTGGAGAGCGGCACCTTGTTCATGCCAGGCCCTGCCCCTTCGCCGTAGTCCACGTACGAGCTCGTGTTGCACACCCGAATCGAGGACTGGCCCGGCGAGTGAATGGGCTGCGAGGTGATGCTGATGACCTGCTGTACGAAGGGGGCAATCGCTGCCGCTACCACGAGGATGAAGCATCCTACCGTCACCAGATGGCTGTGCATTGGTTAGCTTGATTTTCTTATGATACTCTGTCGGAGCTCACCGTGGGAGGAAGCGAAACAGAACGAAGACCGCATTGACGGCGCCACGACTGGCAGCGTCCAGCACCGCCAAGTCATTGAGCTTGTTTTGTCGGTTGAACCACGACCATTTGAGCTGCGACAACCCCTCGGTGATAGGATAGACCATGGCCGCCTTCATGACCGTCACGAGTAGTGACACCAATGCGTTGAGGGTGATGCCGTACGGCCAATCCGGCATCGGTTTACCGTCGTACGTGTGCAGGACGACGATGATGGCCACCAGGGCGCCCACCGCGATGGCACAGCTCACGATCTCAAAGACCCAGCCCGTTCCCCATGGGCCAACCGCCCGGGGCTGCAACAGCATGGTTGACAAAGGCCGTTTCCGCGTGGGGTTCGCCTCCCCCGGTTCGTCCACTTTGTGGTACCCCAGCTCGTACTCCTCCTTGAGATGTCTCATCCTGGCTTGGCTGTTGACTGGGAGCTGGGGGAATGAGAGGTCTGACACCACGTTCGAATTGACCCAGACATGGCGATTGGGGAAGAGGAGGGAAATGGAGTCTTCACTTGACTGCTCGTGCCTCTTGGCGCACAAAACCCGCTGTGACGGCGCGGCAACTCTGTTCCATGGAAAATGCTCCAGGGCGGGTCCAGTTTGAGGTCATTGTGAGCCAGTTTGAAACATCCTTATGGCTTGTTTGGGGTTAGAGGCGAAGACTGGAGCTGAAACAGGAAGTTGATTTGCGTGATTTGCGCGAAGCCAAATGCAGAATTTCTGCTTCGGGAAATTCTCCTGAAAGTCGGCTTTGGTGAGATTGCTCATGATTGGTCATGTTTGAAAAAAGGTAAGCACGTGATTCTGATCTATCCCTAAAAGGGACGATCTGCCCGAGGAGGCGTCCCCATCAGGAAACTACCATGCTGCGCCGCAGCACTGCACAAGTACTGTCTGATAGGGTGACAAGGCTAGTGTCCTTTGAACCTTTCAAGCAAGCTCCAAGCATCGAGGCTACCACGTATGGGCTCCTCTCAATCAAGTGTCGGAATCGAGAATATGCTGCAAGCTGCGTGTACAAACAAGTCCGATGCAGGCGAAAACTCCACAGCAGCCATAGTGCGGAGAGCATCGAGTTGCCATTCATAAGTGATGGCAGTATGCCTGCAAAGAATCTGCCTTTGATCGCGCGCCAACACAGTAAGCAAGTAGACAATGGAAGCTGAAAAGAAAAAGCTCAAGGTAGATTTGTAGTTGTTGTCGAGTTAAGCTTTTCTCTATAGTCAGTCAGAAGTATGCAGGATGTCTGAGCTTGTGCAGATCTGCATATACAGCAGCACAAAACATGTTAGCACCTGCTATTATACCCTCCACCACCTAGCCTTTACTGAGCGGCGATTTGTCTGTCTCTTGGCTAGCAAGATGCCTCCTAGCGATGATCTGAATGAGTATGAATTGAAAAATGTGGACCATATTCAACAGCGGTTTCAGATTCAGTGCCTGAGCTTGAGCCATAGCAAACAGGCCCCTTGCTTCTGAAGTCTTCATTCGACGCGTTTTACATTACCGCTGGCTTAATGAAATAGCATTTGCGTCAGCGCCCCAGATATTATCACTGCGGCAGTGTGATTTATTTCGGAACCGCATAATCAAGAACAGGCTGAGAATCAGACGCAAAACGATCATCAATCTTTTTGAATCGAGTTTTCTTTCAGACATAGGCCGTTAATCCTGAGGTTGATGAGGTCGATACTAGAGGAAGGAGAAGGAGATAAGACCAGTGGTAGGATGCTTGGTTCAGCTGAGGAGACAGTGAGTATTCATGCTTAGCAGAGCTAAGGCAGCCGCAATAAGATTTTGTTCGCGGGGGCTCAAGCGATCACAGTAGAAGGAGCCAGTATGTTCCGGGTAGTCATCATCCCATTCATCCTCTAGCGCTAAAGGCTGCGCAAGCGTGTCTTAAGAATATGGGCAAACACGGTAGCCTGCGGCCGTTTCACCGAATGGCGCAACAGACAAAGCCAGAAGTGGGTTCGTTTAGGCATCCTTCAATCGTCAGCAAGTGTCTGAAAAGCTTGACCTGACAAGCACCGGCAGGCCAGTCGATCCGTGGGTTGCTACCCCGCGAGTTTGAGGCTGGAACTTGACTTGGTCAGACCATGGCCCAATGTCATCTGATAAACATTGAGGTTTGAGTTGATTCCTCGGTTTCGCAATGAAAACCTGATTATTTGCAACGGGCGAAATAGTCACCGTCAACTTGACCGGCCAGTTGCCTACTGGATGGACCCCACGCAATTTAAGGCTGTCGCCGTGACTTTAACAGGGCCACAGAGTTACTGCGAATAACTCCCTCAGCTTCAAGATTCAGCGCCTTGTTCACTCGCGTGGTAAGTGCAGATATGATCGAAACGCCGCCCGGCCACGACGAATCGAGAACTGAGGGTGGATAGGCAACGCGTCCTGAACAAGGAATTGGCTGGACGAAGTGGGCCCTAAAGTGGGGAGAAAAGCGGATAGCTTCGTTTGATCTGTCGACCATCGCTTTCGGTTGGTTCCCCTGGCCAGGGGAACCCGGCACTTTTGTGGCCAATTTAACCCCCCTTCTTTTTTTCGACTTGGGTTCTCTGCCACCAACCTTCTTCTTCCCGCCTGACATCCGTCGGTTGGCCATTCCGTGGCTGAGAAAGGATCATCTCTAGGATGTTCCGTGTGCAGGAGCTCCAGATGATCTCGGTGTTCGTCTGAGGAACAATTCTCCTCCCCCTTCACTCGGATCCCACCGATCCAATGAAATTGGATTCCAGTAGTGTCTTTCCCTTGTTAGCGTCCGGTTTGCTCCAAGCGCGGTTCAATTCAGAAGCGCTGGTCGCAACTCCTGTAGTAACATACGAGGAACTAATTGTCCGCCTCCACCCCCACTATAACCACCGAGCCACCCCCGGCTCTATCACAAACTACCTCCGGGTCTCTTCACGGGCATGCAGTCCACGTAACCCGGCACGGCCAGCGGGAGAAGATAGAGAAAGAGCCACGAAGCAGAGACTCCGCCCGTTACGTACGACGGAGCGGGCCTATCAGCCCCAGGCGTTGTCGCGCGGACAATTGCACCCGTCGGAATGGTGCAGGTTTTCGCCCGGGAAGGTCAAACCAACCAAAACTCACCTTCCCTGAAGCTCCTATCCAGGAGGGAGGAGGACAAAAGAGGACCAGGTACTAACGCGAAGGGAAATTGTGCTAATTATACTGCCTCCATCAAGGCATCCGCCGGGCTCCAGCCCACGAGCGGACACAGCAAAATCCGTCTTAGTGTTCGAATAGCGTCGATCTAGCTATTTACTGCTCTTCCACCCCTTCTCCCGTTTTCTTTTTCCCTTCAACTCACGTTCGTTCTTACCATCCCCTCATATCTCCATTCCACTCGCTTCATTTCACCTCCAGTCTCTCGTTTGCTGCCATTGAGGTGTTTTTGCGTGTTTTTGTAACCTTTGAACCAAATAAAGTCTCTTTTCCAGATCCGACGCACTGACACGATGATGTTCGAGGGAGTTTTGAGCTGGTTCCGCCCTGCGGAAGCCGAGGTTGTGCAGGAGACCAGCTGGGATCCCGTTACCTTGACCATGGTCCAACCCAAGAGTCCGGTCGCTCCCACCACAGACGAGATTGTCACCGATCAACCGGTATGTTTGAGTCGGTCATGCAAATGGTGTGAACCATGTTGCGCAGGAAACTAATCAGAATGGGCGATGACAGATTCTCGGCGAAGGGATGGACTTGCGACTTCGCGGTGGTGACAGTGCTGAGGACGGGTAAGTCGCCCGCCAGCCAACCCTAACCCGACCGACTTCGCCCACAGTATAACTAACCCCCGCCTTCGTGCTAGATGCTGCTTCTGCTGTCGCTGCTGCAGCTGTCTTGATTCCTGCTGCGCCCCCGACGACGGTCCCGGTCAACGGCTGTAATCCATTGATTGCGACTCCGACCATACCTACGTACAGTACATAAATCATCCCTTTCTTGCCAGCCACTGCATCCGACACATACCGACCATCCCACGGACTGATTCATCGGGGGAGTTCCTCAATACATAATGTCTTATTCTGCCCCGTCTCAACAGCCGGGAAGACGGGTGAATCGCCAAACTCGTTCGCCTCATCTTTTCTCTCGTTTCGCATACTTTTTTTGCCATCTGTGTATAATATTCTTCTTCCGTCATGACTTGCATCAGCCGCAATAGATTTCCTTGGTTCGGACCACAACTCGATTCAGTCAACAACTGGCTTCTCTCAGGATACAGCGATATATGACAATTGCAGTAATGTGTGTGACGGGGGTGGGAAGGCGACAATAGCGGATATTGTATGAGTGAATCGACGAATGCGTCTTTCCACGAACACCACGAATACGACATCGCTGCTTTCCAGGCTCACTTTGACAAAGCTTGTATGCGTGGACTAAGTTATGGTGAGACGGTAGGGCTCATCGTTCGGGTGCGAAGTCCTATCGATTATGGGCGCAATTGCGCGCGGAGATCAACCTGCGCCGTAGAAGCAAGTAATGCTCGGATGTCTTCCGCTGTAACATTCCAAGAAAAAAATAATGGACGGATTTTATAGTCCAAGAATAAGAAATGACCATCACTATACAAAGATTCTCAACATCCAGGAGGGGTAATTCTAGTCAAACATGCTAAAGCTGAAGATGCTATCTAGATGATCTTCGATAATGAAAGAACTGATAAGTAGCCGGTGGACGTGGAAGATCTTCACCCAGTCGAGGATCGCTTTGCGACTACCTAGGCACTGTACTCTATATCAGCTGCCTGCTATTGGCGAGAGACGCGTAGCTTTCCCTGCCGAACCTTGATCTGGGAACATCACAGCAAATAAAACGCGGTCTTACAACGACCCGACCGGATTACCTAGTGGTCGGATCCGCCAGCATCATTGGTCTAGTGGTAGAATTCATCGTTGCCATCGATGAGGTCCGTGTTCGATTCACGGATGATGCACATCTTTTTTCTTTGTCTTTCTTTGGCTCTCTTGCCTGACTCAATACACCAGCCCGCATTCTTTTTCTTTTATTTGTCTCGCATGCAATAATTGAAAACGGATCTTACTTTATTTCCTACCAAGACTACTGTCATGTATTGGGATTTAGATCGCGCCCATCGTTCGGCACAGTCAAGTATGTCTGCTGAAGTCTCGCCGAAAATATACTTCCCCGCAACCGAACCACCCCGGATTGGCTCCAAAAATAGAGTTAACCTTCCGAACCGTGAAAAGAAGGTCGTATTCGCATCACATGACCCCAAACAAGGCCAACCTTCTGGCTATCTTTGATAAAACCCTTGGTTCCCTGTCCCTCGTGTCGTCATGCAATCATGTGTACCGTCAGGTGGGAGCTCCATATAACCAGCGCGCGCAACGCACTTACGGACGCATCCACCAACCCCAGCTCTATGTATCAGACCACAACAACGCGATCCCCACCACCCGACTCACCAAAGTAACAATAATAAGAATGACCTCCTCCCCAACCAGCTACAACGCCGTCGACCTCCTGACCAGCCTTGCCGGAATCATCACCACCATCGCCACCAACCTGCACGCCAACCGGCTCGACCGCGCGGGGCTCCGCGCCACGCTCAAGGAGTACGCCGCGCGCGCCGAGTCGGACGGCAAGCTGATCAACGCCTCGCGGCAGTCGCAGCGCTGCGTCGAGCACGGCCTGCTGCTCGCCTACGTGCACATGGAGTTCATCACCACTCTGCTGCGCTACAACCTGACCGTCCCCGCCACGGCGGTGAAATGGTACAGCGTGCGCTCGCTGCTGAAGCGGTACCGCCTGTCCCTGTTCGGGATTCCTGCGCAGGCGCGGGACCTGCGCGCGCAGCTGGAGAATATCCAGAACAAGGCTGAGTTGCTGTATGCGGATTTCGTAGAGGGGGGGGTATGTTATCCCCGGAAACCTTGTTTCTTCGGCGGAGGGGCCTTGTTGGGTTTAGGGCTATGAGCTGAGAACTGGCTGGGTAGGTACAAATCCCCGAGACGCCGATCCTGTATCGCAAGGTTACGGCTTGTGAGCCGGTTGGGGCGCCGCCGGAAGGTGTGTATTTCCCTAGGCAGTTTGTGCATGCTTAAAGGGGAATGGACTTGCTGATATGAGGCTGGGTCTAGCAATTCATGACCTCCTTCGTCGCGGGACCCTTGCTGAGCAGGAGTTGAGTGGGAAGATTCCGCCTTGAGTGATGTGGGGATACCAGGTTGTGGACTTGAGCGTTATCCATCCGATGGGAGTTTGGTTGAAGTTATATCTTGAGAGAGGTTCTTGCTTTGAAATCGGAGATAGTTCCTAGTGAACTTGATATCAAGGGTTTGCGTTAATTGCGGGTTTGCCACGGATGTTCTCTTTAGCTCGTGGTATGTAGTCTTCTACTCCGTACACCTCGCGGTGTCTCATCCATGGATGCCTGGTTGGCCATTCAAGTCGATCGCTCCGTCAGGGGGTCAAGGCCGGTAAAATACCGTGATGCTTTTGCACGCTGACTCCCGCAGCTTGTGGAGTAAGTAGTGCACACACCTGGTCTAGCAGGTTGCACCAACGAGCGCCAAGAGAGCCCTGATCTGAAGCAATATCGAAAATTTTCTAGACACCTGCCCTTCTGAGTACTCAGGGCCTCTCCAAGCGACGCACGCTAGTCTTTTTATGCCCAGGTTCTTATTCTCCGACCCGAGAACCGAGCCCAGTATATAAACCCCTCACCGTCCCGAAGATCCGCATCCTCCTCTTCAGCTTCCTACCTAGGTATCACTAGGGAAAAACAAACCCAGTCCACTAAAGCTCCTACCAATTCCCCCCTCCCAAACCAACCGTCTCGTCTCGACCCAGGCAAGGAAAAAAATGAAACTCCTACTCCTCTCCCTCCTCGCCCTCCAAGCGACCGCCTGGTCGCTGACTATCTACTTCACCGACGGCGGCCACATCACCAGCACCGGCCGCCTCCACTCGGGCTGCAAGGCCTACGACCTCCCCGTCCACAACCGCCAGGTCAACCGCGCCTCCTTCAGCGAGAGCACCTTCGCCGACGCCTTCGAGTTGTTCAGCGACAAGGACTGCCAGAGTCGAGTGTTTCGGGAGGGCAAGGGCAGTCATCGCGTGCAGCCGCCGCGGCGGGTGAGGGCTTATAAGGTTTATTGAGATTTCTGGGGGTTTGGTGGTTGATGGGGGAGTAGGGAGGGAGGTTACGGAGCTAAAGGAGGGGTAGGTTGGAGTGTTTGGATGGGTTATGGGGTGAGGATCGGGGAGGCGTTTGTTCGTTTCTGCTGTATGCGTGTTGTCTTGTGATTTAGTGATTGGATGGAGTTCTTGGTTTGGGAGGTTTAGGTCGATCAGGTTCAATTGGAAGTGTTTGTTGGTTACGCAAGGATTGGCAGTAGTAAGAGACGTAGCAGCATGTAGACTTTCAATCCAGGTGAGTACGAGGTCTATATCAGCACGGTAATGTGTCAGGAGTGAAAGGCGGGAGTACAGTACAAGAAGGTCGATATAGTGCATTGGAAGATCCAAACATCGGAAGGAATACTCGAAAAAAAGATTGAACTTCTTATGAATGTCTTGCAGCAGGTTAAATCGAGAGGAGGTATTGAGCCGAACTGACCCCAATATTCCAGACCTCAACAAAGGCATAGAAAGGAGATGCTCATAAGACTCCGCAGATGAATCCCTTCTACAAGTCAAAGAGACCTACAAACCTACAAAGCAGGCAAAGGTTACTTCCTACTGCAGCTCAGACTGCGACGGCGATGGTCCGGGCGGTGCCACCCAGAACACATTCTTCTGACACAGGACCTTAAACTCTTCCAGAATTTGATGGATCTCCGAAATCTCCCCCACAATCCGGTACTCGTTCCGCCGATTCCGCGCATGGAGGGCGCGGGGATCATTCCTCAAGATCCGTCGCCGCTGCGCGCAATTCTGCGAGTAGAGCCGACACTTCTTACCAACGATGACAAGTCCCTCAAAGTCCAGGTATTGTCCGGCGCTTTTGGGAACCAGCATCTTCAGATGATTCAGCCGCCATAAGAAAGCATTCCTCTCCGGGGGCCGCTCGTGGCCGCCCACCACCACCAGGAACGTGGTGGACCCCGGGTCGGGAGTTCGAGGACCTCGTTGAGGGTCAGATCGTCTGCCCGGGTTAGAGGGTTGGGGATCCAGCCGCGCTTGTAGATGTATCCCTCGGACTGGGGTGGAGTTGTTCTAGGGCGTCGACGATGCGCTGGAAGTAGATTGGGCGTGTCAAGGTGGGACTTTTAGGAGGTAAGGCACTTACCGGCTATCTTGTGAATATGGAGTTTAGTGATGCGAACGGTGTCTGCATGATTTGGAAAGCATCTTATATCCTTCGATGTAATAAAGGTCCTGGAGGTTTTCCGGTGCAGGCTATCTTGCACAAAGAACATGGTTGTGGTGTGGATATAGTACGAGACAGTTTCCGGTTATATTGCTTTGACTTAGCCTCCATCTGGTTTTTTAGTGACAGTAGTAGCTGAAGATTCCGCGGATAGTTCACACTCAGATAGGAGAGATGTAAAAGAAGCAGTTGACTGCAGTTGGTGCAATGGCACTTCTTCATGTAGTGTTAGTGTTAGAGCCGGAATATTTCTAATCCCGCGACAATATGCTCTCGACGTACAAGAGAGGTGACCTCAAAGCTTGGGAATGAGTTTGAATCTGAAAGTGTAGTGCGATTCCTCACTTGCTACCTTTGTGTATATGATTTTACTCTCAAAACCCATCAGCATCTGAATCGTCTTGTTTGTGACTCTCTAAACAGGAAGATGGCGGGGTCCAATGCACTGTACTTATTTTAGCTTAGCATAGAACAATATTAATTTCAAACAATATTCGAACTTCTGAGGCCCTGGTGAGAAAGCCAGACCTAAGATCTGATTATCTTCAACTGAGACCAAGTTAATGTGAAAAGGTGGGTAGGTTTCCATGTGAAGTGGAGTTAACTCACCTCACTACTGAACACTCGGGACATGTTGATTTCCACCCACCGTAGCAACACCCAGTACATCAACAACACGCTCTCATCTTTCACCTCCCACCTATCGCCCTTATAGCCTTCGCCCCAAACATCACCTTTGTTATCCTCTTCACCAACCCTCTGCAAATCACTATTCTCTGATTCTGTGTTTCCCCGTTCTCCAGTCTCTGTTTCTTCTTACTCCCACCCTCAAAATGTCAACTCCCCAATCCTCAGGAGCGACAGATTCGCTAAAAGCCGAGCTCCTGCAGATCCACAAATCCCTCTTCAAATATGCTCAAGCCCACATAAACGAGGAATACCCCCCAACAAAGCACCTTCGCGCCGAACTTCTCCAGCTTATCGAGACTCGGCGGGAGATGGGACAGCAACGACTGGAGGGGCTCACATTCTCATTCCCCCTTCCCCCCGCCTACGCCCCCTGCACCACCCCGTTTGAGCACCTCACCAAAGTCACGATCGACAATTTGAAGGTGGAAACTCATCATCGCGGGCAGTATCTTCTTTTACGCACACTAACACCGACCCATTTCCTCGCCTCGGTCACTGGTGCCGTGGAAGATGAAGAAGGGAATGTGCTCATGCTGCAGTTGTACAACCAGGAGACGGCGGTTGTCGATCGCGGGGGTTTCTCTGGAGGGACTGTGATGGTTGTGGTCGAGCCGTATCTGCATAGGCTTCGTGATGGGAGTTGTGGAATTCGCGTGGACCATCCTTCTGATCTGCGCATTCTGTCAGACCACGAAGCTTCGGTGTCCGTGCAGTGGCGACAACAGGTGTTAGGGTCGGAGATGGATGCTATGCAGTGGAAGGCGAAAGGGAACGATGCGTTCAATGCAAGAGATTACCGCCTTGCGATCGAGTGGTAAGACATATTGATTCTTCAGCCGCTCACAGAAGCTAATCACGAGGACAGCTACACTCAGGCTCTATCCTCCTCCCCAACAGCCGACGAAGCCCTAACAATCAAGCTCAACCGCGCCCTCACCTTCCCGCTCCCACCAATTCGACGCCGCCTTTCAGGACCTCAACACAATCCCCCAGACCTCGGAGAAACCCCTCCTCCGCAAAGCCCAAGCCCTGTACCATCTCCAGCGCTTTGCGGAGTCGTGCGAGGTACACGAAGTCCTCGAGAAGGAGTTCCCCGCCAACAGCCTCGCGCAGAGCGAGTTCGCGCGCGCCAATGCCCGGCTCGCAGAGCAGCAGACAGGGGTGTTTCCATTCAAGCAGATGCAGCGCGAGGCCACGAGGCGCTCCCCGCCGCTGCTGGACCACGCCACCTACATCGGCCCCGTCGCGGTGCGTCCGAACCCATCCGCTGGGCTGGGGGTCTTCACGACCAAGGCCGTCAAAGCAGGCGATCTCCTGATCTGCGAGAAGGCGTTCGCCTACGCCCACGTTGAATTAAACGATTACCCCAAAAGCTCAACCTGCCGGATCGACCCGTAACGGGAGAAATACGCCGGTGCCACCGAGCTAGCTGCTAAGGCTAATGACGGAGAAACTGGCCAAGAACCGGTCGCTGACGCCCGAGATTACCGCGCTGTACCACGGGGAATACGAGAGCGTTGACGGGCGTGAAGTAGACAATCTCCCGGTGGTGGACAGGTAAGCTTCTCCATCTGAAACAGCGCACATACTAACTAGGCTAACATGTAAACTACACACAGCTTTCTCCTCGACCGAATCGTCTCGCTCAACGCCTTCGGCTGCTGCCCGAGCCTGCGCGAGATCCACCTCCGCAGCTGGGGCTCCGACGGCTGCCCCTCCGGCACCATGAACGACGTCTCCGCCACCGGCGTGTGGCCGCTGATCTCGCGGATCAACCACTCGTGCCACAGCACGGCGCTGTCTACCTTCATCGGCGACATGATGATCGTCCGCGCCACGCGGGACCTTCCCGCCGATACGGAAGTCACCTGCATGTACCGCTCCGTCCATCGCGATCGCGACGCTCCCGGTCCCAACATGCCCCCGCTGGCCCTGAGCTGCCGCAACTGGGGCTTCCAGTGCACCTGCATCCTGTGCCAGGACCACGCGGCGACCCGTGCCGGCAGCCTGAGCAGACGCCACAAGCTCCAGCAGGAGCTGGAGGTCGTGCTCGCGATGCACCGGGCGTGGGGGCCGGATCCCATGAAGGTGGACGCGCTGCTTACCAAGATCGCCGGCACGTATCCCCGGCCGGCGGCGGAGGTGCCCCGACTCGCGCTGGAGAGGGGGTATCCGTTACTTGCGCTGTTGTACGCTTCGCTGGATAACCCGCGCAGGGCGATTGGGTTTGCGGTGAAGGCGCTCGAGGCGCTGGGCTATGTCGTGGAAGGCGCGCTGGCGCCGTACTCTTCCGGGGGAGGACGGCTGCGGGTGAAGGGGTGGGGCGCGGTGACGGAGGGGCTGGTCGGGTGCTGGGTGACGCTCGCGCATTCGTATCGCAAGGTGGCGCCGGCGCTGGCCCCGCAGGCGTCACGTATCGGATTGTCGTGGGGGAGGATGAGACCTTTGGGGAGACGTTCGGGTGGCTTGCTGAGTTGCCGGATGGGTTTTTTTCTCCGGGACGGTGATTTCTGGGGGTTGACTAAATGTGATTCCGGGTCGTGATTAATTCGTATTGATGAGGTTGTTGCGATAAGTTCGCGGTGACAGGCTTGTGGAGATCCTCGCTGCCCTGCTTAGCTTGATAGCACAGACGACTTCGTGTCAAACAAATCCAAGAGCTACAGAGATGCACCTACGACCTCAAATCGAAGTTACCCAATTTCATTCTGCCATGCTTTACCCAAGAGTCTCTATCCAACACAAACTAAACTAGCCCACCACCCTATCCACATTCCCAACCCTGAATCTCCCACTCCCATCACCGTATCTTTACCAACCGCGTATAATATTCCTCCCCCCTTCCCTACCCAAAAGGTCATCCCAGAATCACCCTCTAAAAGGTGACACTAGTAGTAGGCCTCTACCAACCCCAGCATCAGCATCAGCATCAGCATCAGCAAAAAGCCTCTATCCCATCCCACCCCTGACTCTACGAAACTCAGAACTCACCGCATTTTGGGCATTCTGGTCCTGGCCCATACCAACATACTCCTCCTGCTCCTGCTCCTGATCCAGATCCTGCTCCTCAGGCTGCTCCTCAGTCCCGATACAGGTATCATCCCGGTTGACCCCGTTGTCCTGGCACGCGCCGCGCCGGCACGTCGCCCGGTAGATCAGGTAGTCCTCGTCGGTGGTGCAGAGGTACAGTGAGTCCAGCAACTGGTGGGCGGACGGGGCGATCCCCTCGCGCTGCAGGCCGGTTTGCATGTCTTGGGTGTAGTTGCCTATTCCATCCAAAGAAGAGAAGAAAGGGGGTGGTTAGCTTCGCTTATTGTGAGGGATGAGGGTGTAGTTGTTCAGTTGAGGATTGCTTGGGTTCTAGGTTTGGGTTTGGATTTGTATTTGTTTGGGGGTTTGTTTGTGCTTATGCTATCCTCGGGTTTGAACAGGGGAGGAATAATACCCTTCTTGACCAGGGAGGTACCGCAGTAGGTCATGCCCTGGGTGCAGCGGATGGCGACGGCGCAGGAGGCGGCTCCCAGGGTGGCGAGGATGGTGGAGGTCTTCATTTTGCTTTTGGGAATGGGGTCTTGTTTTGGTTTGATGACACGGGATGAAATGATTTGTAATCGAAGATGTTGTTGAATGATGAAGGTGTGGTTTGAGAGGATTTTTGTAAGTTTTATGTCTGCTCTTCATCTATGAAGACGCTGTCGGATGGTCTGGATCGTGGTCATGGGAGCAGAGGCTATTGTTAGCTATTGCTTGCCTCATTTATGTGGGAGGTGACTATCGCTGCAGTGGGTCGCGGCACGCAATATTGTAGGCGTGCGACTTCAAATATGGGTACAGCCATACATGCAAGCAATATTTGTCAACAGGGTAATACCGCTTCATAGTCAATGTTCGGGATCATACCACGCTTTGATAGTGTCAAAGTCCAAACAAGCTTAAGACCTACGGTATGGTTTCGCAGCTGACAATTTACACCTCACTCAATGTTAGAAACGTCTATTCAGTATCACTATATGCGCCGCATCATGCAAGTCATGCGTAGTCTGTATATAACCGGAGCCCGGAGGCAAAATTGCCTAATCCGGTAATCCATGTTCCACCAAAAGCTCGGTATTGGAGCTACCACAGAAGTGTAGTACAGTAGACTCAGACTTATGGCATGCATGTCGCATTCCCACTCACACCATCAAATCTCGAACTACTCCGCAGCTTGCACCACCTGGGCCCAGTCCCCAAACCCATACGCCCCCGGCACAGCTGCCCCATCAAACAAGCTCGCCATGACCACGCGACCCGACTGCTCCCCCTGCCACGGCTCCCGACCGTGCTGCGCCACAATATTATCAAACACCAGCACATCGCCCTTCTCCCAACGATGCAGTACGCGGATCTCGTCGGTGATCTTCGCCAAGTGCTCCAGATACTTGTCTGGAATCGGCGTGCCGTCCCCGAAAAGCTGCTGCGTGTCATTTCTCCGTGCACCCGAGCTGGCCTGCCCTCTCTTCCAATACGCCGCCAGCCCCGTGAAGAGCGTAGGAAGATTAGTTCCTGGCTGGGTTCGAATAGCAGGGAGGCGGTGCGTGAGAACCAGCTGCGTCTGACCGTCGTCATCTTTCGACCATGTCCAGGTGGTGTGTTCTCCTCGTCCGTAGCGCGCAATCTGCGCCTCTACCTTGCGACGCTTGGTTTCCTCGTCATCACCTGGTTGGAACTCCTTTCCAAATGCCTGACGCAGTGTTGAGCCGCCTGCGAACTGCTGCTCGACTTTATACGTCACACGACTGAGGATGCCTTTCTCAGCTAATTCGTCGATGAACTCCGGGATCTCACGCTGGGCGCGGTTGAAGAGCTCGAGGGAAGAGGAGATTGGCGACTCACCGCCCTGCGTTGGCGCACGGTGACCATAGAAGAAGACGTATTCGGGTGCGTGAGGGACTTGTGGAGACTCGTTGTGGTTGTAGATGAGAACATCCTTGGGTGCTTCATTGGCCGGTGCCACGTTAGGCGCAAGAAGGGGTCTATCAACCACAATACCGATAATCTCATGTGGTTTATAGCCGAATGCGTGGGCAAATCTACTGAAGTCCTCTGCATTGCGGATAGGCAAGTCGCGGAAGAGAAGGGTTCCGTGGCGTGCAAGCTGCTTCGTAAGACTGTTATCTTGTCTCTGAAGAGATTCGATGGTGGCGATGACACCATCGAGGGTAATTTCAGAAGAGCTGTGCAGTGTAGGACGCATGGCGAGCGGAATTACGGTCCCTTTCGGGTGGGGAGGCCCGAGTGAACGCTGATTATACGCAGAGAGCTCGAAAGACTCGAAAGTGATCAAATCTCGTGAGGGTTGCCCGTCGAGTGAGAGCTCGCCGAAGTGAATTTCTTCCGTGACTGTGGCCATTCTCGCTGATTTCGCAGCCTTTCAAGACAATTCGGTTGATGGAAACGTAGGCAAGAGTTGAGTTGCAATCTCTAGCTCTTCCAGCAACAAGCGGGGTAAATTCGCTCTCTTATCTCACAGGGTCATAGAGAAACGAAGAGCTGCAATGATTGGTGTTGATGTGCTTCTGACCGGGATCATTCGCTGCCAAGATGTACTGAGGGGTATATTTGCTTGTGCCATGCATGGACACGGTTACGTGATCTATTACCCGATAGAAACGATCGTCGCGTCGGCAGACATAAGTCAAGCCCCTTGCATCTCATAGAGCAGACAAAAGAGACAGCAACCTAGAAGTTTCTTGCACTTGTTAATCATGCAGACAATTCCAAAAGTAGATCAGGAAGCAATGATGACCGACATAGCAAGTATGTCCGACTCGCAACAAGAGCGTCAACCGGCCCATCTCCGATTCTTCCGGAGCACGCTCTTCCAAATCCTCGTCGTCGGACTTTGTGCATTTTGTGCCCCCGGCATCTGGAGCGCCATGAATGGCCTCGGAGTTGGCGGCTCCCAGAGCCCCAATCTTGTCAATGCCGCAAACGCTCTCCTCTATGCTTTCATGACAGTTACCTGCTTTGCAGGTCCATGGATGACCAACCTCATCGGGTTTCGCTGGACCCTCACGCTTGGGTCCATTGGTTATCCGCTGTATGCGGCAGGGCTATACCTGAACAACCGCACGGGTGCCACTTGGCTCGTGTACTTCGGCTCGGTGGCCTGTGGCATCAGTGCAGGTTTCTTTTGGAGCGTCGAAGGGGCCATCTCAACCGGCTACCCTGAGCAGCACAAACGCGGCCGCTACCTAGCTACGTGGTTTACCTTCCGGAACTTTGGGAACATCATTGGCGGAGCAATTTCACTTGCTCTTAACCACAACGTCAACCATAAAGGCCAAGTCGGGTACCAGACGTATGTTGGTTTCATCGCCATTCAGTGCCTCGGTTTGGTCTTCGGTCCCCTGCTATCGAATCCAGAGAAGGTACAACGTGACGACGGAACACGCATCGAAGCCCCTCGTGGGATGGAGTGGCGCGAGGAAGGTCGAATCATGTGGCGACTAATACGTAGCCGGTCAATCTTACTGCTTGTGCCACTGTTCTGGTACTTTGGCTGGATTCAGGCGTATCCGGGCACGTATCTCGCGACGTATTTCACCGTCCGGTCGCGAGCTCTGGGAAGCTTTCTGTCCGCTGTCGTAGGCACACTGGCTACTTGGCTGGGAGGGTCACTAGTTGATCTACCGTGGCTGAAGAGCCGCAAGAAGCGGGCTATCTTCACATATATCCTGATCGCTGCATTGAACAGCACTACCTGGATCTGGGCTGTGGTGATTCAAAACGAGTATCGCCATACCCAGCCGGTCTTGGATTGGGGCCATCAGCGCTCATTCGGACGAGGGTTTGGCTTGTATCTCTTTGAACGCATCAGCCTTGGCTTTGTTGAGAATTATATCTATTGGTGTATCGGAAACTTGTCTGATTCTCCAGGCGATCAAATTCGCTACAGCTCGTTGCTGAGGGGCATTGAGACGGCTGGTGTGGCTGTGGGATTTGGCGTCCAGGCTGTTCCGACCGCGCTGATTGCGACAGCGAGTATCAACTGTGGCTTGTGGTTCTTCGCACTGCCTTTCAGTTACTATGCCACTCTGCAAGTTTTGCGGAAGTTTGAAAGCCAAGCGAAGAGTGACGACAGACAGGACTAATGGAGAAAAATTGGGATCGAAGCTTCTGGTCATTTTAATGCTTGGTTCACGGCATCACCATTGATCTACTGCATGATATGCCAATGAATTTCTTCATATTTGTCATTGGCAAGAGTCAAGCCAAAGACCTTATATCGGTCGAAAACCAAAGGCAGCTGAGGCGATGAAAGACATGATGTTAACAAGATTCCGTATCCACGTTTCCTGGAAAGATATTGATATACCAAAGTATCTTGAGTAGAAGTATGCAGTAGGGTGTCAGAGCGACTAAATGAGGCGGGTGAAAAGGACAGTAGGAGAGAAAGTGGAATGGTAGGAAAGGTCATGTGCCTGGGAGTTTGTGTTCTTTGTCTGGTTGGCGTCATTTGTCTTGTTTAGTCTGTTTGGCAAGACCATCACTCATCACTCACCACCGTTTCGTCCCCATTCAATGCGGCATGTCAACTACAACCGTGCCGATGGGTAGAGAGCCTCAAGAGTTGTGGGCTTGGACTTTATTCATGTCTATGAGAATGAGTACAGCATTTCATATTTGTGGAAAGACTATGCTAACAACCCATGAGATAGGAATAGATCCTTGGATGAGCTTTTCCTTTCGACCGGCGTAGAAATGTCACTCAATCTCCACAAGCGCACGGGCATTGTCCTGCTTTTGGGGAAGATATATCACAACCGGACATTCGTGACAAACAGCTATAAGTACCGTTCGAGAGCGTCCGGCAACCCAGAGTAAACTGATTGAGAGCAGGAAACACCATCCGAACATACCGAAGCGACACGTATCGCCAATCGTCTGTTTCTTTGATCATGGCGCTCCAAAAACATAAACCAAAGAAAAAACACACCAAAAGTTGTGCAGGAATGCAAAAAGATGGTCCCAGAGGGGGTCGAACCCTCGACTTTAACGTTATTAGCGTTACGCTCTAACCAACTGAGCTATGGGACCCGGTTGATGTGAGAGGTTGAGTCCTATGTTTACTTATTCGCACGTAAATGAATAGAGGCACGAAAAATGGAAACCTCACCTCATGCACGCTTGCCCCCTCGAAACCGGGCAACTCGTGTCTCCCCGAACCCAACTCGTGTGGCTGGCCGAGGGGATGCGACCCACTGCCCCGGAACTGGCGGCGCCGATAACTGGAGCAGAAGGAATTCCGCCGATCGCAACCACGCCACAGTCAAGAAAGGTTAAGCATTCGGCGCCGTGCTTGTTCGCCTTGGCTAGTTCATGCGAGTTTGCCGACAATTCCTTCTCGCCAATGACCCTGTTTTGCTGACCATTACACCACCCGTCGTCAAGATTCCAACGCTGCTCATAGCCTACAACAACACTCAATAGTGCATCCTTGACCGAGCTCCGCCCAATTTCGCAAGCAAGACATTTGCAAAGGGTAGGCAACAGCCAGAAATGGCGTGGTTGAGGAGGGACACACCTTATCATCCAGCGGGGCAGATTTACCCCGACGGACTCCGAGTGAGGGTCGAGGGTAAACAACCCCATTCTTATCACGACATCGCTTACGGAGCCGAGCCCATATTGTCCGGGGTGCCCTGAGTAATTGCACGACAAATAGCAGTAATCTGCAGGTCCCGTTCTCCTGCATTAGCTTAACGAATTACGAAATGAGTTGAAGGAACCCCGTCGGTGTGCCTGCAGGCAGCTGCGATCCGACCAAACGATGCACCTTCCTGCTGCCGACAAACACAAAAACACGTCGATGCGCGATATGACCTCACCGACCCGCCCGTGCACTTATAATGGCGGTGTTCCCCCGACATTTCCCCAACCCAGTTGTGCACGTCGTGGGAAACGCTCTGTCTCCTCAAAATGCATACCAACGGCCTGTACACGGCACTTCTGTGCTCTCTGGCGGCTTCGGCTCAGGCCGTCGTCCATGAGAAGCTGGCGACCGTCCCTGCCAGCTGGACTTATCTCGAGGATGCTGCTCAGAGCAACACCATCAGTTTGTCGATTGCTCTGAATCGTCAGAACCTGGACAAGCTCCAAGCCAAGCTCACCGCCCTTGCCACCCCTGGTGAAGCCCAGTACGGCCAATGGCTGGACTTGGAGGACATCAACAAGGAGTTCCCTGTGGCCAGCGCCGACGCCGTCATCAGCTGGCTGCGCAGCGCCAACATCACCCAGATCTCGCAGGATGGCAGCATGGTGAACTTCGCTGCGCCTGTCGGCACGGTGAACAAGCTCCTCAACACCACCTTTGCCTACTACCAGAGCGGCTCTTCCACCAAGCTGCGCACCACTCAATACTCCATTCCGGAGAGCTTGGTCGACACGATCGACCTGATCTCCCCAACCACCTACTTCGGCAAGGACAACGCCCAAGCAGAGCTGTCGAAGCTGACGGTGCAGCTCCCGTCGCAGCACACCAAGAGAAGCTCCAACTCTTCCTGCGCCGAGCTCATCACCCTGTCCTGCCTGAAGGAGATGTACAACTTCGGCAGCTACACTCCTAGCGCCTCGTCGGGAAGTAAGATCGGATTCGGCAACTTCTTGAACGAGTCGGCCTCGTACTCCGACCTTGCCGGCTTCGAGAAGTACTACCACCTCCCCTCCCAGGAGTTCGACGTCGAACTCATCAACGGCGGTGTCAACGACCAAGACCCCGCGACCGAAAGTGACGGCGAGGCCGATTTGGATGTCGAGCTGATCGTCGGTGTTGCACACCCTCTTCCAGTGACCGCCTTCATCACAGGTGGTCTTGCGTGAGTCCTGCACGATAATCCCAATCACGATAGCAAAGTATGCTAATAAGCGCAGTCCTTTCATCCCCGACCCCGACGAGCCCACGGCTGCGGACGACTCGAACGAGCCCTACCTCCCGTACTACGAGTACCTCCTGTCGAAGCCCAACTCGGCTCTGCCCCAGGTCATCTCCAACTCCTACGGTGATGACGAGCAGGTATGCCACTACCTCAGCCACACGAACCGTGTTTCTCGCTAACCGCACCAGACTGTTCCCGAGTACTACGCCAAGCGCGTCTGCAACCTGATCGGCCTGATGGGTCTCCGCGGTATCTCCATCATTGAATCCTCCGGCGACGAAGGTAAGCCAGCCATCCCAGCCCAGCCCAGTCGACAAGCCTCCCCCACACTCATATCTCTGCCTCTGTAAACCGTTCTAACGCCAGAAAAACAGGAATCGGCTCCGCCTGCCGCGCCGGAGACGGCAGCAACCGCCCGCAATTCCAGCCGACCTTCCCGGCGACCTGCCCCTACGTGACCGCCGTCGGCGGCACGCAGTCCTACGGGCCCGAGATCGCCTGGACGGGCAGCTCCGGCGGCTTTAGCAACTACTTCCCGCAGGCGTGGTACCAGCACGACGCGGTGGAGAAGTACCTGTCGCACCACATCGCCAAGGACACCAAGAAGTACTATTCGCAGTACGCCAACTTCAGCGGCCGCGCGTTCCCCGACGTCTCCACCCACAGCTATGATCCTCCGTATGTTTAGCATCCATACCTCATACCCCCGACTCGATGATCTTAACCAGAACCCCCTGCTAACGCAACCCAGCTACGTGGTCATCGAAGGCAACACCACCGTCGGCACGGGCGGCACCTCGGCCGCGGCCCCCGTCTTCGCCGCGCTGGTCAGTCTCCTCAATGACGCCCGCCTGCGCGCCGGCAAGCCCGCCCTCGGGTACCTGAACCCCCTGCTGTACAGCAAGGATATCAGCAAGCGATTCACCGATGTCACCCTGGGCCAGTCGGTTGGCTGCGACGGCACGGACCCGCAGACCGGCGAGACTGTCCCGGGAGCCGGGATCATCCCCTGGGCATTCTGGAATGCGACCGTCGGCTGGGACCCGGTTACTGGACTGGGGCTGCCGGATTTCGAGAAGTTGAAGGAGGTGGTGCTGAAGTATTAGAGTTGATTTCGTCCGGGATGGAGGTGTTGATAGGATGTGAGGTAGATCATGTAAGTCAGTTGTGTTATCTGTATATGTAGTCTGTATGTGGATGTATATATGACTAATGGGCGGTTTCGTGCGTGCGCCTTTGGCCTTTCTGATTCTCGGGCGCAGTGAGTCCAACAGAGTATTGTGAAAGCGCGTCGCCGCTGCGCTACGTGCGTGAGAGTAAGTAATATGCAGAGCCAAGTGAATCCGCTTCCATGGGCCCTTGTTGTAAGTTAGATGGTGGGTTGAAAGGAGTAGGATTGGAAAGACAGTATGAGCAGGCGGGGAAAGAATGAAGGGAACAAGAAAGTCTCTTTGATGCCGTGTTGGGGCGCTCCCCCCCTGTCAGCTGACCAGGCGTTTAATGTCTTTGATTGATAGGTCTTACTTACAACAACCTCTGACTATGGCAGCAATCCTCTAAATTGCTCGAATTAAGCTACCTAGCTCCAGCGGTCAATCTTATCTTGGCTGATCTAAATAATACTATATTCATGAAAGTGAATATTTAATTCAAGCAGATATCTGCGATGATATGTATGACAGTCTCAAGTAATGTACAGTTACTTCCCACGAACTCCAGTGTTATTAGCTACACCCCGACATCTCAAGCACTCTGGGTAGGAGCAGCACCCATGGAGCCAGAAGGCGCACCGCTCATGGAACCAGAGGGCATGGCATCACCGGAGCCAGAGCCACCACCACCGAAAGCAGAGCTGTCAGTGTTCTGGTGGCCACCGGTCTCATCGTAGTACGCAGCGATGCTGTAGTAGGAGTTATCGGTGTAATCAGCCGTGGTGTTGATACCGATCTGGATCCACGCGAACAAGCCATCCTCGAGGCTGTCACCGAGGTAGATGTACTCGGGGAAGGGGTCGTAGGCGGACGACGCCTGGAGGACACTCCACATATCATCGGCATTGGTGGTGACAGCCTGGGTGTTGGTGGTGTAGGGGTAGGTGTCCTCGACGGCGGAGCGGAGGACCTCGTTCCAGAACAGCTGGCCGATGTGGGCGACGCTCCCGGTGCCGACCTGCAGGGTACCGTTGTTGCGGTTGATGGTGGAGTTGAGGTGGGTGAGGAGGTGGGTGTGGGTGGCGCGGCCGTCGTAGTGACCGGGGAAGATGGTGCTGAAGGTCACAACTCCGTCCTCGTTGGTCTCCTGGATACCGCGAAGGTAGGTCGAGTCCCAGCCGTCGGCGGCGTAGTTGCCGCTGGTGGAGATACCACTGCCGATATGTTAGTGAATTAGAACATGCATGGAGTAAATGTGACCTACCTGTAGACACCGGTAGCATTGGCGTTCCAAATATCAACCAGAGCTCCCTGGACAGGAAGACAGGTGTTCACGTCAATGTACTGCACTTCGAGGTAGACATCGACACCGTCGCAGTACTGCTCCTCCCTGACATTCTGGCGGATAACTTCGCCCCAGACGTAGTAGGGGCCGTCGGTGATGGTAGGAGTCAAAATGGAGCTTGTGTTGGCGCCAAAGATCTCGGCGTCGGCGTTGAGGCCCTGGTGCACAAGGCCGGTCTTGTTGTGGTTGATGGCTTCCCACTTCTCGAGGGCCGCGAGGTCACGACGCCACTTCTGGGGAGCTAATCAAGGGTTAGAGTCAACGGGTCCATCATCGACGCACGGATGCTTTACTCACCGGAGGTAATTCCGCGCTTAGAACGCAGCTCATTGGCAGTCTGCGCCCGACGAGCGACGCTGCGCTGCTGAACCTGCTGAGCAGCCTGAGACGAGGAGCAAGCGTTCACACCCTGTTGGCCTCTGGCGGCCAGGGCATCGCGAAGGTGGATTTCGCGCTTGACGGCCTTCATGTCATGCTTCTCACCCGGGTGAGCAAAGGCCAAAGTGGCCGCACTGAGTGCAAAGAGCTTGGAGAAGTGCATCGTGGTGATGGTAGCAGAAGAGAAAGGGAGGCTGGTTGTTGATCCTCTTTCTGCCTCACGTAGACAGCAGTGGTCTTTATAGCTTCTCCAATCTCGGTGTCAACGATGGTATAGATACGCTCCATATAGCCGCGTCATCTGGACTAGGGTGAGCCGTGTTGCTCTATCGACTTTCTATCAAATTGTTGTCGAATTGATTGGGAGACGTAAGCTCAGGATCTCGGCGGCACCCGCAGCCCTAGAACGAGGGCCGAATTCTTGGCCGGTCAACGTCAGAGTCTTGGCGCCGCGTACCTGGGATCCGCAGCATCTCAGGGAAGCGAACCCTATTGAGAGGGTGATCGACGACCACCGCGAATCAGCGTGCCCCGATTACTGTCACTGCTTCTGAAGACCCTATCAACTCAGGGATCGGGCAGACTCCGTTGGTCTGGGGTATTTTTAAAGCTTGGCTGGTGCTGTTGATGTATCGGGTTGCGAGCCAAACAGCGTTGGCCGTTTCATTCTCGGTACTACGGAGTAAGTAGTAGTAAGCGGAACTTATTCGTGACCCGCTTCCAACTCGAGCCGTCACTTTCTCTGCGCAAATGGCTTTTCTTGAGTACCTTTGTGCTAATATGCAGTATCCGTAGCATCCCATATGCTCGCTCGGCAGTTGTGCGAAAATGTTCGGCTGCATACTTGGTCGTCACAAAAGGGTACTGATCGCTCTTTTCTTGGCTCGGCCACAGCTTATTCAATTAGTCATTTCTTGTCCTCCTTACTGCATTACGCACGAGTCACTCGTCATCACCAATAACCTGCAGATTAGCATCACTTTGCAGATTCATGCTATGTATCTTCATGCTCCAGACTGAACAACGAGCTTGAGGCACGATTCAACCCATGCAGACACATCTTCTCTCTTGCGTGGTGAAGAAGCCATCAAGCTAGGAGTCGAGGCGGCTCTCAGCAGATGAACAAGGGAATATCTATCACTTCCAATCGAACAGGTGCTTTCTCGGCGTGTGAGGGATTGATTGTGCACGGTCGCGGGATCTTAAGTGGAGGTTTCTGGAAGGACATGCAGTCTCCACGCCTGCTGAGCCAAGCGACATCCGGTTCTCGCTTGATGATTACCAACAATATCAGCTCTACCCAGAGCCCATGCTAGTCGGCACCATAGGAATTCTCCGCGATGAAAACAGCGTACACCCCATCAGGGAGCCGCGATTTCCTGCCTCGCGAGGGCCCAATCTATTTCCTTTACTGCGGCCCCGATAATTCACAGAGATAACACTCCGACCAAGCGCCATCTTGATTTTTCTGTAGGCAGAGTTTGTATGTAGCCGTGATTTGTCAGAGTGGAGTGCGTCGGTCGATTACATTTTGCCGTAGGGAAACTTCGAGACCGAAGCGTCTTCGTGGTGGACCATCACGCACCTTCAAGATCTTTGCCGGGACCAGACGACAGTCGACGTCGCGCACCAAGTCACTAGTTGTTCGTCGTAATATCCATATGACATGAACGGGTATGCGACACTCTGAAGTGCGAGCTCTTCTCTAAGCGGCGTTTGTCCCATCATGGATGTTTCTTTCAGGCACGATTTCGTGATGTCTACGTACTCCTTGCCTGTGTCGACTCTCCTGCAGCGCATCCTTTGTGGGAGCTTGACACTCTTCTCTCCGACGCCAGTTAGGAAGATGGGGAGAGCATCGAAAAAGCTGAAGGCGAATGTATTCGCTTCGTCATATATCTGGCGATTCACGACCATGATTGCCAAGACATTCTTGCAGGGCTTATGTTGTAGCGGGGCGTCTCGTTCCCAGAAAGCAGGGTGGTTATCGGGACGCCGATAATGCCCAATAACAATTTCCTTGAAACAAGGCAGATGTTCGTAGACCATCAATCGCAGTTCTAGGTCCTTTACCATGCTTCTCTCAGCCAAAGTCACAGGAGGTACAAATGGTAGGAGTCGGCAGTTCGTGCTTGCCGAAACACTTGGCAAAAACACCCCAGCGACCCAGAGAAGGGGCAGAGAGACAACTGACCTACAGGAAGACGGAGAAATGAAAATGTCTTCTTGCGAATAAGCACACTCGATTCGCTGAATTTGAAGGGCCATGGACGCCGCGGGCGGTAGGTCGCTCCTTTGAATTTGTACGTGAAGCCACAGTGGCGCTGATGAGCAACATGCTCGATGAACCGCCGCGGGATTTGATGACCTTGGCACAGGTCCAGCATTTGTAAATCAGATAATCAGCAGCCTCGTGGCTTATTTGACGAGGCTGACGCAAGCTATGGATGATCTACGAGAAGTCATGGATGCCGTCGACCGGACGACGCTACTCGCCAACGTATTTCTGCAAGTGCTCGCGAAGCAGTCTATCACTCCAATAAATCTCTTAGCAGCATTGACATCTCCTCCTACGCCAGGGCATGATTGATCTCTCAGCTGGTTTCTGGGCTGGAGACTCTGCTTCAAGATTGGGGAAGCGAAGCATTCAAGTTTCGAACACAGGTTGTTTGTTTACAAGTCGACGGCGTGTTGCCCGCCCCACCACCACGGATGTCGTACTCTTGTGCCGCTTCAGGCACGTGATTGGCAGCGTGTATTTTGATTTCCATTTTTACGGTACTTACTTCTCTTCTGGACTCCTCACAACCGCCCACATAAGAAGAACCCTAGCTGTTCTTAACATGCAGTATTCATGCTTCGTATCCCGTACTGTGTCCCGGATAATATTCGATATTATTGAGAAACTATCGATGTTTATTACTTGATTTGTGATGGTCATTAGCATGGCTGGCTGAGAAACTCCGCAACGCTGGCTGGGATATTCGAGACAGCTGTGACACACGCAGACAACCCCTCATTTATGCGCTGATGGAGAGAATGCAGGCGTCAATCCAGCCAAGACAATTGGACATGCTGACAGCGTGGATCATCTGCAGCTCCAGATTCACAGGCGGGGGAGTCTGCCCGCAAATGATCGGCAGGGCCTGAGCCCGGAACTTTCATAATAGGATCTTGAAACCACAGGTATGTGGCTTGCTGAGCCCGTTCCTGCACTCATAGCTGAGATCTC